AATTTTGCGAGATAGAAGGATGGTGATTATAATACGAACAATGACAAGGTACTCCTTTGATACCAGTGTCTTACCTTCGACAAACAAACGACTTCATACAGTATAAAACAGAGGACAGATATTAAAATGAGTAAATAAATGAATAAATTGGTACAGAAATAAGAGATTTACATGTTGTCAATAAAGCACAAATTCCTCGTCACGTGATTGAAGGACTGTCATGGCGGTCATTCTTAGTGATTTGTCTCACGCTGCGCTGTTCGTTACATTTCATTTTTTTTTTCAGCATCAAACTCATCTAAGTTTTAAGTGCACTAGCACAAAACTCCGAACACTTCATTTCTGTGAAAAATGTCTTTAAACGTGGTTTATTTACCTTGAGAAAATCAGTCCTAAAGTGACATTTATAAATCCTCAACGCGGAGCTCACAAATATCTCTCAATTCAGTAACCTCGGAGAAACATACGCCTGCCTTGACAGAATAAACAATATCTGAAGGAAATGACGTTTAAGTAAAGTGTTTTCAGGCCCTGGAATAACGCAAACGAAGCTGAATGTTCTTGCAGTTCGTAAGCTCTTTCCACGTGCAAGACTGATCGATAGCTATGAATATTAATTTTGAGCGTATTTAAAATTCAAATGAATTTTCCCACTTTGAATGGTAGACTGAAAATCATCGTTAAGTCATCGTCTGTTTCGTTCAGTGGTAGTACGAAATATGATGACTAGTGTGGTCTTATTGTATCTGTAGAGATACTTAGTCGAACTCGAATGAACCTGAGCAAATAAGACATTTTGTTTGAATGATATTTCTCCATCATGACTCAGTTCATTTGAATCTCGATCCATTTTTCGTTTCCCTTGAATTTTGGGTCGGCGTAGTTTTACCTCCTTACAGCGTACACCATTGTAGACGAAACAAGTTGTAGGTAGAGCAAAAACAATATTTTGCCACCTTCCAATCAGATCGAGGCACCATTAAAAAAATACTGATTACCTTAGGGCCTCTGTAGTCTCTCATTAAACTTGTGAAAAGGCTACCCCACCCATTCTCTTCTTAATTCGTCCCCAGGGCTCTTTCTTGTTTAGGAGGCGAAAGAGAAAAAAAAGCTGGGAGCAAGGTTCAGCTTATTCCTCCGTCCTCCGTTTAAATTACAGTATTATATAAGATAAATTATGCGTCACATTCAAGGTGAAACTTTTACATATGGAGATTATTATTTCCAAGAAAAAAACAAAAGATAGTTGTTGACTGGAATAAAGCCTCAAACGAGTGTAAAGCTTTTTGTCAAGGGCTGACAGCAACAGCGCATAGGAAACAGCGATCCATTCTTTTGTTAATTTATCGTAGGGAAGCGTGTTTTAGCACGCGCATGTCACGGATTTCGACCAATCAAAAGCGGTTCTGCACGTCATAAACACCACCTCGCGCTAAAAAAGGAATTTCGCAAGAATTTTCAAAGCAGAAATATTTCCTTGCGACGCCTTGGACGTCTTCCGTATGCAAGAAACAAATCAACTAGAAAACGTTACGAATTCGTTATCTCTACCAATGCGACCAAAGCATCAGTTGATTATTTTGCTGTCCATTGTCAACCTATTTCTCCTTCAAAAAGGTTTGAGTAGAAGCGTCTTAGATCACTGAAATTTTGCGCATTGTTTTCATTCGCTTTACAAATCTTTGTTTTACGAAAACACTTTGATGACACCTTCCAGGCTCTGCTCAGGTGTATTACAATGTTTACTCATCTGAAAAATGATCTTTCAATCAGCAGTCAAAAATTGTCGCTTCTCTAAAATACAGTTTTGTTAAGTTTCGAAATCTTGTCTTCTTCTGCTGCAGCTAACAGCGCAAGTTTTGTTTACAGAGACGTGGGTCGGAACAATGCAACTTGTAAGTATCACAAATGGATTAATCTTCAGTTCTTGTCTTGTATCATTTGACTTACTATTTCCAGGATACGTCGACTCGTGTACAAAATGTTGTACTGTGACCTTTCGATAACAACTTTATTGATAATGATTTTGCTACCAAATATAATATGCTGTTGATTCGTTTTGAACAACCTACATTTTACAAGCATCGGTTTTTCGTTGAGGACTCAGAATTTTTAATTTTTCCAAGCTTTTGACAAAGCGATTGTGACCGGCTCAAAATTCGCTACTTTTCTAATTTTAGTGACACACAACACAATTCTCATTTTGCTGTGACTTGCATTACACAGTGGATACTAAATTCCATAATGACCTATTAGTAATAATGCTTAGCTCGCTAACGAGATTTGCGTCACCAATATTGCGCAGACCACCGTCACCCTTATGTTATCTGCATGTTATCTACAGCGGTTACTACTTCAAGCTCTCCTGTTGTAAAAGTTAATCATGGAAGTCTCGTCGGTCATCCTGCATCTCCAACACCAATGAAGATCTCTACCTTGGCGCTAATGGTGTCGCTACTCGCAATTGTTTCAGGAGCCATCATGTTGTGGCTTATACATCTTGTCCAAAAAAGGTAACCCTTACTAACCGAATTCGAGTTTTTTGTCTTTTCGCTCGAAGCTATGCCCGCAATGCGAAGTTCGCGGGCCATAAATCCGGGCGGAAAAAACGAGGTCCTGCAACCTACAATACGGATTGAGAAAACGAGGTTATTAAACATATTTATTATATATCAGCTTGAGAGGCTCAGTTGGCCTTTTTCTGAGAGTAATGTAACCCGCTGAAGTTCTTTTTAGACTTGAGATATTCAATCACTCAATAATGATGTAACATGCTCTTCACGTGTTTTATAAATATCTTGAGGAGAATGAAAGCAGACAAGTCTTTGGTGAAGTACTACCGCAAACACCGAGAGGCTTTTTCGACAGTCTCCGGCTTGAGGTTGTTGGGAACAAGACACTTTTCTTTTATGTGACAAACGTGTTTGGTTTCATAGACAACGCACGCTGATTCGAAAGGAGTTTGGCATGACAGCTGAAGATGCTCATCTTTCAAGTACAGCGTTGGCAAGTAATCCCTACCAAAGGTAGTTTTTACAATTTCCTCTTCCAGATCCAAACCCTAGGATAGTAGTTTTTATCGCTATCCATTTGGGCTAAGTGGGGTTGCTATACAAAATATAAAGTATTTCCGCGAAATAAGCGCCCACCTTAAGGCCAAAATGTCAAATAATCGGCCCCCGAAAATCGAAAAATTATCAGTACGGGGCCTCTCGAAGTGTTGGCGATATTTATCACGGAGGAAAAGCTTGTTCATTTGAAAATAAAAACCAAAAGACCAAACGGCTAGAAAACAATACCTCCGTGGCACAGAGCAATTGGGGCTAAGTGACAATCACGGCAGCCTGGCATTGAACCCATACAACGATTAAGTGGAATTGCAGTTCAGCCTCGTTCCAAGGATCAGAGAGGGATCCTGAAAACGAGGTTGATGCTGTGGCGTGAATTTTTCTCAGAATTTCCTGGTAAATTTCCCTTTTTCTCTTGACGGTACCAATGCACTCGTATAACTCTATGCAAATTCTAGCCTAATCCCATAGTAAACTACCTCCCTTTCCGTCCTTAGTGTGTCCAAAGAAAACTCTAAGGATGTATTTCCGATGCCAGATGCTCCAAACCAAAAGACTTACGTCCTTACGCCGAAAATATCTCTAACATGTCCTGAGGAAAACACTTCCCTGCTAATGCATTAGACGTCAAGGGTAAGTGAACCCTGTAGAGAAATTTCTAAACACTAACACACAACGACGTGCGGTTAAGTTGCCTCAGAAATTCTAATTCTTGTAGCCTTTCAAATTTTCACGCGCATGCACAAGATCGGCACACTTCTCTTGGAAAAATTTTGCTTTCCTTTACTGCTCATCCTGGTTCTCAGAGTTATCGCTTCCTTCGGTCACGTGTGCGCCCGTGACAGCGTAAGAAAACCTGGGGACGAGAACAAAGCGGTCCATGTCTCGTGTTATACATGGAATAGTTTCGTGCGACTCATTCTCGGTCACTCAGTTATTTTGTGTCAATGACATTGTCATTTACAACAGATAGTACAAATTTGAAGACCTGAAGACGAGAATGATCAGTCATTACTGCACCCAAGAAAAAAATGAGTCGATCTCGTTCCCAGGGTCCCGGTTTATTTCGATCACTTGATCGTGAGAAAAAGCAAACTGATTGAACCAGGAGGTGGGAGTGTGTGTAGTTTGTGCGAGTCAACTTTTTAGTCAACTGTGAAAATGATCACCAATGCAAGGTTTCTTTCCTCCTACAGTAAAGATGAGATAGAAAAACACGAAAAGCAGTCCCATGGACGACGTATGACGAATAAACAGTTTTATAAAAATTTTTTTCAATAAAACATCCTTTTGAAGGATTGAAATGTGACACGTTCCTTTGCGAGTTCAACACGAAAAAGTAGCAAATAGGAAGAGAGGAGAGGACAGAAGGAGAGAGAAAACTTAAGGGGGAGGGGGTAAGGAAGGGGGGAGGGGGACAGGAAACCAAAAAGTGACGGAGTGGCGAACGAAAAGGCATGCCAACAAACCAAGAGAAAAGGGAACGATCCGTGGGTGACAAGAAATAAAAAAAAATAATAAAAAAAAAAGGATGAAAGATACAGTGAAATATTGCAGAGCAAGAGCGAGGTAACCAAAGAATGCAGCAGAAAACGAACGAGTGAGTGAAGAGCGGAGACAACGAACGGGTGACAGAAACAAAGAGAATGAAAGAGAAAAGGAACGAATGGGTAAGAAAAAGAGAGAGGAAACGAGTGAGAAAAAAAAAAGAAAAAGGGAACGAGTGACTCAACAAAAAGAGAAAGCAAACGAGTGAATAAACAAAAAGAAAGCAAACTAATGATTGAACGAACAAAGATCGGGCGAACGAACAAATAAAAGAGCGAACGAGCAAAATGAACAAATGCACGGGAGACAGGGCGTATGAACAAATGAAATGCAAGGTAAACGTATGAAGCACAGGACACACTCAATCATGTAATATTTTTTTAACTGCATAAAAACCTGACGCAAAGCTTCTTATTACTATGTACATCACATCAGGATTAACATAGAACATAAATTTAATCTCATTTCAGCTTTCATAATTTTCTCTGTATATACAACCTTCTCCTGCCCAATTTGACGAAAACAATTTAGCTCAATTCTTATAATACATTAAGCTTACTGAATAATCTGAGATTAACAATAATTTGCTATAACCATTAAAACATCAAGAATTGTAGGAAACACTAAGTGTCTTAGTCGTTTTCCCGCGCTTTTGGTAGCTTTTCAGTTTTTACTTTGAGTCCTAAATTGCTGACGATGACACAAAACCTTTGTTATGATTGGCTGTGGCTGTTGTGATTATTCTGGTTATGGTTTTACGACAGTCGATTGAAAACTGCTCTTAAGAAACTTAGCCAATCATATTGCAGGAAACTCAAAATGATTCCAACTTCATTCGACCCTGGCAACCAGTGCTTTCGACATGAAAAGGAATATGGGGAAAAAAAATTGCTCGTTGCCTAGGTCGAGATATGTCCATTGCCTAAGAAATATTACCAGCTCTGACTTCTTCCGATGTTTACGAATAGCGCAATCTTCGATTCAATAGTACGTGTCAAAACAAATCCAGGATTGCTTTGGTCTTGTTCTAATTTGCTCTGTGATTGGTCAAAAAAATATCGTGCCACCCTCTCAACCAATCCGATGCAAAACAAACACCAATCACAATTTGGTCGCCCGCGTTTTCCCGCGCTTTAGACAGTTTTCTCGGTTTTACTTTGAGTTCTCATTGGTTCTTCAAGGTATTTTCCTCTGTTCTGATTGGCCAGTGTAATTATTTTGGTTTCCGTTTTAAGACACTCAATCGAAAAGCGCTCCAACTTATCCCAGGTCATCTGACGAAATCATTAGCCGAAAGGAACTGTAATCGTTGTATTTAACACTCAAGTTTAGTCATGGTATTTTTTGAAATGAAAAATATGCAACAAACATAATCTTCACATATGATAACAATTAATGCAAAATCTATTACATCCGCCCAGCAGAATTCTAACGAAATCTTTGAGATACAGAAATAAATTATGCGAAGAAATAAATATGAAGAAACGAACGTAGAAAGAAAACATTGTCGAGATTTTCCGTCTGAAAAAGAATAATGGCTGTGAATTTTAAAACCTTTTCCGAAGAACACTTCTCTAAAATCAACTGCGTAATTTCAAAAATATATTTCCTCTAAAATCAATATTATCAAGTACCGCAAATTCCTTGCAATCTAATTCTCGACTATAAAAATATTTGACTCAAAACAATTTCTTGAAATTCAAATTGAAATAACTCTTTTCAATTCAAGGTGAGCCAATTTGATTGAAACCAAACTGACGTGAAACACATTCTAACGCCTAAGTTTATCATATTACCATCTAAAATTTGAACTAAATAAAAATCACATTTCATTTTTAAGTCTACTGATGCTGCGCCAAGAAAATTACATCAAAAATTATATCAATAGCTTTATCTTAACAAGGTAATTCATCATTACAAAAAACATACATCTTTTAGCATTTTAGGTTACACATAAAGCTATCTGCCTTTAAACTTGCCTCGTGTCACCCAGCACACTAAATGCTACGGGAATACGCGTAAGAAAATAATCTTATTATCATTCCTTACCGGCACACTATATCTCAAAGTTAGGTATCCCTGACCTTTTAACTCCCAGAATCATATTTGCAATTCTCCCTACAGACTGCCAAATATTTCCTCGTAAAATAAACGGGAGAATTTCGTGTTGTATCAAGACCTAACCCCCCAGTTGATTAGCTTGTATGCTCTCATAACATGTTTGCAAAATAACACGGTGGAATCACAAGAAGAAGTGACACGTCAATCAACTCTGGGAGATAAAAGGTTGACAGAGGCAATCTAGCGCATCAGATCTTATAAGTAATAACCACTGTTTCCTTCTTCTCGCACCTGTCGACAAGGATATAAATAGTCTGAGTTACCACCATGTAGTTTCGAGGTTCTATTTTGGTCTAGAACAGACCAACAGCTTTCTTTAGATTGATTTGTTTCCAGCCTGGGAGCTTACTGAATGCCTCTTTCTCCATCTTAAAAATCTCCTAGAAAAAGAAAAGGAAAATGCTTAATTGTTGCACCAATCTCTCACCTAAAAAGGTGGCCATATCAATATAGAACACCACGACACACAGTGACATGTTGAGGTTCGCTTACAAACGTAAGTTGGAGCACTTTCTCATTAAATTCATTCTGAACTCACCTTAAAGTCATTATCGCTTAAGTAAACTTCAAGTTTCGCTGGATCAACTCCTTGGGGTGGTGGTATCTTCTGAAGTTCAGCCAGTGTGTAAAAATCCCTTTGAAAGCAATTAAGGAGTAGTTAAGATAAAGCGTCATTAGGGAAAGTGTCTTTGAGACCATATACACAATAACAAGATCAGCCAATCATATAGAAGAAAATAAACACGTGGAGCCAATGGGCATCCAAATTTAAAACAAGCACAATGTCTAAAACGCAGGAAAATGCAGGCAACCACGTCGACAACGATTTAGTATGTATCTGATTGGTTAAGAGAATGGTGCGTTAGTCTGGACCAATCACAGAGCTTACTAAAGCAAACTCTGCATAATTGCAATGTTTAAGCGTGCGCCCTCTGTCACAGTCTGGAAAATCTCATACCAGAAGCACTGATGGAAACTGTTGAAGGAGAAGAACACAGCTCTGTGTGACAGGAAACATGATTCTATAGTCACTTACTTTGTAAACTGTTGTAGTAAGTCGCTGGCAGAGTGTTTTGTATTAGGTTGCTTTCCGTCCTAGAAAAGAGACAACAAGAATGACTGATTACGATAAAAGAAGCAAAGGGCGGCTTTTTAATTCTATTAAAAGGAGTGCAACTTGCCAAGGAAAACTTGCTTGCTTGCATGCTTCGACATAGTACATACCAGTTTCTGTATTTTGATGACATCTGGTGTATCATTCCAGTAAGGAAAAAGAACCTTAAACGTCATCGGTTCCATGCCGGCATACACCACGTACACACGGTGAGAGACGCGCTTTCCAGCCTCTGAGGAATACGAAATAAATAAATAAATAAATAAAAATTAATACCATAAATCATTGAAAGGAATCAAAGATAGATAGAAAAGTTAATATCTCGTATTTCATAATGACTGGAAATTAACTTGGCAACTAATAGACTTGAGAAACACAACGATACACCTAAAGACAAAAATATCACTTACAGCGAGAGAGGGAAAAAAACAAATCGCACACCTTTAGCATAACTAAGCGCCGTTTCCATAGCGAGTTTTCTGTCTCTGTCCCAGCGCTGTCTTCCGGAGCCTGTTCGCACATCATCGTCTTCCTCAGGCATCCAACCCTCCCAAACGTAGACTTCATAGTAACCGTCTACGATAAACAACCCTGCAAATAATCCTCGAATTAATAATCAAAAATCTGTGTCTTAGAAAAACTTGTCTTCTGGGGGGGAGGGGGAAGGGGGAGAGGGATAGCAGGGAGGGGTAGCAGGGTAGCAGGGTAGCAGGGTGCGGGAGGAAAAGGCCGGGAAGGGAGTGTTAATGGAAAAGGTGTCTCGTCTCCCTCTGCCTCTCTCTCTCTCTCTCTCATTCCTTATTCCTCGCGCAAATCTCCTTACATTGAGATTACCCTGTGCAGTTTTGTAACAACTATGCTTAGCTTCCGCACCTGGTTGATTGGCCGTATAAAGGTCTTCTTGTAGGAATGGAAACGGGCACAGTTTTGGTTCCGATCGTGAGGGACACAAAACTTCACTCGCTGTGAATTTTCCAGTGGCACTGCTTAGTTCAAAAAGTCGAGGTTGGTAGTTGTGTTTGGATGGATCTACGACAAAAAAAAATCTTTCTTAAATAAACACGTAAACAAATCCTCATAACAACACACCGTAGTCGAGCAAGAATCGAGAGGAAACCTGTCCTAATTCATTTTTTTCAGACGTCACACAATGCTACCCTCCGCAAAACATTCCAAAATGGCAGCCGAAAAAGACTAGGATGAGCCAAAACTTTCCTTACTCTATTCCTGTTCGTCAAACATTAGGTTCCACTAAACTAGAACAGTCCCACAGTAAAAAAAATAAACCCTTTCAGCAGTATTCACGTGGTGTGATGACGTTGCTTTACAAGTTTGTTCTAGCTGAGGTCTGTGGATGAAATCTTCCAACTTAAGACGGAAGCTACGGATGGAAACCCTTGTTTGTTTCTAGTCCATGAAAGCTCCTGAGAAGCACTTTCTAATGATGTCTACTCCACGTTCATATGGGCTGATGTATCATTTATCCGTTCTGCGCCTATAAGCACGACGAGTGAACAAGGTCAGTTACATACCATGCGCCAAACTGCAGTAGTACTTCTTTCCTCCAATCACTTTCCAAAACTCTTCTGTTTCGCTTCCTTCCTCGATTTCACTGAGAGAAAAGGCTGTAATCCCAGCCATATTGCAATCAACACTCTTCCTGCAATGGAACATCAAAAAGGCGTAACTAAAAACACATATCGAGTACAACTCAATGGCGAGAAAAGCGAGTGAGTTGGGCACGATGGCTTTTAAGTCTGCATCTGATTGGTTGAAAGGGCGGCCCGGATTCGCCTGACCAATCAAAGAGCGTGGTAGTGTAAATTCGACTGTACGGCAACCAAAACCGCAGTGACAACAGCCAATGATAACGAACGAAAATATCAAAACGAGCCCATACGAACTAGAGCAAAAACGCGTCAACTGCATGAAGCCAGGGAAAACGAGAGTACCCAAGTCGCAAGTAGGATTACTTCTGCATCTCTTATGGTTAAGGGATAGTGAGAGTTTTCTCAAACAAGAAAAGAACTTAAACTTAAAGAACGCAGAAGGAAAAACACCACAATACTTTTGAGACTCAACTGAAAATTGCCTTAACGTGGTAAAGCAAACCCAATGCCCAATCTCCCACAACACTCCCTGTCCCATAACTGTTTTGCATCTGTTTACTTCTGCCTTACCTTTCCTGGACTTTCTTGGCAGCTGCTTTGGCTGTGGCGCGGGAATCTTCACTGGATTTACATCCATGCCACAAGTAGATGTGAGCTTCACGCCGTGACACCAGAACTAAACTGGTCCTTGATCGCAGCGAATATGAACTATGAGATGAAAAAAATAAAAGTTGCGTCTTTGTCTCCTTTAGAGCTCTCATCTGAGGTATTCAAGCCAGACGAGCGTGTTACGTGACCAACGTGTTGTGTGACGACCGTTTTGAGCGATAAGCGCGGTGCGTGAGGAGACTAGAACTGTAGTTCATGCGATATAATAATCAAATGATCACCTGGGAGTATCTAAAACGAGCGCGTTTCGTGAAGAACGTGTTGCGCGATATGCGTGTTTGGTAGGACAAGCTGTATTTTATGTGAGAAAACATTCCAAAATATCAAGAGAGAGTATTTCAAGACGCGTGAAAAGACAAACTTTCCGCATGACAAGCGTATCGCGTGAGGAGATTAAAACTGTGCCTAACAGTGAAATGATCACAACACAGTAAGCCTTTACCTTGCTTTGACTTGATTCAGGTAGGCCTCTCCAGGTTCTTCATTACGAATCACATACAAACGAGTCTCAGAGGAATCTGGCAGAAAACGAAAGAAAATGAAAGCGAGTTATAGTATTATTGTTATTATTGAAAATTTAGTTTTACATCAAGATAACATGACGAAGGATATTCTCTTAACCTGTTCACTGAGAGGAGAGGAAGTAACGAGTAAATCTCCTCTCAAAGTTAATGAGTTAAGCCTACCTGTGAATTTCGCTGTGTTCTCGTCTACCATGTTTTTCCTATTGAGCAAGTGAAAGTATCAAGTTATGAGAACCAGTTAATGTTCTTTGTGCTTGCTCTTCAACACCTCTGACATAAGCACAAACGACCGGCCATCCCGCAAGAGATAAGCTAAGGACCAAGAGAGACGAGCCCAACCACCACACTCGTGATATGCTCCTGACTAAGGGCGGTGTCTACTTTGAAACACCTTCACCCCTCCAAGTGTCAGCCACCCTACCCCTACCCCTTGTTTGTCTACGTAAGGTGTCTATGTGCGGTTGGTGACGACCGAATAACTGAGTGTACGGAACGATGGTCTGTATGTGCGTTACTTGCGCATCCTATGAGTTCAGTCTGTCGTCCTACCAAAGGAGTCTATCTTATACAGTTGGGACATTAAGCAAACCACGATGGCGACGGCAACAAGAATGAGGCCAAACAACATTGGAACACTTACATGGCGCAGCACGAAAGTTTTAAAGTTCGTACATTTGCTTGCCGTCCTCTGCTAAACAACAGCGTAAAATTATCACATTAGCGAAGTCTAGAGGCGGGATCCGCGACGGCAAATTATTCAAAATTTTTTGAAACCAAGGGCTACCATCGCATGTTATGCTGATGATGAGGTCGCGCGGCGTTTTAAACTGAAAACACGTTGAATCCATCACTAATCTCCTTCGCAGTTGTTCTTTAGGGTGTCACGCAACGCCCCCTCTCAGAGGAGAGGGGCGTTGTGTGACAACCAACAGGCCTATCGTTCGTCGGCATCGTCGTCGTGGTGCTTAAGGGCCCCAATAACCTTATGTAAGTGACCACACAGTGTCCACTGAGAAGACATGAAATGCTAAACAAAACGACATATACTGTGCGGGTGACAGTGGCAGTGGCAGTGGCAGTGAGGCGGAATCATGAACAGGAAATCATGTAAATATGAAATTTGACAAATGAGTTTTCAGACGTTAATTCCATTAACAATTTGAATTATTTTAATACTAACTTCAGGAAAAATGAAAATTATTTTCTTTAAACTTCGTTTCAATTATGCTTCTCATAGGTTAACGTGATGTTTTGCGCTCCAAAGCATACTTGTTGAAATAATTATTTTTGATTATTGTGGTTTCATCAGGAGGTTTATGGGTTTGGTCTTTAACATTAAAATTTTCATGAGCTTGCAGTGCAGGCGTCTTAATAGGGTGAATTAACGCTAAGAAGCGAACCATCTTTTATGCAACCAGCCATGTTTGATTTGGAGTTATAGTCCACAGTGGGGGGGAGGGGGAGACGAGCGGGGAAAAGCGAAAAAACTCTCCCACCCCCACCCCCCTCCTTGTTTCTTTACTGTCGCTCACCCCTTAGGAAAAATTTCTTTATCTCCGTCAGCCATCCGCTTCCATTAAAATCAAAGATGGCGGTCATAATTTTCGCCGAGAAAATAATGAGCACTCGCCCGCCAAATTACGCTACATTTTTACTGTTACGTGATTTTATGGCGCGCCTTTCCGGTCAATATTCAAACAACCTTAATATACAATACATCCATTACATTCCTTTGCCATATTTTTTATTTCCTTTATGTAGATATATTTTTTTCGCTACTTTATTTCTCATTTTCCTTCTATATTTTTTAAATCTCTTCCTATCAATTTAGATACACGTGTTTAACGCATCTATTTTCTATTTTTTCTCTTTATCTTATATGCGTTCTATATTTTTTATATTCATTCCATTTTTTTTTTTCGTTCCGAGTGGGATTTTTTATTTTCTTTCTAATTAGTATGCAACACGTGATCACATTACCACGCTACACTTTTTACATTCCGCCATTTTGGCGTTCGGCTATATGGAGGAAGAGCTATCGACTGCCTGTCGTGCGGCCGCGGATGCTTTAGAGATTTTAAGTAATTTGAGACCTGGTTTTACGAGAAATGTAATACCTCGGATGAATTCAACGTCAGTCTCTGTCAGTCAGCCGAACAACGGGGATCGTAAGGTAAACAACGAGGAACTTCAGTCGAGCGAACTTGCCATTCAGTCCTCGACGTCGCCAGCCTCTAACAGTTCTATTCAAGCTCAGCTTGCCACTCTCTTTCCGACAATTGGTTCGAACCGAGCTAGTGGGAAAAGCACTAGTAGAAGACCAGCAAGGTCAAAGCAGACCATTAAGTCGACCAAAGGCCGCCCACCCAAGACACTTGTTTACAAGGATCTAGTCCTTATTCCCAGTCCCAAGATCAACAAAGTGCCTACACATACAACCCGACTTCAGTTAGAAGAGAGAGAACTTGTCTGCCACGAGTTTCCCTTTGACAAGAGCTGGGATGCACATTCCCTCAAAGCTGCTATATTGAATCGATTTCCAAAGCTTTTGCTATTTGAATATGTCAAGGTGGGTAACTTTGCGTTGTGATATAAGTTTAAACATTGTTCTACGTTTAATGCTTTAATAATATCATTGCTGTTCAGTTTGTACATTTTTTGTGGCTGCACTATTTTTAAATACGCATTTATACTATTTTGCCAAAAATTTAACCACATAAGAGGATACCTGCAGTGACGCGAGTAATGGACTTCGAATTTTTGGCAGAATTTGTTGGGTTATTTTAGATTTCCTCTGGTACTGCCCCACCCCCACCCCTCTCTCCTTCCTTGTGATATAAGTTTAACTTAACTAATCTTTCATTAGATTTACCCTTAACTTTTGCAAGAAGCGTGCAAGTAATGTGTGTTTTTCTTAACCTAGCCATGCTATGGAAAGCTAATAACTCCTAAGCTGGCAGAAGGCATAACTCTGGATGCAGAAAGAGTGACCAGGATGGCTGGTCAAGGAACTGTTTATGTTAGATCACTGGTGCCTTTGGAATCTGAAGATGAGAGAGAAACTGAAGAGGAGCTAGAGAATTCAGCATTAGATAACAGTCCAAGGTGAACTTTTTCTTGTGAATTTTTGCATTGAAGATAAAACCTGTATAGATTTCTTTTAGCTTTTTTGCCACACTGCAAAGGTAGCTTCCCGTTGCAGTGGAATCATCTTATATATGATAGACTGGCATCCCAGATCATGCTACTAGGCATGACAATGGCTTTTTGTTGGAAATATTATCTAGTTTGTCTCCAAACAGATTTGTGTATTTATTTATTTTATTGGTTATTTATTTATTTATTTGTTTGCTCAGATCTTTATTCAATTGTTTGGCAGGACAGGACATAAATTAATGTGGTTTATTGCAACTCCATGTGATTGTGATATTTGTATAAAGATGAACCTTCATAGTCTGTTACATCATTGCCAATTAGTTCCCTTTTTTTATGGTTTGTAACAAGTTGATATTTCCTTTTAGTGTTAGTGGAGCACAAAGAAGCTCTCTGTTGCTTTCATTTGGGGAGAGTGAAGGGAGGCCAGATGCAGCTGTGTCCCACCCCTGCCAGGATGCTGCACAACCTTATTGTGTACCATTTCCAACTGAAGCAGAAACATCACATCAAAATACAGAGTTAAATGATGTAGAGACAGGCAGTAACTCTGATATTGTTCATGCATCATCTGAGCATGTACCTGTGTCTGTATCAGTACCTGTACCTCAACTGTTAACAAAACGTATCATCCAAGTGCACAGGCTAAATATTAAGAAGGATTTGATTGACTTATTCTGAGATTATGAGTCAGGACATAGAGATAATTGTTATTGATGCCAGGGGAGTTGAAGAAGTGGGCAGAGGTGTTGGGTTGCTCAGAGATGTTTTCTCTCTTTTTTGGAAAGAAACATATGATTCCCTTTTTGTTGGAGAAAATGAGCGTGTACCATTTGTAAGACATGATTATCAAAGGGATGAATGGGTTGCTGTTGGCAGAATTTTGGTGAAAGGATATTTAACCTGTCAATACCTACCAGTCCTTCTGTCTCAAACATTCCTTTCCTGTCTTTTTTGGGGGGAATCTGCTGTAACTAGTGCTATGCTGAGTCAATCCTTTAGAAATTACATTTCATTTGATGAAAAATGTTTGATTGACAAGTGCCTTGCTGGTGATATGAAGTGGGATGATGAAGATGAAATGTCCCAGCTTTTAGAAGTTTTTAGTAACTATGACTGTCGAATTATGGTAAATTCTGAGAATATTATTCAAGTTATTGAAGAAATAGCCCATAAGGAGCTGCTGCAGCAGAAGCCACAGTATATTGCAGACTGCTGGAAGGATATAGTTTCCACACTCCTTCCTAGTTTTCCTGATTTTGCAGCAATTTCCAAAAGGTATGAATTGTTAATACCATCCACAAGCAAAATCCTTAGTTGCCTAGAGGCAAACCCTGAGAGTGATGGGGAAAGGGATAGCCTTAAGTTTCTCAAACGGTATATTAAGGGCCTTGACACGCCTCAGAAATTATCAAAGTTTGTAAGGTTTATCAGTGGGTCTGAGTTAATGCTTTTTGATGCAGTCCAAGTAAATTTTACCAACTTATCTGGTTTGGGTCGCCGACCAATTGCCCACACTTGTAATACTGTGTTGGAGCTATCCTCGACTTATCAGTCATTTCCTGAACTTAGAGAGGAGTTCAGTGCAATACTTGCATCAGATTATTGGGAAATGGATATTGTGTAATATGCCTTGTGACAAAAAGAAGACCATTATGATGGCAAGCTGATAGAACAGACTGTTAATTCATTTTTGTAGTGAAATTATGTTTTCTACCTTGGATGGGTATTTACGATTTTAAAACATCTAACAACAGTGCACATATTATTTTCCAGTAAATCAAACTGGGAAATCGTTAGCTAATATATTGTTATCTGTTCAAAGTTGACATTTTCAAGTGAGCGCAGTTGTTTAGAACTTTATTGTTGAGATTTTAATGTATTTTTTCTTGACTGCTGTAAAGGTTAAGTTGCATTCGTTGTTCTATTCTGATTGATACAATTTGAAGGCAATTAATAAATTTAACACTGTTTACGTTTTCAATCTGTAATAGTGGTACCTGTTTGATAGGCGTTAATTGATCTTAATTCTCTTGGCCCTGTTTTCACTCTCTAAACAATGAATTTCAGGTTAATTGAATGCTGGGAACACCTGTTTTGAAAGATAGTTACCAGCCAAGTTTCTTATATGTTGAACTGATTCCTGAGGATGTCTATGCATCTCAAATATTGAGTTCTACCATGTTCACCATCGTCATTCAAAGGATGACAGGAGACTTCCAAGATATGCAGTTGTTGTGGTGTGAGGTGAACATCAACTGCTGGTATTGAGACCTGGTAATCGTCGTCGTCTAACGGGATAGGTCCATCTGGATCAAACCCATACAATGGAATTTCATTTGGATGTAGAATACTCTCAACTCCAGAGTATCCAGAGTGCATGTTTTCCAAAATCCCAGAGGCAAAAATTTGTAGGGGAGATAATTGATGTTCACTGGAGACAGGGTGATTGTTCCATTGACTAGTAAAGTGTTGCAACGCCCTATTTATTCTTGGTATTATACAAAGTGCAATGAAAATAAATGTACTTCATTTAACGGGTCAAGAAGACCCATGTCTTCCATTCCACTAAAGATATTGGCAAAGTGACAAAGGACACCAGCGTAAACATCCTTGTGAGCACGCTCAACGCGGCTGTTGTGGACAGAGCTTCCCGTTATGATACTTCCTCTGTTTAGTCCTCTATTTTCCAACATGTACTGTGCCACTCTAACATTTTCCAGTCCATGATCGCTTCTTACTCTTGAAGGTAAGCCAAACTTTGTACTCCCTTGATGAAGAGCTCCAACACTGTATCTGCTCGGTTGTTATCAGTTAGGTGGCATACACAATAACCCTTGAATACCCATCAACACAGCAATGCACAACAAACCTGTACCTGGTAAGCTTGTGGTTTCCGTCTATGTGCCACAAAGCGTTTGGCGTTGGTACAGAGTACTTTCGACGGTAAACCGGAGTACTCCAGCGAAGTGCTGTCCCAAGCGGGTCTTTTCTACGAAGACAGTAACGAACCCTCCATCGCTGGATTCGAAATCCCCTTGCTCGGAGAGCTCCAAGCAATCTTCGTTGTCCAATGTTTGGAGTAATGCTTCTAACTTCTTTGACAGCGTCTTCAAGCTGAGAATCTGAAAAGAAGTTCTAGTTTAATTACAAAGTTTGAAGTGTCGTACATCATTGAGTGAGATGGGGAACCTAAAATATTTTGACTAAGGGTATGGCTTTTAAAGATTTATTTTACCCGAAACTATATCACCCTTGTCCAAACACACTGATAATAAGCATTAAACCAAATAAGCTACTAGTATAGATAACCTTAGTCTGTAAATTACTGCGCACCTGACAATGCGGTCCAGTTTTCGCTGTCATCATCCAAATCTAATTCCCGTCTTCTTCGACGTAAAGTACTTTCACTGATACCTAACAAACTAGCGATTTTTACCTAGGAAAATGCAGTTCGCGTAAGAATTCGATCTGCTCTCTTTCGATGACGATTACTGGTCTTCCTGCACTTGTTTGTTTAGTGGTAGGACAAGCGAATGAATTTGATATCGTTGCTTCAACGGAATTTCTTTCCTCGTACTTTGTCATTGCACGGAAAACAAAGCGTACTTTTGTCAAAACAGCATCTATTATTGTCTTGAAATCTCGAAGGACAGAGTCCTCACTTTGCCATACACTATGCAATAGCAACTGTAAAGTTAAAATTGCATCTTCCAGACGCACGTTAGTTCAAAGTAATCAGCGGAGACATCTTGTGTGTTCAAATTCTGAATACCAATCAACAGGGTACGAAGAGACTCGACGAAGTTGTAAAGGCCTCTCTCGTTGCCACCTCTTAAAGTTCCATCCGCCATTTTGCTTTTGAAATTGTCGGAAAAGTGCATCGCGTTCATGTGATCACGTGTTGCATACTAATTAGAAAGAAAATAAAAAATCCTCTCGAAACAAAAAAAAAAATGGAATAAATATAAAAAATATAGAACGCATATAAGATAAAGAGTACAAAATAAAAAAAAGATGAGCTAAACACGTATATATAAAATAATAGGAAGAGATATAAAAAATATAGAAGCAAAATGAAAAATAAAGAAGCAAAATGAAACAGCTACAGAAAGGAAATAAAAAATATGGCAAAGAAATGTAATGGATGTATTGTATATTAAGGTTGTTTGAATATTGACTGGAAAGGCGCGCCATATGATTTTACTGTTAATTCAGGACTTGGTTCTTTCTTTTCAAGGCAAGTTAGAGTTTTAAGCCAGTCAGTAACGCCCTCGTCAAAAAAGAGTTTTAATTAAAGCAGAGCAATTTTCTACTGGGTGTCAAAAGTAACCCGTGATTGCTTTCGTTTCGCTCAACTTTGCTCGCGCCATCCTTAACTTGATTCGCACCATCCTCTCAACCAATCAGATGCAAACTAAAAAAACAACCGCGACCCGGCCGTTCGCGTTTTCCCGCGCTTCAAGCAGTTGACAAGTTTTCACTTAGAGCTCTCATTGGTTAATGATAATGTAAACCTTTGTTCCAATTGGTCACTTTGATTATTTTGGTTCTGGTTTCACTACACCCAATTAAAAACTGCTCTAACGAAGAAATTAAAGTTGGTTCAGGTAGGGGAAGTTTTCCTGCCAAGATATTGTTTAAAATAATTACTTACGCGGATATTATTGTTAGAAAATCAGAACTAAACTTACGTCTCTGTGTCATACCAGCCCTTGGGTAAGCTGTTAATAAAAGAATTAGTGAAGTGAAATTTCACATAAACAATAGTATTTGTCAAAAAGTAGCTCAGCTTTTCTCCCATCTTCATTTTCAGAGTTTAGACCATTCTTCTCTGTGTTTTTTTGGATCGGTAGATTATCTAAAAAATGTTAGACACATCGTTCCTTTAAACTGTTCATTATCACGATCACTGATAAACATTTATTTGGCCTGAGAAAAAAGCATCTCCCATTGCAAGTTTAGTATGGCTGCCTGCTTAGAAAATGATTTGTTCTAGCGTGATACAGCAATTTATAAGTGAGCATTTGAAGGCAATCCGAAATTGTCTTGTCAGTTTGCTATACTTCGCTCTCTGATTGGTCGAAAAACTCGACCCACTTTCTCAGCCGATTGGATGCAAAAATGAAAAAACTAATCGCGACTTGATCACTCGCATTTCGCGCACCGAAACCAATATCAACAGGCCCTCGTTATTGGGGCTTCAGCGCGAGCACTTCCTCGCCTGCGCGAGAGTACAACGCCTTGAGCCACGCAAACCTCTCCCCGACTCGTCTGTGCTCTTTCCGCAGAGGAGAAACGCGCGTCCTGCAGCGCTAAGAATGAGGCTTGCTCGCAAGCTGGTCTCAACACGAGTTTTCATCGGCTCTTTTATTCACACAGAATGAGAGATGCTTCTGTTCTCGAGTCAAGTACCCTAACTGCACTTCGATTCAAATTAAATCGCGATAAATGATATATGGACATATATAATGTACACATGCAACGAATACGTGAATAATTTCGACTCCTGATGATACAGTTTACCAGTGAATCAACACACTCGAATGCTGTGTTCGTGGTAGCGTGATTGAGAACATCCAACATGAATTTCTGCTGTTTGATTGCAACGAAATGATAAAATTGACGTCCAATATTCATGCATTGTGTTGGTGTAATGGACAGCGGGTTGCTGAAAATTTGACCAGTGAAGGACATTTTTGAGGAAATATCTGAAATACAGATTCATTATTCAAAGACGACTTCTGCGCATGAGCTTTATGGCTCAAACCGCTGAAGCTTATCCCGGTGTCCATAGAATAAAGTGAGTAAAATTATTGCTACTCCTTTAAGACAGGCAGCTAATCCATCCTAAGATACTCCCTTCATCATCCCACCTCGGATAATTTTCGCGTTTCCTTTTCAATTTTTACTCTTCTGTGAAGAGAGGCGCTGCGAGAGTGATTTTTTTTCCACAGAGAAGACAATCAATCGAACATATCTTAGCTCAAGATCAAATATAAATGATAATCAAATACTACAGGCTGGTCAAAACTAGATGTTCACAAACTGTGTACCTGCCAGTATGGATAATCATTCCCCCTTTGAAGAGATTTAGAAATACTGGAGTTTCCTTTCCTTGCACCACTCTTACCTGTAAAGATAACATCGAGGTAAAACTAACCAATCGAAAGAAATAAAAAAAAAGACAAAACAGCCAAAAGAAGATACTGACTGACAGACGAAAAGGCGATAGAACTAGGCAAGCAAGAAGGCAAACAAAGACAGGATAGCACACACAAACTACTTCAGGATAAGGCTTTCAATACAAATTTCATATCGTTACCTGCGGTCCTTTTTCTTCATCAAGTTCTACAGCCATGATGGCAGCTGCACCCTTCTCATTCACAGAACAGTCATTTCCTTGCCAGAAAAAGTAAGCGCAGCGGACGCGCCCAGCAACGGTTGAACGACAACGGGACTTCCGATCTTTGACTATTCTGTCGGCGAGCACAAAGTAGGCCCACCTGATCACGTAGCCTTCCCCTGCAACATCAAAATACTACATTAAAGTAACGTCTTAAAGACATTGAATGGAGGTCTGCTCTCAGCTAATCCATTGAAATCCCCCCCCCCTCCATGGGCATTATGTCGAGTTTTCCTAACATTTCACAAGCAACCTATTTAACCTTTTCCATCCTTAAATTAGCATCCATTTTCTCCCCACTGTTCTCTTTACTTCTTCTGTGGTACTCACTAGAAGAATTTGTTTGACAATCAGGAGCTTCTTAAATTTGTGATCATTTCTGTTATTCTCATGAACTTTACATTTGATTTAAAAGTGATAATCTAAGGAGAAATTACAAGCCAGACACTCGGAAGGTTTAAACTCCAGCGTGGAGAAAGGCACTCAGTTATTGACGTGTTTTGCCCCAGACAATGGTACAGAGACTCGGCAATGGCTCGAACTCAGTCCTCCCTACCCCGTGCACCAACCACTTTCTAAACAAGAATCAAGTTATTTATTCTTGTATGAATCAATCATACAAGAATAAATAACACTATCAGCATTGATGTGTTTACCTGAGTGGAAATGTCCATGTTGTGCTGGCTGTACCTCAAAGTGTCTGTACTCGTTAATATGCCACACTGTTAGACCGGCGGTTGTCACAAGGTTTCCTTCCTTGTAAACGTCACCCACCCACACAGTAGGAATCCCATTGCCACGTCCAACATTCGTCCCTTCAAACATCTGGCTTGGCAATGGCGGTGGACTTTTCAGCATGCTCTTAGGGTCACAGGGCTTCAGTTCCACAGGAGGAGGCTAAAGGTCATGGAGAAAACCAACATATCACTGTTCACGAACAAAGCTCACTCTCAAACTGTCAACACTGTTCCGTGTCTTTCGTGTTGTGCATGTTTTACACACTGAAATTTAAAGTACCGCTCAAAAGTAAGTTGACAGTCCCTCGAAACTCGATCTCGATCCTCGAAAACTCGAGGCACGAGTCGAGTTTTTAAACGCTCGAGACGAGGACACAAAGGAATTTTTGCGCAACCAATTCACTTTTAAACAACAATCTGCTTTGAAGACCAAGCTTAAAATTTACCATCGTCTTTAGTTTAACTCTCTACAGGACCCTTTGACCTTTTTCTCTCTTAACCCTTTACACCCTAACATCAGTATGCATATTCTCCATACTGTTCTTTATACATTTCCTAAGGTGCTGACAAGGAGAATTTGTTGGCCAATCAAAAGGTTCCTTTCCTGGTGATCATTTCCTTCATTTTCATGACCTAAATGTGCAATTCAGGAAGCATACTGTAGGGAGAAATTAGATGCTAGTCACCCTTGAGGTTTAAAGGGTTAGCAATAACCAAAACAACCATAACAGAAGTGAACTTCTGGTCCCTAATGATAAGCAGTAATCAAAATTCACTGTACCGTTGGTGCTAGTTCAAGCGTACTAGGATGTCCCTTCATTCGAATAATCTTGGTTGGATCAGGCCAGTCGAGGAACTTCTCTCGAAACAAGATTGTCTCAGCCTTTTCGTGAAGCCTTGCAAATAACGTCCACGGTGGTCTGCCAGTTGAAACTTTATTGTCTACTTCGGTGCAATTTTCGGGTTTGCCATACGGGTAGATTGGATCATAATTTTTTCCATACGGTTTAAAAGGCTCTTCATATAGTTGTTTTGCCAGAGCGAAGGCCGACTTTCTTTGACCTGATAACGATTGTTGTCCATTCCAAACGTACAGTTCTGAACCAAAGTCAAATATGAAAACCTGAATAAAAACAAAATGTGTTGACTAGGACTGTGAGAGAAAAAGTGTAGCCGAATGCAATTTAGGCAACACAGCGGTCGAACGTCTGTGCATGGGTGAATGTTGTATAGGCTTCATGTGCCATGAAGGGTGGTGGGTGGCGCGCTAAATTGCCTTACAAGAGTTAAAGGAAGGAAAGCTGATGACTTTCCAAACGCAAAGCTCTTTCAAGTACAGATATCCTATTGATTTACTATTCTTTGTGATGTTCGCTTTCAACACCGTGACTAACTGGCTTATACTATTATCTGTAACATCTAGGTTGTGACAGCCTCAATGCACGCCAACTACTGGCAGCTGGTCATTCCGACGTTCGCTCATGCGCGGACGCTTGACCACTGCGTTAGAGATTGTCACCCTCGACTCAGTGTTTTAAAACACAGAAACAAGATTTCCAACGTGAACACGATTCACAGATGATCAAATAATTGGTCACCAGCAAAAAGCAGAAAGCTTTACTAATAAAATGTAATTACCTCTTTAGTGTCAAAAATGGAGACCTGAGGAATTCGTCCACACATAGTCTCTACTGGCATCAGAGTTGGAGGATCTGTCCAATGAATTTTATAAACCATGTTGCCTTTAACTATACCCTTCTCGTATTCTTCATCTTTCGCCATTTTTTGAGCATCTATATGAGGATAAGTGGGGACTGAATTTTAGTGTAGACTAAACAAAATATAATAGTGCTGACTGTGAACCTCTGCATTCCATTCAGCATATAGAAAATTCATATTGTAAATTACAGATTTCACTTGAGATAAACCCTATACCCTTATCATTGGTATTGATTTTCTCGACACGATTCACTTTCCATTCCCTATAACAGTGACCATGAAAATTTGTTTGACGATGAGAATCTTCCTAAATTTATGATATTTTCCTTTACATTTGATGCAAGGGTGAAACTGAAGAGGAGAAATAAGAAGCAAGTCACTCCGAGGGGTCGACAGGTTGAAACTTCTCATTGCGATAACTCCACTCGGTTCTGCCAGCATTATTAAAAAAAACCCTTGGCAAAGGAAAATTACAGAGCTGGGAAAATGACTTAGTGTCAACTAAAGGGAACTGTTTGTCCATAGAGGGTATTGATTGGTTTGGACACCACTCTTAATTCAAGCTGAGGTAATCATTCGCGAAACATTTGGTATCATGGCAATTAATCTGCTTCACTCAAACATCAGTATGCATATTCTCTTAAAAGTTCTCTATACATTTCCTATGACGCTGACAGGGAGAATTTGTTTAACAATCAAGAGCCTCTTTAGTTGGTGATCATTTCCTTTATTCTCGTGATGTTGACATGTGATCCAGGGGTGATCCTGTGATAGTCACTCTTAGGAGTCAAAAGGTTAAACATACAAATGGCACTTTGTAGGATCTCTTGTTTCAGTCAGGAGGTACTTGTAAGCAAGTTTTAACCCAGTCATCCCTTAGAGTGACTAGCGTCTAATTTCTCCTTACAATATCAGCCCTAAATCACACAGTAAGGTCACAAGAATTAAGAAAATGATCACCAACTAAAGAAGCTCTTGATTGTTAAACAAATTCTCCTTGTTAGCACCTCAGAAAATGTATAGAGGACATACTCAGTCAGGGCGTGAAATTGCGCCTAATACAGGCGCCAATGCGCCTAAATTTTTCACTTTGGCGACCAAATCCTGAAAGTTAGTCGCCAAATTGGCGACTAGAACGTTTCATCATAACCTTACCAAGAGATGTAGTGAATTAAAAAGATTTGCAAAGATAAATCCGCGGCAAACTTCCTCGTTAACTTTGTTTCCAAAACGTAGCACATGCATCTCGATCGATAACTAGACGCCATCTTGGATTTAGATGAGCCTGAACGTTGTATATCATCCATCCTAGTTTCCACTTTGTAGCACGTTAAAGATCTTTTCCCTAACTTAATTTTGGAGGGTCTATCTAGAACACTGACAGCGTAAAGAAAGATTTTGTTTGTCTTTGAAAATGGCGACCAACTTTTTTTGAATTGGCTACCACTTTGAAGAATTTAGGAGCCAAGTGGCTATCAGAAAAAAAAGTTAATTTCACGCCCTGTACTGATGATCGGATGTAAAGGGTTAAAGGTGATACAAATGTTAGCCAACCTTTAACAGGATTACTTCCAGGATCTCCACTCAGAATGTTTGCAAACTTGTCCAAGGCAGCGTTGAAGTCCATGTCTCCTTCTTCAATGGTGACAATGTCTCGCGCCTTACAGTTCAATTCATTCTTTGTTTTAATCTTGGAGACAATTTCTGTCACCTACGGAAAAGTCAAAATTATTATTTAAGACCTACAATCCAAAATGAGATCTACAAATACAGTATCAGGGGTGGTGGCAGAAACTGAGCAGGAGTAGCAGAAGAAGCAGAAGCAGACACAGAGGTGGTAGTGGTGGCAGAAGTAATAGAAGAAACAAGACAAGCAATATCAGAAAACCAAAGCAATGAAGAAGCAGAAGAAGCAAAAGAGCAAAAAAAGAGGAAGAATTAACATCAGTAGCAGTATTAGTTGCAAGAGAAACAGGATTAGCAGAACTAGCAGCAGAAACAGCAATCGTGGTGGCAGTAGCATCAGTAACGATTGTTGTATCAGCAATGATAGATATAGGGGTGAAGGTAGAAATAGAAAAAACGGCATGTAGCAATTCCTACAGAAGTACATGTATTTACAAACCTTGGCTTTTTCATACGGATTGGATTCCCTTCCAATCCAGGAAAACAGATCCTTTTCTGTCACAAGAGCAAAACAGTCTCCAGAATTTAAGGACTTTAGACTTGGTTCAACGAGACGTACTTGAAGATGACGCCGTCCTGTACACAAAATACAAAGGGCTCAACTTTAATGTATGTAAAAGCATAAATGAAAGTGGGGGTAGAGTCTACTTTAGCATAAAGTGCTCAATGCTGTGGTAGCAAAGCTAAGTATAAATCAGTTAAAGAATTAAAGAGGACGCATCGATTCTCTGTGACTCTGAGTTTCGCGCCTAAGCACTCGTCACACAGAACTTTTGCATGTAAAAGTAAAGATAAAGTCTGTACTCAAGTCTTCTGGCCCACGTAGCCGGAGCTTTTCCCAGTTTCCATAAAGCATCAAGCGACAAGGAGTGTAACTACTCCCCCCTGGATGGGATGCCAGTCTATCACAAGGTTACCCCATAGTATTTCATCAGGCTTCCCTGACAATTCTTCAGTACCCATTTAAACTCCTTCCTGGGTGGAGAGAGACATGGGGAAAGTAAAAGTGTCTTGCCAAAGAGCACAACACAGTAACCTGGCCAAGTCTTGAACCCAGACCTCTCGACCCGGAGTCCAGTGCACTGACCATCAGGCCACTGTCTCTCCCACATGTATGTAACTCCTGTCATATATTCCCTCACAATTAACCCTTTACACCCTGGCATCACCATGCATATTCTCCATACTGTTCTCTATACATTTCCAAGGTTCTAACAGGGAGAATTTGTAAAACCATCAAGAGCTTCGTTGCTTACTGATCATTCCTTTATTCTCATGACTTAAACCTTTTATTCTGGGGTGATACTGTAAAGGAAATTAGAACCTTGTCAATCTTAGGGATTAAAGGGTTAAAAACTCTTGTGACTTTCCAAATCCATAGATTTTTTTATTTACCTTTTATGTGGATCAGCATAATAGGTTTTATTCCTCTGTACTCATCCTTTTCCTTCTCTTCAGGCCCAGCAGTTTTACGCAATCTGACTTTAGTGAAATCTTCAGTGCTGGCCAGACCAGCTAATGCTGATGCCGCCAAGTCGAGAGTGTGACGCCTCCCTGTAAGTAGACAAGAGAACATCATACAAATGTACTGTTGGTGCAAGTTTTTTTTATGTTATGTGAAAGTAGAGTTATGTGAAGTGATATGATGTGATGAATTACAGTTAGATCGCACCATGGTTAGATCGCTCCACTCGCAAGTTAGATCGCTCCATCAAGTAAGTGGCTTCGCTCCTACATAATTTACTTCGCTCCATGTCGAAAACTAAGGTTAAGGTAGCAAAACTAAGGTATCTAAATTGATAATTCATTAAATGACGTGTATATCTTACCTAACAATCGATTAAAATCGCTGGCGCGCGCTTGAAAAAAATCCGAGCTACGCAGAAAAAACAAATGAAGCCTCATGTAAGGGACTCACGAAGTGTAATCTAATTTATTAATTAAAGATGGCAGATATCAGTTTCCTTACATCAAACAGCAAAAAAGGCCACACTGGACAGTATTGGTATTAGAATGATCAATACACTTCAGACAATAAAGTTATAATCTATTCCACGATCATGTATTCCATCATCGCTATACATCATACATCGGTAGCTCAGTGGCTAATCTGAAGGACAAAGTGTGGACGAAGTACTCGAATCGTCACAAGACACATCATCACCTATAAAACTTTAAAGATCATTGGAAAGTAATACTTCACATTACAACATGGAGCGAAGTACCTTATGTTGTTAGCATAGTAACTTATTTGATGGAGCGATCTAACTTTCGAGTGGCGCGATCTAACTTTTGGTTGGAGCGATCTAACTGGGAGCGATCCAACCATGGCGCGATCTAACCGGATACCTATGCGAAGAAATGAGACGAGACAAAATGGGATGAAATGGGATGAGATAGGATAAGAAGAGAAAGATAAAACGAGAAAAGATGAGATAAGATGTAAATAGAAGAGAAAAAATGAGACAAGATGAAACGGGATGAGATGAAATGGGATGAGATGAAATAGGATGAGATGAAATGAGATGAGATGAAATGGGACGAGATGAAATGGGTTGAGATGAAATGGGATGAGATGAAATGAGATGAGATGAAATGGGATGACAAGTGAGCACTACCATAATATTTGACACTAAAGATGGCCTTCATATCCAACTAAGCCTTCCAAAATTAATCTGCCATATTTAACAATGGGTCATGCCATCTGTGCCATGATACATGTTTTCCCCAAACTCCTAAGGCCATTCCACCGCCACAAAATTTGCAAATTGACTCTCCACATTACTATGTTATGAATATCCACAAGGATAAAAGGCAGACAAGTTTCCTAAAAGGCTACAAAGAAGTGGAAATTTGCAATGTGCTTCGACAGCTAGAAGGAAAAAAGGACATACACAGGTTGTCAGGATCTTTGTATTTCTTCTTCTTTCTCTTGATGACAGGATGCTCACTTGTGACCTGTTTCTTTTCTATTCTCGGTCGCTCAACCTGCGAGTTAAAAGAACTGATTCTATCCAAGTGCTACAATAATTGTGATTATTATAACTATTATTATTATTATTATTATTATTATTATTATTATTATCATCATCATCATCAAATGACCTTCTCTCATGTGTTGATCAATTCAAAGCTTCAATTCCCCCCCCTCTCCACCAGCCCCCTGGGCATTTGAACTTTTGAGGACTGGTTTGTTCAAATTCTGCCCCCCCCCCTCCACCTTTGCCAGGGAAAAAGCTGTCTTCAAATGCCCTCCCCAATTTTAGCCACTGTGACTTTCTACATATTGACCAAACTTTACAACCTACATCTTGTAGACCGTTTCTACTGAGCATTTGCTCCCAAAAGTAAACTATTTACCATAAGATAGTTCAAGATACAACACTAGTATTCTGCTGAAAAAACTTGACACTCTCAGTTCAAATTCCTCACCCCAGCCAGGCAAGGTTCAAATTTCCCACCTCCCTTCCCCCAGGCATGGACTACAGAAAATGCCCATGGATTTCCCAGAGGGGGGAGGGGATGTTGAAGCTTCAAGTTGATTGGTAAACACAGATAATAAAAAGCCTCCAGCAACATTCATTGACAGCACTCTTAAAAAGATCACTCTTTGAAATTTTTGTAAATGATAAATAATACAGCGGACAATTGACCACTATTAATTTTGTGCTCTGTTGTTCTACCACTGAACCACAGAGAATTCAAAAGTGAGCAAGGCCAAATACATGTGCCAGTACTTTACCTCAGTCTCTGTTCGCACATCATTTCTCTGCTGTAGGTTTTTCACTGGATTTGTTGTTGATCTGTGGTGACGCTTAGGTCTAATCTTCATTCTGTCCCCTGCTAAAGATGTCAGTTTCCTAGGACACAACATCACAGATAATACTATTTTTGTATTTTTCAGGGTTTCATAAAAAACTGTAATAGCCAGCCAATGCCAATTTCTTCAAACCCCAATAGCTGACACTCAGGATTGTCTTCTTTTCGGCAGCAAACCTCGCCTTTAGAAACTTTATACAACATTTCTTTACAACACTTAAGCTACCAAAAGTGATTAACATGTAACCTCTCCTTGTAATATAAAGATGTTGTCTAGCAAACAGGTAATGAGAATCCTCAAACCTATCAGGTGGAAATTGGTATCTTGATCTATAACCAAATTCTTGTAACTAATTTAAAGGAAAATGTGTAGCAGCTGGAGGAGAGAATTAACAATCAGATCTTGAGTTTTAAAAGGTTAATTTGTACTTACTCTGTTGTCTGTCCTGAAACAGCATCAAGATCCTCCAGAGTGATCTCTGGAACCTTTGATTCCTTAGCTTCAACCTTCTCTCCAGTCGTGGTTGAATCATAAAATTCTTTTAGACCCTCTTCAAAAACACTTGGCCGCCTTCCTCTTTGACCGAAATGAGGAGGTGCTTCATCCTGCTTAATTGGCTCATCTTTCTTATCCTCTGTTGTCTGTGTTTCATTTTCCTTATCCTTCTCCTGCTCTGGCTCACCATCCAGAGGAATATCCACAGCCACAAAGTCGAATCGCTGGGCAAGATTGGATTCTGATTTTGTCTTCATCATGCTGAAGGGTTTCAGAGTTGTAGACAACTTTCTCTTAGATTTGCTTTTGGAAGCTGAAAGGAAACAGTGAGAAAATCTTCCTTTCAACCCCTTTAACTGTCATGAGTGACCAAGACAGAATTTCTCCTTACAATATCAATACAATATCTAGCAGACAAGTGATGAGAATAAAGAGAAATATCAATTGACAATTACTTCTGTAGTTGATCCAATACCATATTCTCCAAACTAACATCATAAGAATTGTATGGAGGACAGTAAGGAAATTTACTAAGGAGATCTTGAGAGTGAAAGGGTTCAAGAGACATACCTGAAGTCAAATTATTTGATGGACTTTGACTGTCACAGAGTTTTATCATTAAATATAATCAGCAAAATATATTCTTTGAAAGGCAATTACAAGAGATAATAAGAAAAAACCAAAGAGGAAACAAGATGGCTGGGGAAGACAACAATGGCTGTTACACAAATTGATAGTGATACAGTAGAACAAATTGTACCAAATTTTTCCAAGTAGACAATTCATTATGTACATAGCTGCCTACATTTCTCTACACTGCTACCTGGAGTAGAAACGTATCCCTCAACAAAGTGGTTACCATCTTCTGTACCCACACAAAACTATCATCATTTTTCTCCATTGGAATGCTGATGAGAATGAATAATCTTGTTGCAAAAAGAACTGATTTGTTTCTTTTTCATTGTTGCCTAACTGAAAAGTAGGGAATTTCCTCCTGATCTAACAACTTCAAACCTTTCACTGTCCATGTCAAATCTCTCTGACTTGAAATAGCATTCTAAATTTGCTACAGTGACCAAAGTAGGACTGAAATGACCATGGCCCCTTTATTCTTTCTAAATATCACTTTAGAATGCCATAATGTTTACAACCAACCTCTGTTTAAAATAAAGATGCCTAATTATCATATTGTCTCTGACAGACATTTCCATTGTATTGGTCTCAATTTATATATTAAAAGCATCATTAGCAGGCATATGTTAAAAAAATAAAAACATTTTCATAATGGTCCAAATTTTAGACTCAGGGCTAGAAAAATCTAAATATTGATTATCGTACCCCAGAGACATACAGCAGTTGACATTTTATACAAATAAACAAAACATTTAAAACTGTTTTGTATAGTAGATTTTTAAAAATAGTTTCTTCACAAATGGAAACTTGATCTAAAAACACATCAAATATTAATCAGAGGGTTCCTTAAAAGGACAAAATTGTCCAAGTTAGTTAGAACTGCTCTAACTCAAAGTACAGAATGAAAATTAATTATTTGCAAATGCCTTCCATTCTTGAAAATACACGCACAACCCTGCTAAAAATCTTGGTGGTAATTTACACCAAGAGGGGTCAAATACACTTGGGAACACATGTATAAAACTACTGTAATTTATATAAGGAAAACATACAATTCAAAACAGGATCACAGACAAAACTACACTGTAAATGTAGTACAAACACATGCAGCTTTCAAATTAATATCTGTTTAATTTGACAGAATCAAACATGAGGCAGAAAAACTGAAACAAAAAATATTTTCAATCGTTTCAACTCCTCAGCTGCAGCTGTATAACTCAGAGCAGTGAGAGCATCAATTTGTGTATCAAGTTGCAGATAAATCTAAAAGATTTATACAATATATCCTTTGCTTACTTAAACATTCTTTCACACAGACACAGAGGTAAATTTTAACTGAAACATTCATTACTTGTTGATTTAAAAAGAGAAAAGTGAACTTACTTTTGGATCCATGTCTTATTTAGTAACAATTTACAGAGCACATCCTCATGAAGGTTATACATTAATATTTTTGTTAATGTTTCCTGAGCAAAGCTTATCAACCCTTAAAATCTCTAATCAAAATTAAAATATTTCTCTTGCAATCTCACTGGCTGAGATGTAATAGAAAGAGGAGCTAAGGGTGAAAAACTAAGCTTTTTTAGGCCATGATCACAACTTCCATAATGATTAAACAAACAATCTTTGGCAATGAACTGAAAATATCAAAATAGCGGATTGTGTTACAGAATACTGTCATAACAAAGTGGGATTGACCTTGCTAACAAAGAGAAAACAATAAACACTGTGTATTATTTTTTTCTTGATACAATTATCACCAGCTATTTTTCTCTTGCCAACAGCTTTACAAGAGACAAAAACATCTGTAATTTTCCCTGTGAGCTAAAATAACATCATTGTTTTCACTTCTAACCAATAAACCATTAAATTCTCCTTTCTAAGCATTACACTCTTTGCTCTCAGCTGGTTCTGAGAAATTAGTATTTTATCAACACAAATAACAAATTAACCTCTGAGCTCAGTGTTCCACTTTACACTTTCTACTACCCTGGTCCTACCACTAATTCTCTATAATGGGCTCTACAAATTTTCTGTTCTGCCAGTTCTGAGAATCTGGATTTTCATGGACACAGCATTCTAAGTTCCTGTCTACTCTGCAATGTCTACATTTTAGTTCAATTTCTTTCTTGACTTAAATTTTTTTAACATGTTTGATTTTTATTTTCCTTGTTCAGGATAACCCTTTTTTAATTCCCAGAAGTGATCAAAATGTAACTTCTTTCTCTAATATCCATACATTATCCAGAAAACAAGTAACAAGAATACTCCAATTTATCAGGTAGAAGTTCTCTTAATCTTTTAAGCATACCAAATTCTCATAACTAATTTACAAGGAAATGTGTGGAAGCTAGAAGGGAGAATTAACAATCAGATCTTGGGAAATTAAGGATTAGGATAATTAGGATCACAAGACAAAGGAAAAATAAACCAAATGGATTGAAAACTTTATACTTAAAAAAAAAATTAAACCACAGAATTAACTTGGAATCAAAGTGGGAATGACACATCACTAAAGGCAAACCAGAAGGATTTAATCCAAAGTTACTTCAATAAAAAATAAGCATGTAAAAGGAACTTACGTTTTTTGAGGGACTTTCTTTCCTTTACTGGTGCCTCCTCAAGATCCTCAGTTGGCTGCAGCTCTACATCCTTCCCTGCTTTTTCTTTCTCATCTACATCTTCCGTTTTCTTTTCAAGATCTTCCATTACCTCTTTCCTCTCAATTTTCTCACCCTTTTCAACTTTCTTCTCAATTTTTACAGGCTTTGCATTCATATCTGGAGAGTTCTGTACATCTGTTGATGCCGGGGCTGATTTCTTCCTTTCCCTCGATTCCATTTCAGATTGCCCAATATCTCTATTCTCTGTTTGGTTAATAGGCACTGTCTTGGCTCGCTGCTTCCGCGATATCTTAATCTTCTCAGATGTGTAAGGCTTTCGTGAAAACATGGCTTTTATTGCCGCAGATACAGCTCCATGTTGTGGCAAATCAGTGTCCTCCTCTGGTGGTTTAACTTCCTGGTCTTTATCACTTTCTTTTTCCTTTTCCTTTTCACTTCCAAATATCAATTTCTTCTTCTTCTTCTTGCTTCCTTTTTTCTTCTTATGACTACCACTCTCAGGGCTTCCAGGCTCCTCTCCCACTTGTTCATTTTCTTTCAGAGAATTCTTAACTTTCTTATCTTTTTTCACCTTACTGTTGACTCTGGGAGAAGAAGGTGGACTTTTCTCTTCATTTGCACCTGAAAGTGTTTTCCACTGAGCATCAATCTGCGTTAAAGAGCCATTACCACCATTAGATAATTTCCTATTTAAGTTGTCAGCCTCTGAAGAAACTTTCCTAGCAAGGGAGAAAGTCATGTCTTCAAACTTTTTCATCTCAGTTGGCGACAAAATCTCCCCACAGATACTGTGAGGTCGATCATCAAGTTTTAGAATTGGCCTCGGAGGAATAACCTTTGCATCATCCTTGGATATCAAGAACTTTGCTCTGAGTTCAGCCACAGAGGGGATTTTGACTTCAGCATTTGTAGTTGTCTTAAGGCCCTTCTCTCTGATCAAATCAGCAATAATATCTTTGTGCACCACAGATGCAATAGTTTGATTGCGAGGTTTCCCATTTCTGAGGTTTGACTTTTTCGGAATTTGCCCATTTTGATGGTCACTCCTTCTTTCAATAGTTATCCTCCCACTTTTATCTTCTGGCTTGTTGCTTGAAGAAATTGTTCTTCCATCAACTTCATCATGATTAACATCTTTAACAGCTGGTTCAACTGGAACGGGATCCTTTCGAGTTGTTTCAGCAGGTCTGTTGGTTGAGTTTTTAGATGGCTCCAAACCTGCGAAGAAGCGTTCCCTTTCTTCGCGTCTCCGCCTTCTCCTCTCTCGTAACTTGGACACTGTGTCTCTTGATGCATCATCAGTGGCATCTGACAATGCAATTTCAGCTTTCTTTCCAGTAGATTTTATTGACTCTTCAGCTTGTGCTGGATTACCTGAAGCCTTTACCTTACTTTCTGTTTGTTTCTCCCCTGAATTCACTCTGTATTGTGCTCTTTTCCTTGCCCGTAGCTCTGATGTTGTGGAAGGTTCAACAGGACCAACATACTGTACTTTAGGCTCTTTACCAATACTCTTTGTGACATCATTTGCCACTAGACCTGAGTTTGTCACCTTAGGAGAAACCTGCGATTTATCATGACCTAATAAAGCCTGCCTTGCATTTGATTCTAAAGGTGCTACTGCATCAGCAAGTATTTTTTCTTGGGAGGACTTTTTCTTGGTAGTTCTCTCTCTACTCCTCCTTGATTGAGAAGTTGTATTTTCTAACCTCTCTTCCAAAGAAATCCTACGTGTTGGTTCCACAGAAGGAGAAACTGATCGCGATCTTCCCTCCTCTGGTGATGTGGAGTTTCTTGAATCAGGTGACTTATCCTTCTTGTTATGATCCCAAAACCTTAACTTACTCAACATGGAGTGTTTTGCCTTATCACTCTGTGCATCAAAAGACTGTGCTTTCTTAAAACTACTTCTCTGTCTTTGAAGAAGAGCAGGATCAGCTGCAGGATCAGGGCTGGGATGGCAGCCACCACCAGATGATCTTTCTGTGCTAGAGCTTCTTGTTAAAGATAACATTCCTGGCATAGAGACTCTCCTTTTCACAGGAGGTCGAGAAGGTCTTGGACCTTCAGAATCCAAATCACTCGATTCCCCACCAGATTTGCTTTCCTTACTTGCAAAATATTTTCCTGGAACGGAAAACTTCCGTGGCATTTCAGGAGTTGTCTTTGAGTCACTAGAGAAAGAAAACAATCTACCAGGACCAGAAATCTTCCGCTTTGGAGATGTCTTAGGGGATAATGGAGGTGATGGTGAGGAAAAATCCTTCTCCGAATCTTTTGAACCTTTTCGGGAGAAAAGCCCTGAGCCTTTGCTCTGTAACCTCTCCTCATCATCTTCGGAATCAGTTGATTCCCGTGATTTTTTCCGAGAAAAGATTCCAGAAATTTTTCTCACAGGTTTACTTTTTTTGTCATCTTTGACTGAAGTAGACCCAGTACTTGCACTTCGTTTATGACCTTTTTTAAACTTAAGCCCTGTATCTGATCCAGGACTTTGTTCTCGAGATGATTTCCCACTTGCGGTTATTTTCTTCTCATTGGATTGTGGCATGTCATTCTGTATTTCCTGTTTTGAATTTTTCCTTGACTTTTTACTTTCTGTTGAACTCTTGATTTGTGATACATTGTTTCCTTTGACTTTCCTTGAGTCACTCCGAGTGAGAGAACCTTCATAAACACTTGCAATTTCTCTACTTAAAAGTGAAATGTCTCTTGCAGCAGAGGATTCAACCTCATCATCATCATTACTATCTCTGGAAGCAGCATGACTATCACCACTGGCACCTTCTAGGCATGAGCTGTTCGTTGTGCTAGCTTCACTCTTTGAGCTTAGCATATCTTTATGTGCAATACTACCAGAATAAGAAACTGTAGGTGATGTGGGTGATTTTGGTAATGCAGGTGATGAAGGTGATGTGGGTGATGATGGTTTGTCAGACTTAATCTCAATACTTCCTGCATACTGAACAGAAGGAGCAGAAGTGCGCCTCATTGATGTTGGTTCTGTGGGACTAATTTTCCTACAATATGATGTTCTTTCAATTTCTTCACTATCATTATTTCCTTTGTACTCAACATTTGATGCTGACATAGGGTCTGTCGATAGTATTTCAACAGGACCTGATTTTCTGCTTGATGATGTCCTTGTTTCATTATCAATACATCCTTTTGAGGAGGAATACGATCTCCTTGGTGGCAAAGTAAATGGAGAATCTCGCAATGAGCTGCTAGAGTACTGTCTAACTGGAGGACCATCAGGGCCCCAAGTGGGCTGGGTCTCACGCAGTGTGATACTAGAGCGCTGCCTTACAGGAGCTCCTCCTGGCATCCAGTTGGAGTCTGCACTTATTGATGAACTTCCAGAAGTCCTATGCGGAATACTTGACACATGTCTAGATGAGTATGATGGTGTTGTATCACGTGTACTTGAGGATACCAAAGAAGACAAGGTACCACTGTAAGAACTTTTACGGGGAATGCTACTAATCCCAACAGATCTAGAGGTCACAGAGCTGCCTGAGGCCCGACGGGAAGTTGGTTTTTTAATATCCTCAGATGTAGAACTGTTTGTGGAAGCACCATAGGTTCGTAAACTTCCATATCTTGAAGACTGAGCATAAGGTGTCACAGACGAAGTTGCAGATGACGAAGAAATAGACCTATACCTTTTAGAGTGTGATGAATCTTTACCATTGTCAGTACCAACTGAAGAATAATTCTTTGGAAGTGAAAAATATCTTCTTGGTAAAGAAGATGGTTGAGATTGTGAATCCTTATATCTGTACGACATGTTTGTGCTTACTTCCTTAACAAAAGAGTTATTAACCAAGTGACCCTCACTCTTCCATTTTGTAGCATACTTAAGCTTTTGTGACCTTTCAATTTGAGGCTTTTTAATGGGAATTAAGACACTTGAAGTAAATCTTTTCTCAAAAGGAGGCTTTGACAAGTATTCCTGTAAACAAATGGAAAAAAATAACTTCAGTAAGTACACAAACTCAAGCCTCTTAAATTCAATGCAACCTGTTGATCAAATACGAACATACTAATAAGTGGCTCCAAGTATAAAATATAATGTACGTGACTGGCACATTCAAACAAGTTTAAATCACCTGGCTTAAAGTAATCTTTAAAGTAGATGTCTTCATCGCAACAGTAGGAAAGATTTCTCTCTGTTTCTTATTGTGACTTCAACACTACAACATCACAATGCCTACACCAAAATACTTCACACATGACAAAATTAATGTTAACATATTCTAGAGTGTTAAAAAATTTGACCCAATATTGACCAAAACAAGAAATTATGTCACACACACAAAAGGAGACATTTCCATATAATTGGACAGCTCATGAGAAGTAAAGATTATGTACATGTAGCAAGCGCAATAATTTCCAAATCATGAAGGAAAAAATTTTTAGTTATGTCACGATGTATTCGTAAACGGAACCAATCGATCACTGCCGGAAAAAAAACGAAGCGCTGCACTTTCCGAAGGAATCAATATCAGTTCAAATATACAATATGCATTTCTTAAATTTATGCAAATTCGGATGGATTGAATCATTAAGACAAATTGAAATTCGTAGCAAGAAATGTGAACGTGTTACAAACTAAAACTCAAATTAAAAGCTAGCTCGATCGAGACAACGAGTTAACATCAGAAGGAACCTCCCAAAAGTTTTACGTTACCTTTGCGTTGATAATTTCCACGACCGCAGTTGTTTTAAGTGTTAAGCTATTTATATCAATTTTTGTTCCACAGAAACAGTATCGGTGAGATTGATTTCAACTACTTAAATTAACCACCCAAATTGCAAATATATCATTGGCAGAGTTCCGTCAGAAATACAAGTGTACGAAGTGTTGTTCACCTTATGTCATAACCAAATCGAACACATTTCAGCTGATCTAATTTGCATAAGACTTTTCGGTTCATTAAAAATTGATCAATTTGTCCATGGATGTAAGCTTTAATTTGAATCATTCAAGCAGGTGAATTGATAGTCAAAATTGCATAAACATGTGTCTTGGAATGGAAAATGTTGCATAAATGCTAGGAGTTGGGAATTTTTCTAGAAAACTCTCATTCATTTAGCGATCGAAAAGATATGAAAGACAATATTTCGGCTTCGATTTTTTAACGACATGCATCGTGAATGTAGGTCAACCCATACAAATTACCATACATAAACAACATTGTTTCGTGCGACAGGAGAAACATTGAAATTGCGATGAAGGTCGGCTATAGTAAAGCGGTACGCGATCGGGCCTACAAGGTGAAATTTCTACCAAAAAGTTGCCCATGCAACTTCACCATGATAACACATATTTGATACTAAAACATCACTGAGAAATGGTAATTTGTACAGACCCCCAACTGAATGTCAAAATGTGATCAACACACCTTTGAAAACAAAAAAAATCCCTCCAAACAATGGAAAGTTGTTGTTTTCAAATGTCTTTCAATTGTTAGTTCTTATGCAAAACGCAAGATCTTTTCGGCTTAAGAGAACTCTTTACAAATGTAAACTATAAAACGCGACATGTCGCTTGGCTGGTAAATAATACACCAAACAAATGACTGCAACATTCAAATGAAACCGTGTCTTACTAAAAGGCAACCTACATACCTACAGTATGAATTTTCAAGACTGTTTCGGTGGTCTCGTGAATATCAATGAAAACTAATCCAACGATTCGATTTCCATTTCAAATAGAAAGATTTTACGTATGAAAAAAAATCCCGGTAATGAAGAGAATTCTGCCGCAGTGAATAAACTCTCTTATCTCTCTGGGCATTGACAAAATAGTAGCGAACATTTGAAATAATTTACCGGGCGATTAAAATTTTACGTATGCCACAAAGACGCCGAAATCAAAGCTTCAAAGGGAATAGATCAAAAAAAGATATTTCACTGTATTGTCTATGATGAAAGTTCGTGTCACCCTGCATACAAGATTGTCAACAGACCAAGGAACCTGGAAGATTTAAATACCCGATAAATAGTTGAAATGGTACCGTGAAAATTCGAGAAAAATTCGACAACAAACTCGACGATATCAAATGATTTTGCGCGAGCTGGATTGATAACTTAAAACGAAGCTTCGATCAGTCAGAAATTAGAAATGGGTCTTAAAGATCTGGTACCAAAAACACAGAAAAAACTCTTGAATGCGCGAAGACTGCAGCGAAAAGTAGCCTTAACGACGATGAAAATCCTTTAAACTTAGTCCAGAGATTAAACTAATCAGATCTTGCCTACCTTATATGCACAATCGCTTCAATCGGCCCAGCTCTGGAGCTTCGGCGTTCAAAGAAAGTTAACTTTCACCAAGGTTGCTCCCTGTATAAATACCTTTTCTGCAGTCAAAATTCATGCAGGATTTCAGAAATACACTGATTTTTCCGATGACTTCCAACGGTACGACCACAGATTTTCAATTCAGCTTGTTTTCACAAACAGATCATACACCGGCAGCATCTAAACACTCACGCTCCGCTGAGCACTCACGATCGTGTTGTGTTTGTCTATTGTATTACGAGTACTCGACGCATCTAAGTTTTAATATCAGGATACAGATCATGAAAAAAGGATCAATGAAGCGTTAAGTCCTCCAAAGCATGCGAAGCCCATAAAATTATCCGTGGACTAAAACGATGTAGCCGATTAACTGCCACAAGCTGTTCACCAACTCAAGGCGTCCACTGCGATAAGTAACTTGGCGGTGTCTTGTGAAAAATCACGCGTAAATGGCAGAGTTCATAGCATTGAATTCAAGTAAGAATCTATCTGCAGGCTGATAAAAATCGTAGGTTGCATCACTTTACCCTCTCTCATCAAGAAACATCTGATACTAGCTGTACACAATTATACTTCGCAGAAATCCCTTGCAACTAGCATATCCAGAGAAGCTGGCAGAATACAACACGACTTTTAATTGGCTGTTTTGATATGGTAAGCCAAACCTGATGTGACCACCATACAACACGTTTACTCATTGGTTAGAAATCTTGTATTTGATTAAAATAAAATATTATTGCCTGACCTTCCTCCCGAAAGATGTAAACAGTTTACTCGTGCAAACAAGGGAAACAAAAAAAGCGTCGTTATCTTAATGAAAGCATTTAGAAGGACTAAACGCTTTCTTTTGGCATGATTCAAAACTCACAATAGAGCTTCGCAATTTCAAAATTGAAACGTAACAACTTCAAATATTTTACCTAAATTTGAGCAAATAACGCGAACGTCGGATCGAGATTTTCTAGAAAAATATTCTCATGAACCAAGTAGTGACTGGTCAGTAACATCAAGTCTCTGATATGATTTGCCTTATCAATCATGTGTCGTTCTCTCAGGAAGAAGAGTTGTGACGTCATAGAGACCATTGAAATGCTGAAGCACGTACAAACTTTTAGTAGACCAAAAAATCCGTTTTGATCGAAGTGAAATTTCCGCCCAACAAATCTATTCTAAATCCTTCTACGCTTTGAGAATCTTCTCATTTTATCTATGTTTTGCTTTTTTTTTAATTCTTGTTTCACTCAAAGCTCAGTTGTAGTACACAATCTGTATGCGCCTGCTCTCAAGGAACTTAAAATTTCTCAAATCACGTCTCTGTTGATATCATGACCAAACTCAATATTTACAACCATCTTCATTCGTGTTTGAAGTTCTTTTGTTTACTTTTTTTCTGGTTTTCACTGATAAGATAACATGATACGTGACATGCAAGAATGGTCCTGGCTTTGCACTCAGTGAAGTTAATCTGACCGACCGAGCAATATTTTGTTTCTCAAAAGAAAATAAATTTTTCATCTAATTTCAAATTCTGTCCATAAGCCAAGAAATCCCCGCGTTGCCGCTTTTAACTGACGCCGGTTAAAGCCAACGTGTTAACTCTAATTTTCATGTACGTATTCGACTCAAAAACGCCCCTGCCCTCCCCTCCCCCCACCTCAGCCATTACCTCACCCTCTTTTTCCTTTACCACGTACAAATCCACTTTCACAGACCAGTCAGAGCAAGCAGAAAACACACAAACTCATTTTTTTCATCACTCGTCAAATGCCTTGAGGGAAAGCCTTCCGTACGACTGTTATTTCAGACTACTACATTTCAGGAGCCGTCGGATTTACAGAACATCTGCTCGGAAACACTTATTAGATTTTCTTATCCTCATTATTAGGTTATGATAAAAAGTAATGCCTAAGACTATATCATCCAATTTTTACTGTGATCAGTCATCTTATAAACAAAATGGGTTTATAATTTTTCTCGGCTTAGCGAGAAGAAAAGTTGTTAATCAATTGCGTGTCCACCAACTCCGGCACTCAACCACCCCAGGGGGATGGGTGGGGTTCAGTCTTCTTACTTGATGCTGTTATTAAGGTTACCTCTGTAATATCGAGCCTTGCACAGCTGTTGAGCAGTGAGCATGCGCTAGTGAATCAATTTTGGTCAGCTGCGCGCCAAATTTCAAAGTAAAAAACATAAGAAACAACCGCTGACCAGCAAAACAAGCGAAATGTATTTGTAACATCGATAGAAATCGGTAAAACGAAACAAAAGCAGAAAAAAAGGGGTACTCGAGACTCTTCGAGCAAAAGGCTTATGAGGGTTGTCCAATACACCCAAACCGCTGCGAATCGTCAAAGGCAGTTGACGAATCGTCAAACCGGAAGTCGATTCGCGGCTGAGTGGCGTTGTGATACCGGAGGTCTGAGAAACCATCTCTTATGAAATGGAAACGCATACGGAAGCCAATTTGCGAGAGACTTCAACCCCCTGGGGTTGAAGATGTTGTCAAATCGAACGACTCGTCACAACAAATGACGACCCGTCGTACCGGATGTCGATTTGCAAGACACTTAGAAAATATTCCGCAAGTGTCTGTGAAGGGGGAGGGGGTTGAAGATGTTGTCGAATCGAACGACTGCAAATCGACATCCGGTATGACGGATCGTAATTTGCTGTGACGAGTCGTTCGATTCGAGTCGAATCGTGTCGAATCGTCAACATTTGCTACACTGTATAGTTTTTAGTATTCTGACGATAGACCTACGGTCATTTCACGCTTTAAAAACGTGGAAGGTTCATGTTATCTTGTTCTCGTACCATGCCACTCATTTTCACATATTGCCCACGCGCGCGCCTCTCGGCTTCCGTTCTGTCAACGCACAATTCGACATCCGGTGAGAAGATTCGTCAACGACCGTAGACGAATCGCAACGGTTTGGGTGCATTGGACATGTATGTCAAACTCCACCTCTCTGGAATAGAAAGAAAGAAAAAATTTTTATCCAAACGCCGATCGTGTCAGTGACGTTGATCAACTTTTCTTTGCCACGAATTTCTCTATCATGTTTCACAGATCATCTCAATACATTGCTCTTCACACTGAGTTTGCGCCTCAATAACCTGTAGAACCAGTACAATTTTTTGCGTCTTACAGGCGAACGGAGACGAATGTTAAGCGAGCGCGAAGCGCGCACTCGCAAAGATAAAGTTCTTTACTTTTTTTTTTGTTTTTTTTTTTGTGCTCCTCTCTTGGCGTGCGACTCGTACTTCGCGTTTGCCTTGTCCGTCTGTCTGAAAAATGCAAAAAGATTACGCCTGGGGTAATTTTGATTTGGTTGTACCACGAGTCACGATGAAATTTACCTGATCTCACCTCATTTCCTGTTACTTGGCAGTCAGTTGATATTCTCTTAAGTTCCCCTTTATACTCTGTTTGCAAGGACTGATCCCCTTTCCGTTCCGCTTGAAAACCGTGTTGTCCTCTAGAATCTCTTGACTATTTTATTTTATCATTGTTTTCTTGCAGTGCCTCATACTTTACAAGGGATGGATAATGACCTTTCGTACAAAATCTAAGGGATGTGAAATCTATTTTTGCTGCTTTATCCATGATTACTATTCCACCATCCACCTCGTGCAGTGCATTTATTTGCTATGAAAATCCGGGATTTCAAACAGGCGGAAAACCTCCCCTTCCGAATATTTTTATCCCTGTTTGACGCAATATGTACTCTAAACTTGCATCATTTTTTTACGCTAAAACTCCTCTCTCTCTCTCTGTCTAAGAGGCTTGCGTTTTTGAAATTTAAGATTCTACGGGAAAAGACATCAAATTTGCAAGAAGTCGAAGCTATTTCTCATCGATGATATCAGTATTAGTATCGTTGAAAGACTGGGCACAAGTTACCAGGTTTATCGGTCCGAGGAATACAACATGGTTGCCTTATAGTACCGTGGAATTATGCTGTCTAGCCATGACTGCTGTCGCAGGGACGATTTTCAAGGTTGTTACTGCCTCTGATTAACAAATCACCACTTAGAAGATCTCATAATTGAGCGTATATGTGCTTTGTAAATCCAGAAAATCTGAAAAGTCGGAAAAACGTACAGTGATTACTTGGTCTACGTTCGAATACAGTTATTTTGTGTGTGCATTCCGGTGATGATGAAGATGAGGCTGAAGAAATGTGTGGAGGAAGGGAATATAGAGGAACTCCGGAAACTTTTGGAACAAAGTTCCAACCCAGAAGAATTGGTGAATAAAAAGTTTAGACTAAACAAGGTAGGACTCTATCAAAAATATCACTTAAAATCGCTTTTTCGTGTGTGATGTTCTATTTTAAAACATGGGAACTCCAAGGAATTTCGCAGTCTTTTACGAACTTTCTGTGACTTAAAATTACAAGGAAATGTGTCGCAGCAAGAGGCGAGAATTGGCAAACAGATCTTGGGAGGTAAATTAGGGTTAATGGGCGATAAAGATTGATTGGTGAATTTACTTTGTGATCGACTGGATGCTCAGATTCTCTGCCTAATCAATAAAACTGAATAATTTTTTTAAATTATTCACCAAATAATGGTGGATATTTACCAAGCCATGAAGTGGTGAGGTAAATACTATATTCACCACTTTCACCAACACTGAGGTTGTTGTCATGCAATTTTGTGCCTTTGGCTTCTCAGAAGTGGATAGTACTTGCTAATCACTTTCAAACTAACTAATCAGATCACACATATAAAGCAGTACTATTTACCTGTGTGGTATATACTAATTTCCTATATTTAACAATGGGATTTTACAAATTTGTGTGTTATATATATATATATATTTTTTTATTTTTTTATTTTATTATTATTATTATTTTGACAGACAGCTTTGCACATAGCAGTAGAAAAAGGCCATGAGGAGATCGTAGAGTATTTGTTGGAGAAAGGAGCAGATATACATGCTACCAATGATGTAAGATAAGAAAGTTATTCATATGTGCTATAATTTAAGTTAAACTTTGTCAGAAAAGCAATGTTCTCATGGTTGGCTTACCTCTGGGTTTGTGTCCTCTTTGGGCAATTTTCTTTTGTTGGAGAAAAAACAATTCAATACATGTTACATCATTAGCCAGCTTCTGTGACCTCATACCACAGAAACTTGGATATTCTCAAGTATTAATGAATCCCCTAACCTTGCTTAGCAATATAGATCCAGTATTGGAGTAATGGGCTAATCAATGTGAAGCATCAGAACCTCCTCCTCCTCCCCCACTCCCCCCCCCCCTTTCTGCTTTCTGGCCCCAGACAGCCCTATGAGTATTTGACTGTTGTCTTTGTCCAGGGGGGTGGGGAATTTGAACATTGCCTAGCTGGGATGGAGAATTTGGATCGGAATTGTTAAATCTATCCAGCAGAATTCATGGGTTTTATGTTTTTAAATGGAAGTTTTTAAATGTGAATAGTTCACTTTTGCAAGGTCTAGGTTTTCTTGAAGCTTGGATATTCAAATCAATTATTGAATTATTGCAGGTCAATAAGTAGAAATTCATGGTCACTGATCTTGCCTTTTCTAATAAAATTTACCATAAATTCTGGCACTTGGGTAGTGCATTTATTATAAATACAGTTTTGCCCAGGGAGGGAGGGAGGAATTTAAATGAATCAATCTTTTAAAGTTCAAATGCTTGGGGGGCTGGCAGGGGACAGGGGGTGATATGTTGAAGCTTCAATTTGATCAATGCCTGAACCATTAGTGTATAAAAAGATATCATATAATTATCACATAAACATGTCCAGTGAAATAGCAAGTAAGCTTTTGAATGAAAATTTGTTATCTTTACAGGTGAAAAGGTCACTGTTGCTCTGGTAACTTATGAAAATTGCACCTTTGAAATGATTTTACTAGTATTTCATTGGTGAATTTTACAGATACAAATTTTCCCTTGTTTTGAAAGATATTTCACCTCTTTGTTTCGCTCATTTATGAAATATTTTTCAACAAATTTGAGATAAATTTGGTATCTCTGCATGGCCATGTAGTATCTTCTATTTTTCTTATAACATATAGTGTTATACAAAGATTTCCAGCCCTGAGAAAAGCCATAACAACACACATGAAAAAATATGGCTTTTTTTCATGTGTGTCAGCAGCTGATTGACAATATCAAACACACTTGAAAAAAAATCGTATTTTTTCAAGTGTTTGATATAGCCAATCAGCTGCTGACACATCACTCGCCTTTCACATCACTAGGTCAGGTTGATCAAAAACAGCAGAGCCTCCACTCTTCTCAATTCATGGTTGTTTAACAGAATTTTTCTCAGAACATGGTTACTAAAACACTGAAAAATCCCTATCACTTACAGGCAGTGACGTTCAAACTTTCCCAGAAGGGGAAGAAAACCAAAATACGAAAAGAAAAACCAAAAGTTGCATATTTAGTGACGCTGGTGATGGCATTTCTCACAGTTGAGAACAAAAATCGACAACTGGAATATTTGCACAGGCCGATTTTAGCCATGTACCTTCAGAAAGGACAATGTCAATAACTGAAAATTTTATTGAAAATTATGCCCATCGTTGTTTTCATAGAGATTCCAGCCCTTTTTTTCATCTTGAGCCTAAGCGCCAAATTGAATGTACTTCAAAATTTTTTATTCAGGGGTCATTGATCCTTTTATTTTCACTCATCAATTAAGTTGACTTTTCTTGCCAAAAAAAAAAAATTAAGCTCACTGCTGAAGCACTGAGTATGATAGAAGAATTCGTAGCATTATTGAACTGTTCTGTATTCTTTTTAACTCTCTTATTTAGTTTGGTTGTACAGCTCTTCATGTTGCTGCATCAAATAGAAAGGAAAACTTCAATATAGCGCAGCTAATTCTCAACTGTGAAGGTGTAAAAGTCAATGCCTTGGAGGAGGTGAGAGATCAAGAGTAGAACAAATGCTATAAAATTTATGTTGAATTGGTTGATTGTACAGCTGCAATTAACCCTTTAACTCCCATGAGTGACCAAAAGAGAATTTTTCCTCACAATATCAATACAATATCAACCAAACAAGTGATGAGAATAAAGAAAAATATCAATTTGAGGATAATTAGTTGATCCAATACTTAATTCTCTGAACTAACATTATAAGAATTGTATGGTTGACATTAAGGAGAATTAGAAATTTGATCTGGGAGTTAAAGGGTTAAAATATTTTGGGTTAGAAGGAATTTGGACTGAAATGATTTCAAACCAAGTTAATCAATGTCTTTGTACATTAATTTATTAGCAGTTAATATGCAAAATACAAATTTAATTACCTTGCATTAATTTTGGGCTCAATTCATTTTAAACTGCAGCAAACAATAATTTATAACTTTGTTTTACCTGAATTACATATTGTAGAGTATCAGGTTTTGTGAATCAAAGTCAACTTAACATTACCCAGGGTTTGATGCATGCAAATACCTCATGATACATGACTTCACCAATCAATAATAAATGCTTTGAAGCTTACTGCTACCAAACTTCCTGGCAGAGCTAAAAGGTAGAACTGAAAAATTCAGCAAAAACTCCAAAAGTAATCTGCCTGTAGGGTACCATCATGTTTATTTTTAGGATGTTTCATGTATACTTCAACCTCACATTGATTTTATTGCATGTATAGAAATGCGTTATGTAACAAAAAATGGCAAAAACTCATAAAAATCGTCAAGTCTAGCAAGCTGATTCTGCAAATATAGAATTAATCCTTGCAGTTATTTACACTACTGAACTTGTAGTTGAAATAAGGCTTGAAAAAAAATTCAGACCCATGCAGGATTTGAACCCATGACCTCTGTGATACCAGTGCAGTGCTCTAAGCTGATTTCACTTAGACAAATTTGACTAAAATTTGTCTAAATGGTCAAATTTATGAATATTCACTCGGGTTGACAAAATTTCGTCTTCTCTGACATTTTCATCGCTGCATGCACATTTGGACATAATAAACTGATGATTAACACTGGTGAAACATGAGATTATAAGTTGTGATCAAGTTTGTAGCTACTAGCCAAGTGAATTACATGTATATTTAAAATTATATCCTACAGTAACTGCAAGCTAGTCACTAAATACATTAAAGGTCCCAAGATGCAAGTTAATTGAGGTTAATAATCCTTTCATCCCAAAGAGTGGCAGGTCATGAGAATGAAATAAATGATCCCCAATGATAAAATTCAGGGTGGTTAAACAAATTCTCCTCGTTTGTACTGACCAGGATAAAATGTGAAACAAATGGTAGGGAGAATAGGCTTTCTGATGTTAGGATGTAAAAGGTTATTAAGTGTTTATAGGTTCACTTGTTTTCAGAATGAGAATACTCCACTGAAACTCGCAGCAGAGAAGGGTCACATTAACATTGTTAAAAAGCTGATTTCAATGAAAGCTGATGTGAATAAGGCAGATAAGGTAATTGTAAGCTTGTGTATTCATTATGTGATAACCTTTTTTATTGTATTGAAAGGTAGTCCTGAGGTAAATCCGAGCTACCTGATTGGTTCTTACTTGGTTCATATTTTGCCACACAGACCATTTCCATGGAAGTGCTTATAAGATGTGTATTTTTGTTCTCAAAAGCTGGCAAATTAAAATTAAAAAAATAGTTTGGTAAAAGTGCCATGTAATAAAATACCTACTAGCATCGCTCATCACTTTCTTGAGCCACACTGGGAAATATTTGCTCACACTCATTTTTGTGTGGACAATGCTGCACTTGGTCTGTGTTGCCAAGACCTTGGGCTTTTTTTCCCCAGTACAGCCTTCATGCTCTGTTAATAAGAAATTAAAATCCAAGGAGCAATGGATAATTTCTCCTCAATCAGTACACTGACACATAAAAATCAACTCTATAATATAGCTCAAGACGTTACTCAGCATATTTTCTGAGACAGTCTTAACCCTATTAACTCCCAAGATCTGATTGTTAATTCTCCCCTGTAGCTGTTACACATTTCCTTGTAAATTAGTTATGAGAACTTGGTGCTAGATCAAGATAGCAGCTTCTACCTGATAAGTTTTAATATTCTCATAACCTATTTGCTGAAGAATGTATGGATATTGTAGGGAGAAGTTTTATGTTAATCACTTCTGGGAGTTAAAGGGTTAAGAAGTGGATGGCAAACAAAAATAAGAATTGATCTCTTGTTGTTTTTCTGCAACAATAATGATCAAATCAACAACAACAACAACAAAAACTTTATTATTCCCTTTATCAAGTTTTTTATAAATGCTGGAGGCATTAAACACATATAGCAAGTAATCCTGCAAAATTGAAATAAAAATTTGCATGTTAAAAGTCAAGATTGATTAAAAAAAATTACACTTGATAAAAATTTTAACACATTGCACTTACTGAGGAAAGATTATCGATAACCTTCAACTTTTTGTTGGTCATCCTGAATTACAGATTTACCCTGCATGATGGCAAAGTAGACTTTAGAGCATAACAACTGTAATCACTGAAATATGTTATTTGTTTTATCGCAAGATGAACAAAGAAAAATATTAAAATCCACCAGATGTGTGCTCCAGTGCTCTATCACTAAGTTCCAGGGACCTGGGACAGTGAGTTACACCATAGCCAGGTTATATGTGACTTGTCTCTTGCATGCTGCCAGGAACAGCAATGATGAAAGCACCATGTGAAATTTGTTGGTAAATTTAGAGAGCACATGAGGAAATCCCAAAAGTAATGACACTTTGAAGACAAAAATTTCAATAGAGGCATTTTTACTCTATCAAATTAATGGACTATTAATCTGAATTTTTTTTGCATTTTAGGGAGACAGCACCCCTCTTCATGTTGCTGCTAAAAAAAGCCATGATCAAACTTTAGAATTGTTGCTTAAAGAAGTAGAAGATGGAACCATTGGGAAACAGACAAAGGTAAATTTACCAACTTTCAACTACCTTTGGACATGCATGTACAAGCTGTAAGCTAATCCAAATTCAGGGCAAATTTTCTATAAGTTCTATTGGTGGACAATGGAATTTTCCTTTGGTTTTAACAATGTTTAAGCATTATCAAACAACCTTTCAGCCTTCAATGAACCTTACTGAACAAAGACATTATATAATTATTAATAAATAGTGGATTTTCTCTCAAAATCATCAAAATGTGATTTTGTGAGACTGTTTTTGGGGCAATTTTTCATGTGTAAGGAGAGTACAAAGAGCTTTTAACAAGGATTATTACTCCAAAGGTAAGGTGGGATTTCAAAATCACCTCTCAAACAATTTTTATGTTTTTCTGGAGTGTGTGCACAAACATTTTCAGTTGAACAATTGAGTGTGTCTATTTCAATTCAATTATTCAAAAAGTTAGATTAATAGACTTATTGTAAGTACACATCATTAGCCCCTAACAATCACTGTTAAATCAAAATTCTCTTGTAGGAAAAAATGACAGCTCTGCACTTTGCTGTTGAAAGTAAAAATGAGAGATGTGTTGCGCTTTTGTTAAACCAAGGTGCAAGTGTCTGTGTTCATTCAAAAAATGAGGTATGGAAACAAGGATCCATGTTTCATAAAATTACTGGTTAATATGCATATAATGCCTGATTTGAATTTTCCTAACTTACAAGGAAGTTCCTTTTACAGTATCAATACATGGTCATGCAGAATCAGGTCATGAACTAAAAAAAAAAACATTAACTGGCAGATAATTATTGTTTGATATAATGTCACCTAATTATCAGAGCTGAAATAGTAAGAAATGTCTGGCAGACATAAATAAGAATTGATTTAGAGATCTTGAAAGTGGTTGGAGAGGACAGGCATTGTTGCTGCCGGTGGTTGGTGCATAGTTCTCCAGATTAAGGCTTAGTCCTTTCTGGATCTCTGTGTTGTATTTCCAGACAGGAAACTTTACTCTGAATGGGGCTCTCTCCTCTCAGGGGTATAATTTAACTCAATGCAGAGATTCCATGAAGAATTGTGTTAAAATCAAGAGCATGATGTTTACGAAAATAGTTTTTTTCAAGGCTGTTGTACATGTCTAAGTCTGTGGCATGTGTGGCACATATGCATTGACTTTTTCTCCTCAATTTAGGATGGTTTTTTGGAGGGGAGCGTTAGGGGCTCATCTTTGAGCGTTCAGTTTAATTGTGCACAATAAAAATGAATGCACAACCAATGTGATCATTCCACAGAGCTTTAAAAGTCAGTATTAATGATGATACAGCTATGAAAAAGTCATTTTAAAGAACATTTATGCAGCTTATGGTTTTTTCCCAGAATCTTTTTCATAAGTGACTGATCAGCCTGTTTTTCCCATTCTTATTTTTTTCACAGCAAGGGCGCACGCCATTGGACATAGCAAATGATGACCCTAAAGAAAATATTATAGAGTTTCTAAAGGATCCTAAAAAAGCTAATGAGGTCAGTTTGCTTGATTACTGCTAAAACTAATGTCTTTAATATCCTCAAAAGCTGACCTAGGACTAGTTGTTATAGGGAAAATCTTTGCTGCTCTTTTAGATCTGGGGCTGAGTCCTCCTGTCTTTGTCAGAGCATAAAAAATGTGAAAGTGGAATGGGGAAGAGTTGATGGTGAGAGCAAAGGGGAAAGGACTTTTTTCACCCTCCACCTACCCATCATACCTTGCCCTACTAACTGAGAAGCCACCTACATCTAGTGTAGAGGTGTGGGATGTGTTTGGGGAAGGCCTCATTTCTCAAACAGCCTAAGCTTGATCCAGTAATTATGCACAATATTGAAATAAGCCTCATGGTAGTGTAAGGTTAAGAACTTGACTTGATCTGACCAATCCTAGAGTCACATTTCATTTCCTCAAAACAAAGTGACATACGTCAGAAAAACAACACTCTACAAGCAGCTTACAGTGTATATGAAAAATTTTCATTTTATTTTTTTACCCTTATTATCATTGACTTATTCTCTCCAATTTATTTTAGTTTCTGGGAAGGCACAAGACAAAAGCACGGCTAGGAAAGGGTGGCTCTGTAGAATCTGATAGCAGTAAGTCATTCATAATATTTCATAATAACATTTTTCAATAAATGTGTGGACCAAGTTCATGAACAACGTAATCATAAAGAACAGAAAAAGAAGCCTTTCAAGAGCATTATCTGGACTTTTGAGAAACATGCCTCTGGTTTGAAAACAGGATTAAGAAAATTCTCAGTAATAGGATAAGAATTTTGAGAGCACCCCTACTAAGGGGGGTAGGGGAAGTAGGAAGAGTAACCTCCTCCTCAAATATTTTTGCACTGGAGGAATGAATGAAAATAATATTCTTCAGCTTCAATATACAGATTAACTTTCTTTCATTTTTTTTTTATTTTCATAAGTAACTCCTCATAATGCAGCTCATCAAGGGGTTTTCGCGGATGCAATCCAAGGATTACAAGGAGTAATTCCACCACTCTCATCAAATGGCAGTGAGTTTTTTCATTGCATTCCGTATTCATGATATATTTTGAATTGATGCAGCATCAAAAGCATTAAAGATTCGCAAGTCAAGTGACTCAAAATAAATTTTCTGTATTTTAACTGGCTCATCTGTAGTTTTGTAACAGTTGTGTTACTTTTGAAAAGATTTTAACAACTTCTCGTCAGTTTTTCTTTGGTGGTGATTTACTTTAGAAACGTTAATTCATCTGTGGAGATAGTTCCTTTAAGTTTGTTGTTATATTTACCGGTTAACTTTGTTGCATATGTCATTGCAATTGATTTTTCAGTTTGGCTCTGTAATCCCTGTGCGTGGAGTATCACTAAAATTATAATTAATGTTTCAGGCACTCCCGCTACGCAAGTGATTCAATTCACTGGAGCTGTGAGTATTCGAAACGTGACTGTCAAAGATGGGGCGACGGCCAACATAGACTTAAAAGATCAAGTAAACATCACACAACCTAACAGTGGATCAAAGTAAGTGTAGTGTTGTTTCTTCTTCGGGAGGCTTGTATGCTGCAAGTTAACACCACCACCACCACCACCACCACCCCCACCCACCCCTTCACCCCACATTGCCTAATACTTACGGATACACCTCTTTCCTTCATCTTCCCTATTTAAGGGATTTTTGTATAGGTAACAACATGATTTCGACAGGATCGTGCAATTTGTGGTCTTTGAAAAATTTACAAGTACTTATTTACACTAAATTGCACCCAAAATCATATTGTTACTTGTCAATAATTTACATGAACAACGCATCACAGAAAGTCAAAACGGACGAAATTTTGGCAGCGCGCGCGCTATTTGTTATTTGCACTTGTGTTACATGAAAAATTCTTCCGGAGAGGACGAAAAGGCTCACGTTTGCTTTGGCTTTCCACTGCCATGGTCAGAGATCTAATTCTCCTAACTGGTGATCTTACATGTCTGTGAGGGTTTGTCTCTAGAATGTGAAGCTTTATTACACCCGTTTTGAAATCACTGGTGGTCCCTGTAATCTGATTGGCTCTGATTGGTGCGATTTATTCACGAATCCCACCATTTTTTGCTTTAAATCACATCTTTTTCCCAGCCAATGAGCAGGCCACACTAAAAACAAAATAACCAATCAAAATATTTGAAGTGACCAAGTCCTATATTTGGGCAATTTCAAAATAGATGTAATAAAGTGGTAATTGAACCTCGTGTCGAGCAATTTTGGTTGGAAATCATGCTTGTGATTTCAAATCGAACTCGCGCTGCGCGCTCCATCGATTTTGAAATCACGCATGATTTCAGCCCAAATTGCACTCCACTCAGTTCAATTACCATAATAAATCAAACAACATCATCCTGTTGATAAATGATAAATATCTTGCTTATCATAAGCTGTGTCGATTTTTTAGTTGTTTTGTTTTGTTGCTATTTTTTATTATCATCATCATCATCATCATCATCATCATCCTTATTATTATCATCATCATCCTCATTATTATCATCATCATCATTATTTTTATCATCATCATCATCATCATCATTATTATTATCATCATCATCATCATTATTATTATTAATCATTTTTTTTTTATCTCAGTGCGTCTCCTCAGCAGCACTCTGGTGAAAGTCAGATTAATGTTGTAGTGCGTGATGAGGCTCATGCAGTTATTGGTGATAATGGCGTTATGAATGTGAACACTGCGCCATCAAGGTAAAGTATGTTGGTTAACTTCTAATAAAAATCACTTGAGCTAGCTTGAAATCCGTCAGCGTTGCTCACAAAAACTCAACGAGACAAACATTCGCATTTTCCTTTTATCCTTTTTGTCGTGGCGCTGAAACAACGGAAAGATTTCAACAAACGGAGATATTCTTCCTTCTTGAGTTGCCGTCCACAATCATGGACGAATCAGTGTAAACTGGCGGTATTGGACAATTTTTTTGCACTGAGGTTAAAACACACTCATGATTGCCTTTAGTATTTACTCGTTGTTCGCTGTTAAGATGACTTTCGTCATTACACGTAAGCAGAGTGTGACATAATGATGACATTATATTGACGTAACTCATGCTCCTCAGAGTTGGAACATTTGTCATTGCAATTCAGGAAGGTTTTTCATTTATCAGTTCTATTGGAGCTGAAAGAACTGTGTCTGTTATTTCTAATAACTGCCTTGTTTGAGGAAAATAGAAACCTTCCTTAGAAGTCGGTTGGTGCATGTAGCATTTTATTTAGTTTTTCTTACAAAATCATTTAAGTATGTTGTACCTCCCTATACCATTGAGTCATTGTATACAGCCAAAATCAAACGACTAATCTTTACATTTCTCCTAGTACTCCGAGCCCAGGAGATCAGGAGAATAGAGATCCTCATGGAGGATGTCCCCCCGAAACAGGGGCACCAGTAGAGAATTCCCATGGACCTCCTGAGGCATCGTTCCCTCCTTTGGAAGAACCTCCCAGGGAAGAAAATCGCGGAGCTTTATTGCGTTGGTTTGCAGAGGAGCCTCCCGCAAGGCCAGATGATAAATCGCTGGCTCAACCATTACAAGAAGAATTCCCTTCGGAGAAAAGAAGCGACGGTTTATTCCATCCGATACAAGAGGAGTTGTCCCTAAGGAAAGATCAGAAGTCATTGCCTCATCCGATCCAAGAGGAATCCCCTAGCGATAAAACAAAGGGAGCTTCACTCATTTCAATTCAAGAAGTTCCTCTCCCAAAGAAAAATGAACAATCGCTGGCTCAACCAGTGCAAGAGGAACCCCGAAGTGATAAGGATAGCGGCACTTTACCCCTTCCGGTCCAAGAAGATTGTCCCCTAGGGAAAGGTCAACCGGTGCAAGAGGATGCTGCAAAGGACGAAGGTAGCGGAACTTCACAGCATCCAGTTCAAGAAGATTCTTCCTTAGGGAAAAATCATCCATCATTGGCTCAACCGGTTCAAGAGGAAGCCCCCAGAGAAAAAGGTAGCGGAGCTTTAACTGGTCAGGTCCATGGGGATTTTTCACAGAATTTAGAGGCACAGTCTGGAGAGAGGGCCTTTCAAGATGGAAAGTTAGCTGAAGGTGACACACTTCACAGGGTCACTTTGAGGGTAGGACTCTCTTCGCCACAAACGACTCCTCGAAATCGTGGAGGTGGGATCGCAAGTCATCATAACTCATCAGAGAATGCCCGGGCCGAGTCGTCCATCGGCGAAGTGCCTCACAGAACAGAGCGTCATTCCAGGGACAATTCCCCATCAGCAACGATCGACCTTGGGGATTTAGATTGTCGTCCTGATGGCGTTCAAGATGAAAATCCTGACGATGACAAGGGAGGTCATAGAGTATGCAACTGTATAGGCATGTGAATGTTTAAAACGTTTGGATGTAGAGAGGTGATAAAGAAGTGATAATTTTTTTTCAACCCCTCATGAGTAACTAAGAAACAATTTCTCCTAACACTTTCAGTACAATACCAAGAAGAATAGGGTCAAGATCATTTCTGCTCATGCGATTCGCACGATGCTGCTTCTGCAATAATGCAACTAATTAGGAGATTACCTTTAAACCATCTCACTCGTATTTAAGCACCAATTTGCAACACTGACTACTTTTATCTTTCTTCTCATTTTAGTTAAGAGAATGCTGTGTTCAATCCACCGGATTGAACACAGCATTCTTTCTATTCTTCCTTCTTCTTGTCACCTTTCCGCTCGAAGTTGTATCGAAATGTTAAGGAAAAATTCAATTTTGGTCTCTCAAGGGAGTGAAAGGGTTAAATGAGCACTGATCAGAGACGTAAAGTTTGGTTCTGGTAGATTTATTCGTTCTTAGATTGTGACAGTTTTTTTCCGTAGAAAAAGTAGTATTATTTTTTTCTTCTGTGAAGATAGGTTTCATTGGCAAAGGAAAAAAATTTGAAATTAATCAGCATACGATTTCTATATGTTTTTGAAGGAAAACACAACCAATGAAATTTTAAAATTACAATATTCTTCTATAAAGAAAGCCATGTTAGGAAATTAGATTATCAGATATAGTTATTTATAGAGCCTATATTTAATACTCTTAGTTTCTAGTTGGGATTCAGAAAATCATTAAGCATACTTCTCCTCCGATACGAGAATAGGTTTGAGATGGAAGAGAGACCAGACAGAAAGGCTATGATACTATCTTTTTTCAAAACTTGACGCCAAATTGTTCAACAAATATTGTGCACTTATCAGCCAAGTTATTGCTCCTTTTTGCTGTTTTCTTACCGGGTTATTTGAACTGAGAGAGTGTGAAAATATACTTTAATATATCGTTTTATCCCAAGATAAAGGCGAGACTTTGAAAGCAAGGTGTTTATTCAGAGCATGATGCGAGAAAGTGTCGAAGTAAAGTGTATGCTGTCCAACATTTAGTGTGAGTGGTGACCTCACCTGATGCCGGTTTTGATGGTGTTCTTGTTATTTATTTCGGTTCAATAATTTTAAATTGAAACGATATATTAGACTTTGTACATTTCCAATGTCGAAATTAGGAAGCACCCCGTTGAATAGTTAAACTCAGAGCTAGATAAATCATTAATTAAACCGATGAAAGGGATTGCAATTGCCAATCGAAAGGAACATTGTAAAACAAAGTTATGAACCCATGGCGCCAAGCGCGGGAAAAACGAGTAACCAATCAGAAGAAAGATACCAAAACAATGTCTTGAGCCTAAGATTTCAAGCTCGGAAAACACACATGACTTATTCGTTATTCATTATGTATATTCCTCTGATTGGTTACTCTTAAATTTGTCCTTTCGTGATGTGTTATTAATCTTTGTAAAACTGTGTTGGAGAAGACACAATAAAATAACTTTTTTAGAAATATTTGTTAAATTAGTTACTTGTCGAAAATGGCTTACATAAATAAAACAGAGAAAGATGTTTTTCGTCTCATCACGAGCGTAGGACAAAGAAAAAATTTTGAGTCTTCGTGAGGAACCGTACCTTAGACCTTTGGATTCCGCGCTCTGATGCACTACCACTGAGCCACAGAGACTACGGTGAGCGAGGGCTATTACGAAGTTCGTTGCTCTATTTCTTTACCGAGCTCAAAACTTGCCATATCTCATATTCATCTCTCATATTTACAAACATGACGCTATCGACATTGCTGATCCTAGCAATACACAGGACGCGTATCATATAAACTTCGTAATAAACCTCGCTCACTGTTGAGTCTGTGGCTCAGTGTCAGGACATCGGAGCGCGGAATCCGATTGCGAAGGTCTGAGGTTCGATTCCTCATGGAGACCCAGAATTTTTTTCTTTGTCCCACGCTCGTGAAACATCTTTCTTTATTTCTTTAACGAGCTCCAAACTTGTTTTCTCTCTTATTCTATCAATAAAACAGTGGGTCCTCTTGTCATATTTTCCGTATTCAGTACTTGATTTGCTTGTTGAAAGAACTTGCACTGTAATCAGTGTTTGTTGAAAGGTTTATGCTGGCCAAGAAATGTTTTACAATGGTACTTCATTATTATAATAGTACACCTGTTTCACTCAGCTGGAACTCATAAAGAATTTAAGACTGACGCAAAGAATAAGGAAACCTTCGCTGTGCACGGGTTGAAGTAAAACTCTAAAGCATTGTGATAAAGTTCTGTTTAATGCGTTCTGTCAAGAACGTCCCCGCTAAAAGAGTTTTTACTTCATTGTTTACGTCATTTGTTCCATAATTCGTGAAAGATAAGCACATTATATTGGGGAATTAATTTATGGGTGAAAAAACAGTCACTTACTGCCAAGATTGTCTCTAAATTGCTGCTAAAGTAACGCCGACACGAACCAGAAACATGCATAAAATTTTACGTGAATGATAATCACTTGGTATTACGTTTTTGTCAACAATATTGGAAGCCTTCACCGTTTTTGTCGGCGAATTGTCAATTTAAACTTCTCAACCTCAGCAAACAATGGGTTCAGTTCCAAGTCGGACGTTTCAAAGCAACGACACTATTGTGTGTGGGAGGACATTCTCTAGTGAAAATGCAGATGTCAAGAAACCAAAGAAGAAATTCATTGTACCGTATATTCACATTGAGACGCCGTCTCGTCGGAGACGAGCAGCTTTCATCAAAGATGAGAAGGCTGCAAATAACATTGATAAAAACAAACTTTGGATTCACTGGGCTCCACGAAGATACTCGTGGCCAAATACAGTAATAATTAAAAACGGAAAAGGAGGAGAATTTTCTAAAGACAGTTGACCAAGCAAACAATAATTAGACGCCTTGGGCCCTTCTGGTGCTCGAATGGTTGTCAACGTTCCACCAAACAATAGACAATTTTCACATACACCTCAATCAACAAAGTATTCCACGGGAAATGGCTGACCAAGACGACACATCTTAAAATAATAACGAATTCCGAAGAAGCAGTGGGAATGAAATAAAATTCTCACATCTAGGCGTATCTATTCAGAAAATCGCGAGAAATTTGCATGGCCGCTAGTGGAATTAACAATTTGTAAAATATAATTGCATTGCCATGCACGTTCAAGAAGCAAAGGCCTGCATGAGCAAACTCCATATTCCAAGTGGAAACTTCGCTCAGTTGTGGAAAATACTTTCTCGCTTTCAGCGATGTCTTGAAATGAAACAAATTATATCTTAATGGAGCGAACTAGAACATTTCAAACATTTTAAAACCCTTGTCACTGTCATAACGAGTCAAAATACGAAATTCAGCAAAGTCGAAGAAAGCTTTCCATCTTGCTATAACAGGCAAACCTGGCTACTTTGTCGCAGCATTGCAATGAAAAAAATTAATAATAAAAATGAATGATGAACTCAGCTTTTTTATTATTTTTACTATGCTAGGAAAAATAACAGAGCAGAAAAGTAATTGAAGATTAGTGAATGAATAATTTATTGTGCATAAATTATCTTTGTGGCTAACTATGCATTCATTATCATTGAAACGTACCATATATAGTTATTTCAAAGACAGCAGTTATGCTGGAACATCATAACGAATCCTAACAATAATTTAGTAGGTTATAATTGTATGTGATACTTGATAAATCACACATGCATGCATGATGTAAATACATAATACAAGAATTATCGGTCTATCATTTGGTATCGGAACTATTTGTAGGAGAATCCTTCGCTCTATTTCCGACGTCTGAAATTTAAGAACATTTCATCGCCTTTTATGTTCGAAAGGCAACCTCCGTCGAGAATTCAAAATGGCCGACTGGAGTGCCGCGATTGTCTAAGTAAAGCTGGCTCTGAAATCGAGGTTGCCCGGTAACGAACGATTAAAGTACAGTCCTTCCCATTGCTACTCCATGTTTTAGGCTGGTAAGCAGATGAGTAGACTGGGAATGACCGAACGATCGTAGTTGCGTCATAACACCCTTGCCAATCAACTTTATCGTCACGAATTTTCGGACCCAAGCTCTCACAGGATAGAATCAACTCGGCACCAAGGAAATATGCTCTTATCTCTATATCTTGTTCCAGAAGAGGATTTTACCACGCCTTTTGAAAGAAAATTCTTCTAAAGTATTTTCTTTCTTCAAGTTCCGTATGCAAAATCCTTCCCTAACTCTCCTCTTTCGTGTAAAGTATATTCTTTCACGATGACTTTCTTAAATATTGACGTCAATTTTGTTTTGCTATATCTCCGTCTCCATGAGAAATTAAAAGGAAATCTTGGCGCATTTTGAACACCAGCAACGAAAAGGTCATCTCAAAAAGCGACCTTTCAGCCCATTTTCCCACAAAATTCTCCACATTATAGATAGAATAAGGGAGATGGTAAGTTTGAATAATTATCCCCATTGTTATGATACGTCGATTTGCTATGACGACATGTTTGTTACCATGGCAACAGTTACGTCAAATTTATACCTTTTTGTTGTTTGAAGTTCTCGCGCCCATTGAAAATCACGTTTTGAACAGAGGGAAACGATTAACAATTTCGACAGTGTCCTTTTAGATTAAAATATTAGACAGAAAGGAATCTACCAGCCATGGGCACTGCAGTTAGCCGTGGTAATCGTGTTCCGACTTCAACCGAGACCGCGGAAACGTTGATATCCAGAGAAGAGTGGGAGAGGCAAGGGCGTGAGGTGCTGTCAAGACTGCGCATCATACCGCCTGTACAGCGAAGGAGGGCAGAGTCAGTTGGCTATCCTGCTCAGGACGGCATTATCTGGGTTTATTGGCGTCCCAAAGAGGCCAGGCCACCGCCCGCAGGAGGTATTACTGGAACTACAGGAGAAAAGGCGTTTGAACAGAACAAGAAGAAGAACGATTGAAAAAAGTCTTCGGACACTGTTCTTCGATCTGATGCTTGTGTTGTTAAGTGAATGATCGTTTGTAAATAGTTTTCAACCGACTTTTGTTGTCCTGTAATCTGATTGCAATTCTTTTTATTTCGAATTCTTGGACTTAAGTAAACGTATTCGTAGTTTGCCAGGTTCTTTGATATTCATGAAGTGGGTAATTTTCTAAAGGAACCGCGTCGGTGGGGAAGAGCTAACGCTCGAAAAGTCAGCGTTGGAACTCTTTACCGTGGCCAATTTGCATAATCAACTCATTTGATAAAAGAATTACATAACTTTTATTTGCTTTGTCTGTTTTAATGTTCAGAACCATTTTTTGCGAGGTTTGAATCAGAAAAATAATGTCGATGCCTTCACTTACCAAACATTGGCGTTTGAATGCAGAGACGGGCCGGCAGAAAAATTGCAATACTTGCAGTTAAACGATAAATATTGTAACTACGTCTCGTCAGCGCTGAGGCAAGTCCCACAGAACGAATGCCAAAATCAGTGAAAAGCAGTTTTCTTTTATAAATTATCAAATTCGTTTGACAATTTTTTTAGCGATGTAGATCGATAACTGTTTCTGAATGGATTTAATATATCATCAGGAAGGTAAGTAGTTGTAATCGGCTGGATTATAAATTCTCAGAAATCCTTCTAAAAGGCCCTTTTTTCGAAGCAAAAACAATTTTTAAGTGTTTTGTACACTACAATTAAATTGTTCAATTGCAAATTGAACTTCCGATCCAACGTTCGCTTCTGTTTTTCGTAAAAGTTGAGGTTCTAGATAAATTCTTCTGGATAACTGATCGGAAGAAAAAAATATGATGAAGTTCTTGACTCAAATGTGTAACAATCGCACACGCGAAAGAGTGAAACAAGATTAAACAACCCATGGGGTCAACTTAATAAATAAGATTTTTAAGTTCTTGTTTGGCGTAAGTGCAATGAATAAAGAAATATTTAACCAAATGAAAAAGTAAATTTTATCTGACACATGCTAACCCTTCACGTTCCGCCGAAAAGAAAGAAATTATTACTCATTACTGGCCTTTTCAAAAGTCGAATTATAAATATTTACGAAATTTATCGATACAAGTTAAGGTGTTTTCGACGTTTAGGTCAAAAGTCGAAGTTAACCTTTTTTGAGATCATCCTATGAGGTTCTGCCCGTCTGATGTTGACTAGAATACGAGCACGCCTTCCTTTGGGAAGAGATCCGTCAAAAACGAGTAAAAAAAAAAATATACAAAAAACGAAAACGAAAAACACTTAAACAACAATTGATGTTTGTTTACCCCGAGGAACTACTCTGTGCACCTTAATCCCAGAGTTCCGCACGGCACACAAGCATCAATTTGATTTAGTAGATTTTTTTTTTCAAATGCGCGCAACGACCTTCGCCAGGAAGGGGGACTATTCGAAGTCTTGAAATTGACTGAATGTACGACTTGCTCGGTACGTGGGAATATCTCAACTCAGGAAGAAAAAAATTCACGTCTCAAGCTGGTTACTGATAATTTCGACGTCACTGTTACTTCTGACAAACTTAGCTTGTTGGAACGTACTTTAATCGACCAACACTCAACTTTTCGTCAACTTAGATTCACTCGTTGATAGAACATGAGTCAGTCAAGGCTGTATTCATCGAGTGGCAAAGGGCCAGTGGCCCACTTTAAAACGTTGACCTTTTATTGTTGTATCTTTGCTGAGTGTTGAGTGTTTGGCAAATGGTTTGAAGTTTACTAGTATTACCTTCAAAAGCAATTTGCTCCTTTGTGTTATACAGCAAACAAAACGAAAGCAAATACAAGTCATCCAAGGACAATCGCCGTAGCAGTTCCTTTTATTTTCTCGTGTGATTGGTAAACTCCACACTTTCTTTAATACGCTGAGCGAAAAAAAAGTCGCAGAATTTCCTGTTATCTTTTGTTAAAATGACATAACCCAAAATACTTTCGGTTTTTTTTGCTCGGCGGCTGTCGACATTTTATGACAAATTTTCAGCTTAGCGGCCGCGCATTCCAACACTCAACATTTCGGAAAAACAACCTCTTCGATTTTACATTATCGGTAAAACATAATTTATCACAAGTGCTTCTTCGTTTAACTCTATCTATGAATTATCAATGCGTACGCTGTGAAGTAAATACAGTAAGTTATAAGCTTTCGATCCTTCTTTTTAAACAGACGAGTTAAACATTGAATATTTGTTATCAAAAGCAAACATTAATATCCCTATAAAGACTTCCGTTTAAATACCTTTACTCCGAGTCGACTCCATCTTGTGAATAATGCAATAGCTTGTTCTGCATGCTTTTGATAAATCTTTTGTTTCAACAGAGTCTCACCATGTGTAACTCCTCGACTTTTATCACGAAGCGAAAGTGGTTCGAAACTTATCTTAGCATTGAAATATTCGAAAATTATCCTATCCTTAATTGAGACAATAATTTCCTGAATAGTTCATTTGACAGCTGCGTGCTTGATGGCCAAGCCTTTGAACAGGAGTGAAGCTAAGGGTGATCTTGTTAAGATACAAACCTTGCTGCTTTTCAAATGTAAATTACCTCGTTATTATGCTAACTAGATACTGGTCTCCATCACAACAAGGCCACCTTAAGCCTCACTCCAAATCAAAAGCTTGGCAACTAAGTGCACAACTAAAAATGGTTCATTGTTATATCGAGATTTCATAAAGACTGTAATTGAATGATCAAAAGCACCTATCTGCTTGAGGAAACCTTGCCAATCGGGCCCAACTGGCTGAAACATTGTAATGTTTCATCTAATCAGATGTGTATTTCATCAGTTTGAACATTTTTTCTGCAGGGTCGATAAAATATTCAAAAACGTGCAGGAAACTACCTTGCAGCTTCGCCACGTGAAAAATTCGAATTCATTGCATATAATCCTACAATTTTTGTTGCGGTGATATAAACACTTAGCATTGGAATATTCCTAAACTGACGGTACTTCCTCTTTTTCGTCGATTTGCCATTTTGCCCTCCTCATCTACGATCAAACTATTTCGATTAGAAAGCGGTTTTAATTCCAAGTCACCATTTTCTTCGTTCTCGGTATTATCGTTTTGAAGAACATGCTTGTCGTTCCCCATTACAGCGCCATCTTTGAAGCCATTTGAATCGCACAGAGATTTATCCTTCTTGTCTAAATCTGCGCCTTCGTCCACGGTGGACATTTCCTCGTCTCTGCGTTTCTCGCGCAAAGACTGCACCACGCGCGCACTCACCCCATACTGCTCAAGAACTGTGTTCATTGAACAGAAAATGCTAGAGACGAAGGCAAGACCCACAAACGCTAGGAGCACAAGAATGTAGTCGGCATCCTTGTTAAACTGCGGCAAAAGATCCCCAAATCCAATCGTACTCAGCGTTATAAACGTGAAATAAAAACTATCGATGAAAGTCCATTCCTGATGTCTCACTTTCACTATAAGAGACATCAGTGGTAACAGGAGAATAACGGTTAAAAAAATTGTCATGGACGCTACTTTCAGCTCAACATGTCGAGGGTGTGGTCGTTTTAGAAGACGTTGCTCAAAGGTTGTAACGAGTCTTGTGAATATTTCCGCGATCTTGTCTCCGACGGCTTTGAGAGTTAAACACGTCCCAGGGATTCCGAATAAAGCGTAGACGACACAAAATAGACGACCTTGCACTGTCTTGGGTACAATGTTACCGTAGCCTAAGTAAAGAAAAAAACACTCTAGGGGCCGGTCATTTTTTATTGCCCGGGGGAGGGGGGTTGGGGGGTCGGAAAATTTTGGGGGATCACATAGTATACGGGTAACGGATTGGGAAGTAGGGATCAATCGTCGCCAACAAACATTTCAGGGGGTACTAAAGCACATTTTCTACCAATGAGGGGGGGAAATTAAAATTTTACAGAGCCTTATGGGGGGGGGATCAGGTAAATTTTATTGCGACTTAACCAAAGTCATCTGAGCCCCTAGGCGATAGATAATGATCGGTAATTAACACTTTAATTAATGCTGAGAAAATCAATACATGAAAAGTTCTCCCTCAATCATTTTCTGGTAGGCGTCTCTCGTGTAGATGTAGTAATATCATTTAAATAGTAACATCCTCTTTTCCGCGTTACTATTTTTAAAGATTACAAAAAGAGCATTTTACGGTCGCTGTAGTCTATTCATCAATCCTTTAAGTGTGACGATCGATTCAAATGAATGTTGTAATTATTAAGCTGCAAGATCGTTGATTGTGATAGTGTAGTCTGATCATCCAGGTGAGTGTCATCCCGAGAAGGGCTGTTGCTGGTAGTGGTGACTGACGTTTCGACAACCCGAGCGGAAGTCATTATCAGAGTCAAGTGAAAAGTTGTTGTTAGTCGAATATTCTAAGTCTGGTTCGTATAAACAGTCCTTCTCAGGACTACGCTCACCTGGACTGACGATCAGACTACACCATCACATGTTACCCACTGGTTCAAATCATTTACCGTGGTAAGATTATCGATTGCTAATTAAGTCTGGTGGTTCTAGCCTTTAAGTCTGTAAATGGAACTCTAGAGTTTGACTATTCATATAAAAGCTATTGAGTAGTAATTTGATATGGTTCTGTTCTGTTTTTTATGTTTGACAAGCGTAAGGTCACTGGTTTCAATAACTTTTTTCTCCATAAGTGGTCGCCAATGGTATATTAGGCGGCTTTGCCAAACCTAAACACGGGAGTCTGCTCGCCCAGAGCCTGGTAACCGGCTTTTGTTGAAACATCTGCTGGATGTGTGATTTTAATTGTTACATTTGTGGGTGAAAACCTGGTGTGTGAAAATTTAAATTGAAACTATTGAGCAATAAATTTACTTAGAACTGTTTATTATGCTTTAAAGGTGGCTATAACTTTTCTATTAATTCTTTTATTTGAAGAATGTCTGCTACACAAGGACGACATTTTCAAAATAATGGCAAAAACAAAATCTTCCACAATAAATTCTACGGTTGCCTACTGCTCCTCATCCCGATTCCCCAGTCTTTCGCGGACAGGAGGGCAGCTCGGGGACAGGATGCAGTTGAAGAGATGGTTTGTTGAAAGAATCCTTGCGCTGACTCGAGGAATATCCACAGACTTTTACATTAAGTACGGTAGACTGCTTTTTAACTTGCTGAGATCAATTATAGTGGGCATTAATTTTGCATTACCTCTGAGTTCGTGCTGTCAAAACCTTTTTTGCACAGCTAATTTAAGTGTGATTTAGACGAGTGTCTTGTATTGTAAAGAAAAATATCGATGTAAATGCTTTCAAAATCAACCAATGATAAAAAAGTTTGAATCTTAAAGTCGCATAAATTGATATAAAATAAAGATTAAAATTCATGAGAAAAGAAAATAATACACTTCTAAAGAAACTTGAGGTTCAATTATGACTTTCATCATAAAATGTTTCCGTGCTCATAATTTTTTCATCGCCCTCAAAAAAAAGAAAGGTTACATTTCCAGGCTCAGGCAATTCGACGAAGAAAACTGAAAGCGTTTTTTGTTTGAAAAACGAATTGCATAACGATTCGCAGTTTTTTCCTTCTTTGGTACGCTCTTTCTGAATAGGAGAGAAGTAAACGCAGCTAAGATTGAGTAGACTTATTTTGTTTTTTATCGAAATCACTTATGCATGAATCTCTAATTGTGTAGTTTTGTGTGAATTCTTTTGAATGAAAATTTGATGGAACAAACAAAAGGTGAAGCTTTCAAAATGATGTCTGTGGACTGAGTGCTGTTGACTTTTTCTTTACAAGAGTAAAGACCAGGTTTACTCAGGTAAAAAAATACCTCCTTTTGAGTGTTATGAAAAATTTCATAACATTTACATCTGACAAAATTGTTCCAATTTTTTAAGTATTCCCGTAACGCCAACGCCTGGGCGGAAATTTTTTAGAATGCCCTTTTAAAGCCAATATCTTCGAATCTGCTGATAAATTGGACTACTGATCATGGAGATGGCTTCCAGTTTAGCTGGTGCCCACGGGAAAATAATTTCTTAAACAGAAGTTTCTTCGGGGAAACTTTCGAGAGGATAAAGGTGATTATTGTCTTAACCCATTCGATTCATCCGATTTACTCGGAATGTTTCCGATAATACTTATCATTTTCTACTTAACGCTGGCATTATTTTCTCTGTTACAATACATTACAATCCTAATGTTGTTTAAGGTTCGCGAGAAGCTCATTAGCACGAAGGTACTGAAAGATATCAGTGGCGCCATCGCGGTCAGTACAATTGACTCGGATATTGAGAGTCGAAATCGTTAAAAATTCAAAACTGCATGTGAAAACATGTCATTGACATGAAAACTTGTGTGAAAGCTGACAATAGGTGTGAATTTTCCTTATAAAATGAGACAATCGGTAATCTTACCTATTGTAGTTAGTACTACCATCGCGAAAAGGAAAGAATTTCCAAAATTCCATTCCAGAAAACCCTCATTTCCCAGGACAGTCGACGGAAACGTTTCCATCCATCGGTCGGCATCGATTGCAGTGATGTTGTATTTCTGCAAAATTTCTTTCCTCGTGTCTCGATGGCTTCTTATCTCTTGGAGTTGTTCCTGGCTTTCAATTGCTTGAAAAACGGCAGCTCCAGCCAAAACATAGATTGAAAACAAAACCATGCGAATGAATAGCACTTTTGAGCTGTCAGAAACCTCCATTGCGTTATCTCGTACTCGACAATGTAGAAACGTTGTTTGCATTTTAAACCACTCTCTCTCCTAGTTCAAGAGATTCTGCTACGCCATACGCTCTGCGGTTAATCAAAAATAAAATAAATATTTCATAACTTTAGAAACATACCATTTAAAACGAGTTTAATTGCTAATAATAAATCCATCTTGCAAAGTTAAGAAAAGGTTTTGAAGTCTTTTAAGGGAGAAAAGGAAAACTTTATGCAAGATACCCTTTAAGAAGTAAGGAGTGCATAAATTTATGTCTACATTAACAAAAATATCGAAAATAAACATATCAAATCAATTGTGGTTTTGAAACGCTCCTTTAGAATCATGCAGTGCGCCGGCTTACTTTGTAATATTAACGAGGCAAATCACGAAAGTATTGATTCTCCTGTGAAGTTTTACGGTAAAAACCCAGCGATAGGATAATGTTACCTGGAAAAAAGAAGAATTATGAAGCGTTGGAAATGAAAATTAAACATGTTTACCCAGGAGCAACTTGTAAAACATCAATTCACAACGCCACCTAAAGCGAAACATGCGGTTTTCGTCGTAAATCTCACGTTAAAATAGATCGAGGAGCGACAGTTTTAGAAAGCATTTGATTAACGGGAGTTTCTGTTAATCCCGTTTATGGAAATAAATTGGTAAAAAGCTGAGTTTGATTGATTAAAATTCAGTCGCTATCGACAATAGTAACGGCGCCTGGCAATTTATGATACAATTGTTCGCCTAATCTCAGTGATGTTTGAGTTAAAAGCTTTGAGTTTCATAATTGCATGCCCTTTCCTCTAGACGAAAATCAAATCTGAGAAATAAAACATAATGCTGATCCAGTATCAGTGAGATGCAATTTCTGTTTGCGCAATTGGTTCTCTCGTATCTCAGCAACCGGCGCCATTTAATTTATGTTATATTTCTGTTGAAAAATTTTAAGCATAGCAGAGTATTCGTGTTTAGAAGAACAGTTTCTTTAGAACTTTTCTCAAACTACAAACTGATAAGTATTTATTTGATATTTCCTTGGTGACTTCGTGACGTGCCGGCAATGGTAACAAGACCATTTCTCTTTCTAATCAATTATAGCGACGAACCGACCACATAACATAAAAAATACATGTGTGGTAAATGAAAAGGTATATTATTTCATGCTTACGAGAGATGTTTGATGATCCATTTCAAAGTCAAATTAATGGGTTCTCAAAATTAATGGGGTGGTCTGCCATTATTGAAAACTGTTGATCCTTCATCTTGGATTTGACTTTCAGAGAGGATCCTGCAACCGAGGTTGTAAGAGAAGGGCGAAACAAGGAAAACAACGTCAAAAGGGGCAAAATATTGGTCAGAAAATCAACGCACAATTTCACTGCTAGCGCTGATTACGTGTGGAAGATATAATTTCTGAATGTTTGTCTTTTTGAGTCTGACATGTGATCTCGCTATCGTAAACAAAGCTCTTCAAACATTAAAAGATGTGAATGAATGTATTTTTATTCGTTATGTACTCCGTGACGTACGTGCGACAGAGAAAAAATTCAAATACCCCTACGATAAATCGAGCCTCAGACAGACAGACCCTTAGGATGTTCTGAAATTGGGTGACACAAATCTCTTTAGCAAGCTAAGTATTTTGATTACTGCAACGACCACCATGCAATGTCTAAAGCATCTTGGCTGTAAATATAATTAGGAAAACAGAAGGGATTTCCATAATAGGCGGTTACCGGCGGTCTTCCACAGCCTGGAAGATATCCTGTCGCCGTCTGTTTAGCATGTGAGCTGGCTCGCGTGTTTGGTTTCGCCTCAGGTCCCCTTTTCGGGCTCTAACAACAGCGGCAGCCCCTCATTGAAAACGTTTTTGAAAGCCCTAGAAAGTATTGAATTTTAAGCTCGACCACATTCGCTTTTGACTAGCAAGTATGGGACAAAGAAGACGTCTGAGTCCTTTGCGCGGAACCCGCTTTAAACCTATGTATTTCATGGTTCAATGCTGATAACGTGTAGGATGTTCAAAACAAATCAAAAACAAATTATATTCAGGTGGCTGGTTGTGGTTTTCGATTTAGCAACAAAATAATTATCAGCAAAGGTGTTATCATGGAGAAGATACAGTAATACATTCTGTACGCAATATAGTTTGGTGAATTTGTAAGCCGACAAAGAAGTCTCGTTGGATTGGAGAGAAATCTCTTCCAGTTGATCAGAAACGCAAGGCTTGCAATGGCGATTGCTAGGACAACGACTACCATAAATATCAGTGTTTGCTTTCTTGCCATGGACTCCAGTTCTTGGTTTGAACAAAATACAATCCAGCAACGATGTAATAAAACAAGGCAAAGTACCATTAAGCTTGTAAAGAGGAAAAGCATCGTCAAAACTCCAGTTGCTTTACAAAGCACGTCACCATATTTCCACTTCAACTCCAACAACGAAGCAACCATGAGCGGCATCGTAATGATGGCCGTAAACATATCCGTCACAGCGACGAAAAGAAGGCTGGTATTTCCCGTATAAGACTGACTGGGTTTTCTGAAACTTACGACAGACAGAAGCCCGTTACCGATGATTACTGTCGAACAAACTCCTATTATCCCGGCGGCTTCGAAGGATAAAGCCATCGGAGAGATATCAAATGCTTCCATTTCCTCATCTCTGTCAGCCGGGGCCTCGTTTGAATAAGGATCGCTCATTTTGAATTTCACTCGCCCACAATTATCTTTTTCGATTTCCAACACTTCCTTAAATAGATCTTCTTCAAGCTTTAATTCATTCACTCCCATTAGAGACACATTCTTTTGGTGACCGTTGGGCTGTCATTTGAATTCGCAGAGGTTTTTGGACCATTTCACGCATTGATGACTTTCAGTGTAAACTTCAATCGAAGATAGGGCTTTTTTCCACTTGAACTGGTTGTGAATTATTGATTTCATTCGCTGATCGGCCAATTTTAAACTAAAATTCAAACGGAAAACGGAAGAGTTTTGAAATAAAATAATATTTGAATATCTATTAACAACCGAGTTTCCTTAATATTTAAAGCATTCTTTCAAAACTATATCGCGTTTTTTTTTTTTTAATACAAGTTTGCAACGAAAGAACACAAATTTTCTTGTACAGTTCCAAAATGTCTGTAAAAAGAAAACGCTGATATTTGATTTAAAATTCGAACATAAACTGCATTTCGCTCTAGTTACATTGTCACAAAGCTACTGGTAGAATATCCACAGAGCGTAACAGTCACCAGCTGCGCGAAGAAATAGCGCTGGCTTGCGTTTCTTAATACGACTGAAACTTGCGTGAACTCTTTTTGGGTGAACTTCTCGGGTTCCAAGAAGTATTTCAAAATGGCCCAGAACACCGCGAGGGCTTCGTAAAGCAAGATTGTCCCCAGGGTCTTCTCGGTTCAAGCAAAATGGCTGTAGCGGCTCCATTCAGAAAATCGAGTGGACTCTGGGATGAGGCAGCCAATAAAATTTACCAAAAAAGGTAACTCAGTTTCATGGGTAAGAATTTCCCACGCACCAAGCAAAACACGAAAAGTTCTTTTGAGATATTTTGATGGACCGAGTTAGGGCCTTTAGAGGAAAGCAGGTCTTCATTGTCATGAGCCCTGCAGGACGCGCACTTCTCCGTCCGCAAAAAGGTTTGAGACGATCGAGTCGGGAGGAGCTTTGCCGGGGGAGTGGAACTAATAATAGTTTATCCGGCTGGACCCCTTACAGACCTATTGAAGGCTAGAGAAAGCACGCTTCATGAAAAGATCTCACAATCAAACGAAGCTGATCCGAAGATAGTGCAAAGTGCAAGTTTCAGGATTTTTAGTGGGGCGCACGCGGACGTGATTTGATTCAGCGTGGGAAGCCAAGTGCCTTTTTCACTTTAATGAAGCAAACGGCTTTTTAATCGAGAAAGTTTCAACTTCTCCACTGGCAAAAGCTAGGAGTTATTCCCAATTTAAAATTGCATTTCCGGATACTTCACGAATTAAATACTAAATTTCGCGGAGAAAGTTGAAACTGAACTCGTTATCGAATCTTTGGGTCTTCGATTTTGTGCTACAGTTCTGCTCCAAGATGAAATTATCAATCCTCGTTATAAATCATCGTACACATCTATACAAGCTGTGAGATTTTGATGTTTTATCTGGTCAGAGAACTAAGCCATTTTAGAATTGTTTTTTTACTCATATCGTCTGTCCTCTAGATAAGTACCTATTGCTAACTGAGTTCGAGGTAGACACTGTTAAGTAACGAACCCAGTTTGTTCCGCTCGGATTTATGGCCGTTAGTAGGACCATAGCCGAAAAATTAGGTCCCATAACTTTTAGTACAGACCGAGAAAACGAGAAATTCGTTCGATCTTTGGGTTTTAATCGAGGGGAGAAATTTGATTCCAAACAGACTTTTGAAAAGGCCTTATAGTGAATTACGACCCGCTAAACTGACCAATCATAGTGCACGTACGATTGGACTGAAACAGTTATAAGAAAAGAATCATGGGACAACAACTCATAAAACATACGTCACCGAACCGTTACCATCTGATAGCGTTTTAATTTTTTGATTTACTTAAGTACAGTTAGTTTGAACGATACATTTCCCTGAATGCTTTTTTATAAAACTTCCCTACAACAAAATTAATAGCGTTCCTGTTTTGCTAGATTCAATTGTAGTTTTGAGTAAATACCATGATTCCGGGCGATATCATGCTGCGTCGGCCATTCTCGTTCCCAGACCCCTAAGGTTTCTTAGAAGCCACTTCTCATGCCTAGGCCTTACCTGAAAAGAGCCGATAAGATCAGGGGACGAGGAAATTGCAACTTTGCTCACTTTTTCACTGATCGTGCGCGGTTTGAGACTGGCACCAATCAATAAAGACATCGTGTAGCCAATCAGATCTATAATTTGCCAACTACCTGTTATACTAGTATTTAAAATGGCAAGGGTAATTGTGTGATTACCGTTTTTGTCAAATTGAACTATTGGGCGATTGAAAAGAAATTAAATTTCCAACAGTATTTAAATTACCTAATGTGATTTATAGTATCTGGGTAAATCTTGATTTTTTTCAATATATTACGAGCGACAGTCAGTAAAAACTAGAAAAAAAAGAGATTTTGAACAATTACTCCAGCCTGTTAAAGAAAAACATTTTGTCACGAACGAAGGAAAATGATTATATTTACGGTCAAATGCTCTATACACAAAGCTCCTCACAACTGCCATCTAATATCAAGCAGGCAAGTGATGAGAATAAAGAAAAATATCATTAAGGGGATTATTAATTGACCCAACACCAAATTCTAACTGCTAACATCATTGGAATTGTATGGCAGACAGTAGGAGATTTTCTGATGAGTTCTTGAGAGTGATAGGGCTAATGGAAACTGCCACTGAGCTTGAAGACTCTGCGTGGAACAATAACAGCTTGGGAAGAACCAGGGAAAGTCTGATAACGAATTAAGTCGAACTGAAATTTGTAGTGTTGGTGCTTTGAGAAGGAGGAAAACCACAGCTTCCAAAGAAAAATCCTCACCACAACAACGAAAACCAGCAAAAATCTCAACACACATTTCACGCCACCTTTGGAAATGGAACCCAGTTCACAGCGGTAGAGGGGGAGTCCTCTGAACACTACTTTATCAGGAGCCCATTAAGTAATGGGTTCCTGACTCTATTCATTCTCTAGGCAACGAGATCTAAAGTTAACTCTATATATACTGACTGTCGTTCTTAAATACTTATGTTACTTAGTTAATAATAGTTCTTATTAAAATAAATTTTGAGCTAGCTATGTGATTAACTACATAAGAACGAGGACAAAAGCCTCGTATGTCTGCGTGACCAGGGCGGAAAAGCGTGACAATGTCACGAACGGTCCCGCCGAAATGAAGCGTGACGTCGTTACACGGTCTCCTCCGAATCGAGTTTGTGCTTCCGGTATAACTGGTTTATAATGTTCGTAAATCGACTCAGTCCCTCAACGCACATCTTCATGTCCCGTATGACATCCTTGTGAGTGGCCAAGCCCTTTTCAGTGGTCGCAAGAGCTGTAAGAAAATCCGATCTGTATGGCACCGCTTTAACTGCCAACTACAAATAAATCACGTAGAATGATCAAGCAATAATCCAACCTTCGTGATGATTTCAGAAATTAAAAAAAAAATGTCAAAAGTCTTACGATATTAAATCTTCTTATACTTACAGCGAAAACCCCTCTAACGACCCAACCATGATATCTTCTGAGCGTCTTGCCGTAAGCCGTACCTGAGAAGTAACTTTTAATTAAACTCTAGCCCGTGGAATAAAACATTGAACGACTGCACAGTAAATTACCAAGGACCTCTATAGAAGGTTCAGTTGGAAAGGCGCTTGACCGCGACCGAAACTGCTAATAACACTCCAGTTGATCACGGCGAAGGACTGGGGCAATTTACAGTTGGGCGTCGCAAGATAGACAGGGCTACATTCTTTTGGTTTTCCGTTCACTTCTCTCTTGATTGGTACAAACTCGTCTCAAATTCTCGATTAGATGCAAAACTAAAACTATTCGTAATTCCCTCGCGCTTAACCCTTTATATCCTAACATCAGTATGCATATTCTCCATACTGTTCTCTATACATTTCCTAAGGTGCTGACAAGGAGAATTTGTTTAACAATCGAGAGCTACTTAAGTTGGTGATGATTTCCTATATTCTTATGAATCTTAATATTTGATTCAGGGGTGATATTGTAAGGAGAAATTAGAAGCTGGTCACTCTCAGGGGTTAAAGGGTTAAGGCAGTGCGTCCGTTTTGATTCAGAGTCCTCATTGGCTATTTGTAATAGTACCTTTGTTCTGATTGGTCGTTGACGTTATTTGGTAATTGACACTCAACGAGGTTCACTCGGGAATAAACGAAGGTGAGCCAATGAAACAATTGGAGAGAAGTTATCAGTCATTTTCGACCTTTATTTACATGAAATGTGGATGAAATTAAAAAAAAAAAAACCCTTACCTGCCGCTACAGCGAGATCTTTTTCTCCTCGAACAACTTCAGCGAGAAACACTTGCATGAACTCTAAAGCTCTGAAATAGATTTTTAATAGGACGACGTAAGAGACTCGTCTTACACAAGTATTCACATCTTGTGAATGACGCAGGGCAACCAGTATTAAGCGGTAAATGACCGTTAACCGTAAATATTTGGTAAAAAAATTGTCTACGGTAAAATTTCATCTGCAAAAAGCGCTTCAGATAGACATCCTTACTTTAACGGTTTGACGCCACCTTTGATCTTTTAGACACAATAACACAGCGAAAAAACTTCACTGTCAACCAAAACTTTTCCAAGTAATTTCCTGACTAAATGAAGAGTTTTTATTTTATTCACCTTTTCAACCATAGTAACGCGTCCGTGGCTGAGTTTTTCACAGTACACGTGTTGCTTTTGAGTTCTTGGTAAACAATATTTTGCAGCGTGACAAACGCTTTCGGATCCGTATCGTGTTTAGCTTCGAGTTTCTGCAATAGATTAAAACAAAATTTGGTTCGATAACTTAGTAAAGCAACTTTCATCTGAGTATCGAAAATAACTCGGGACTGCATTGGTTATTATGGCACTACGCTCTGATTGGTCTAGAAAACTCACGCTATCCTGTGTCATCCGCGTTTTCCCGCGCTAAACGTAGTCTGTTAACTTTGCGTTGTCACTCGCACCTTGTGGCATTTCCCTTTATTTTGATTTGTTGAAAACTAGTATGCTACGATGTGATTAGTAAGCTTATTTCACACTTCACACATACGCAGTTGGCCTAATATGTTTTGACGAAAATAAACTTATAGATAGCCACCATAAAATAAGTGAAAAAGCTTTGTTTCAAATCCCTACTTTTATATTCCCACTGATATCCAGTTTAACAGGAGCAAATGCAGTTGATCCAAGAACATCTGCAAAAACACAACAATTAGTACAAATTATCATCACTTCATCCGGCATTGTGACGCATTTTGCGGGCTAAAATGGAGATGTTGGTGGGCTGAAGAGTACTTAAGCCCGCTCGCGTGAGTGGGCTTAAATGACAGAGGGTTGGGCCTAAAACATATTTGCCAACATGCACTGTATTGTTTTATTGTTTATGAATTGGCTCTGGGTTTACGCTACGACAGCAACCAACGATCAACCATTCTACAAAAGGGGAAGTCCGAAGCAAAAGTATATTTTGTCGTTCCTTTTTACAGATGCAACTTTATATGAAAAGCTGAAGCCATTTCATGTGAACATTGTCGCTTCATAGTGTGTTTACACGCTCCAAAGTCCCATGTCCAACGTTCACGGGCTTATTCTTTAGCCCTTTACACCCTAATATCAGTATACACATTCTCCATACTGTTTCCTATGTATTTCCTTAGGAACTGTCCAGGAGAATTTGTTTCACAATCAAGAGCTTTTTAAGTTACTGATCATATCCTTTATTCTCAAGACCTTCGTGTGCGATTCAGGGGTGATATTGTAAGGAGAAACTAGATGCTAGTCACTCTTAGAGGGTAAAAGGTTATCTAAAAACTTTATGCAAGATGTCAAGCACTTCTCACGAGCATAGAAAGAAAAAAAAGGGTTTGATTCTCTCATTGAAGAGGAAAGCCAAGGATAACCCAGGTTCCAACGTACCGGTGTCCTTAAATAGTGCTTCATTATGGTATAGAAAGCAAAACTATTTCAGTTACACGAGCCTTCCACCAAAAATTCCCTATGTGGTGAGAATTTCAAAGGGTGTTGCTACTTACCGAGAAACGGTAGGATACACGAACAGGACGAAAGAAAAAGTTTAGTGGGAATACCATTGTCTGGTCCTAACTGAATGTTCTCAAATCTACAAAATAATAAGCAGAAAAATAATGCTGTAAGTGATGTCAAGGTGGCTGTTTTCAAAAGCATTTTAACCAACTTAAATTCAACACAATGCTTACTTCCCTCAAATTTACCTAAATTGCACACTAGTGAAGAATGTTAAAGGTTCCTCCTTAACTTCCTCTGAATTTGAAGTCGACGACTGTGAATCGAGAGAATTCCGAGACAATTCAATATACTTCGCCTTATGATTGAGGCTGGGGTTGGCCGACACTCCGCTAGCTTGCACGTGCCTGCGATCATTATGCTCAGAGGAATTTGTTGAAGAACGGTTCCCAACGACTTGGTTAGGAGTCTGGGTCGTGAGCTGCTTGGTAACTGATGACGTCATTCTATCGCTGTGAACTGATTGGTCGCTTACGGTTGTGACGCTTGGTGGTCCTGGAATAAAAAAACAGCTTTGTATTTCTGACAATAGTGACATAAAAATCAACTCAGTGGTCATACATCTGCGCATGTGCCGGTGTTGCACTGACTATGAGGCGTTCTCTCAGCCTGTCAAAACGAAATTGTGTAACAAGGGTCATAAACAGCCACACAAGCTAGTAAGTCAAGGTGTGCAAGTTCGAAATAAAAATGGTTCATTAGCAGGATACACGCATTAGAAAAACTTCGTGTTTTAAAAGTTTCTCGTTTTTCCTCTTCCCACTTCCTTGAACAGAGTTCTTATAACATTTGCAAGATGCTTCGTTGGTTTTCCTCAAAAATTTTGCGCGGGAAATTGGCGAGCGGCCGGGCAAGATTTATCCACTTGCGCATACTCGACGTTTGACTGCTGTGGTAGCTGTGGTCTCCAAACCAGCCCTGTAGGTTCGTTAGGGAATTTGTGGAATCAGGGTCGTTACTTACCATTGTAAGTAGAACTAAATGAACTGGCAACACTTGGAGTTGGCGATGGTGGAGGGGATGCAGACCTGTAAGATGAAAATATGTATATGTAATAACATGATTTCTCTTGCAATTTGGCGTGATAAGCACGAGTAAATTTTTCAAAGACACCAAACTTGCATGTGCTAGTAGAGCAAGTGCAATTTGTAGTCTTTGAAAGATTTACACCAAATTGCAAGAGAAATCAAGTTACCACTTGTTAATAATGTACAAAAAAAACATCTCCGAAACTCCAGACAGACGAAATTTTGAAAGCGTGCGCGCGCTTCTTGTACTTTGCACTCATGTTAATGCGAACTCGTTCTCAGCCGATCAGAAGCGCGTAACATTTTCACGTACATGATTATCATTTTTACTATGACGTTCTAAAAAAAACAGTTTGCGGATATTGTTGCGGATTAACATCAAAATCTCAGAGCTTAAATCATGATAAATGTATCACAGTCACTGTGAATAACTGATATTTCGAACTAAAACATATTTTCCATACTGTTCTCTATACATTTCCAGTAGTACTGATATGAAGAATTTGGTTCAACGATTTTGAGCTGGTGATCATTTTCCATATTCTCACATCCTCAACGCTTTATTCAACAGTGATACTGTAAAGAGAAGTAAGATGTTAATCACTCTTACAAAGTGGTCTTACCTATGACCATCATGGAGTAATTGTTTTTGAAAAGTACTGTGCTTCGTTGATGTCAAAGTCTAAAAATAAGAAAATATAATAATAACATGTATCAGTTTAATTATGTGGGATGCTTGTGGCAGACCACGTTGGGAATTCGCTTCAGCGTCGTTGTAGTCAGATATGAAAATTAGCCTCGTGCTTGTGCTTCTCACTTAGGTTACGCCTTGTTGCTTGGGGATAATTTTTGGAGGGGTGATCGCATATAACATCCCGTGTTAACCCTTTAACTCCCATGACTGACCAAGACAGAATTTCTCCTTACAATATCACTACAATATCAACCAGATAAGTAATGAGAATAAAGAAAAACATAAATTTAAGGATAATTAGTTGATCCAATACAAAATTCTCTGAACTAACATTACAAGAATTGTATAGTTGACAGTAAGGAGATTTACAAATTTGATCTGGGAGTTAAAGGGTCAATGACTTTTTTTCATTTCCTTTATTTTTCGATTTCATTCCCGTACTTTGAAGAATCAACATTAAATTTATCATTTTTCACGTAAAACCAGAGTGACTGTAGACAACGACCAACGTACCCCACGTTAATGCCTCCAGGCGTCTTGTTATCGAAAAGATAAATTCAGTTATTCCAATCACTCATTCACTATCACTGACATTACTTCACCTCACTCACTTTCTACCAAAAAAAATCTGGATCCTTGCAAAAAGAGAACTTTAAAGTTGTTCACAATTGTTAAAAAACTGTTTAAGGACAGGACCTACTGTTTGATCCAAATCAAGTGTAAACTAGTATCTTGGTAAATAAATATTTTCGGCTTCAAAAAAAGTTTTTTTAATTTATTTTTTAATCATTCACCAATCAATTTCAGTATCTGAGCAACAACTCACCCACCTACCCCTCCCCTGACCCAACATTAACCCTAACATGTTATCAGTTGACTGTTGTTGGGTCAGGGGAGGGGTAGGTGCCCAGTGGCTTACTAGATACTGATGTTGATCCTCATTCACTTAATGTTTATGTCACACCTTATTCATGGAAGTTGACGGTGAAGATGGTGAAGATGAGGAGCTCCCTGGAAAAATCAGAAATGACTCAGCAATAAGAAAAATATGTATCTCCTATTAGCACATAACAGACAGACAAATAGTGCTTTTCATGCATGCTGATTGGCTAGATTGGATGGGATAAGCAAGTAATATTCCCCACCAAGCGACCCAGTGGCTCCATTAAATGCTGCGCTGCTGTTTGTAGTATGTGATTGGAGAAAAACTAATTTAGAACTTTCTTCAGTTTGTACTAGCAATGCAATCACAAGTACAAGTACAAACACCAGCATAGGGTAAATATGTCAGTGAAGTTATATGATGTGAAATAATAACTCACCAAAGTTACTTTCTGCTAAATCCATACAGTCACAAATGTTTTTGAGAAATTCATCGCAAGTTGCAGATAGCATGGTTGCTGCTTCTCCAAATTCCTTAACAAAAATAACCAAAAAAAATATTAAGTAATGCTTCAAGAGATTTTTGGATAAGAAACACAATTACATGTCATTGTGCAACCCTTTACACCCCTATATCAGTATGCAAATTCTCACCACCGTTCTCTGTATATTTCCTATGGTAAGGACAAGGAGAATTTGTTGAATAATCTAGAGCTCCTTTAGTTGACTATCATATCCAATATTCTTGTGTCCTTTATGTTTAATAAAGTAGGGAGAAATTAGATGCTAGTCACTCAATTATCAAATGCATCTTCAAAGGCAGGATTTGCAGGGTGTTATTTCAGTACCTGGTTGTCCTCTTTATTGCTGCAGAGCATCTTAATGGTGCTGATTTGTTGCAGTAGTAAACTGCGATACATGTTCAGCTCTTGCATCTTCTCCTTTAACTGGCTCATGGCTGTTAACAAAAGACATTGCTCAGAATGACTAATAGGGAGAATGATAAGTGAATGTTCTATCATTCATCCCCCTTAAGACTTCATCCCAATGACTTTAATAGAGACAAAAGAATTGAAATTCCTGAACAATGGATTCCCATCATCAAAAAGTGTATCAGCCAAACAAACACTAAACAGGCATATGAGGGAAGAACATCTAGCAGTTGGAATAATAATGAGGATTGACATACACCAATAACAGCGCACTAAAACACACCAATAACAGTGCACTAAAACACACCAATAACAGTGCACTAAAACACACCAATAACAGCGCACTAAAACACACCAATAACAGCGCACTAAAACACACCAATAACAGCGCACTAAAACACACCAATAACAGCGCACTAAAACACACCAATAACAGCGCACTAAAACACACCAATAACAGCGCACTAAAACACACCAATAACAGCGCACTAAAACACACCAATAACAGCGCACTAAAACACACCAATAACAGTGCACTAAAACACACCAATAACAGCGCACTAAAACACACCAATAACAGCGTACTAAAACACACCAATATCAGCAAACCAAGGTGCTATAAATGTGATGCATATTTAACCTTTGACCTCATTGCCTGACAAAGACTATAAGTATATCAGTTGAAACATTGCAATCAACAATTAATAACCTGACCCTACATTCTGAGACATATGGTTAAACATTCACTGATCTACAAAACCAAGCTTAACAACATATCAACCACAAGGAGAACAAGAATGTTTAAAATAAGGGCAAAATTGAATCACAACAGATAAGGCACACTAAAGGTGTATCTAAAACAATTTCTTACATTCTCCAGGCACTTCTGAGTGGCCGTTATGTTTCATTGTTGTCAGACATGCTTTGGCTGTTCCCAATGCAACTAACCACTGTTGTCGTTCAGCTGGTGTGGCAGCCCTAAGGTAAATGTATTGGTCCGGGGGAATCTTCAGGTCAATTCGAACAGCATCTGTAGGATGTACTAAACAAATGGTTTTGTTGGATTATTTACATGTACTGCATGGGGATCAGGGTATACTGATGTTATTCTTTAATATTGATTGTGAACTTTGCGAAAAAAAGTGTTCCTTTTGGTTATAATTCATACAACTTTTGAACTCTACTTATCCTTTGCTTTCACGAATAGATTCAATTTTGCCATGCAGTCTTTTCAGTAATAGATCACAGATGACATGAAAAATGTGGTAAGAACAAAAAGGTGGCATATGAGGGGAAAGCTACCAGTTCTTACCAAAATTTGGCATCTTCTGTGATATATTACCATACAGACCCATGGCAACATATTTGTTTGATATGATAAGAAACCCAAATGTTGTCAATGGTGACATCATATTTAAGTCTGTCCATCAATCAAAATTCATGTATCAATCAGCTTATCATTTAAATTGTGATATATGCACCTGAAAGCAAGAATGAATTCTCATGCCATTATGCAATCTTTACTAATTTTAGCACTTTTGGGAGAGAAATTCAAAGGACAGAGCCAGCTGAGGAGCTATATCAAGGTGAAATGCATGAGTTAAACTCTGACAAGCTATGTCAAGGCAGGGTGAATAAGTTAAACACTGACTTTAGAGCCCTTTCTTTTGTGCCACACACTCTAAGTACCTGTTTCTAGACGTGGTTTGATGTTACTCTGGTTTAACCCTACAACTCCCATGCGTGACCAAGACAGAATTTCTCCTTACATTATCAATACAATATCAAACAGAAAAGTGACAAGAATAAAGAAAAATACCAATTAGGGGATAAGTTGATCCAATACCAAATTCTCCAAACTAACGTTACAAGAACTGTATGGCAGACACTAAGAAGAATTGCTAATGTGATCTTGGGAGTTAAAGGGTTAAAGATTTAATGAATTTAACTCAGAACTAAATCTTTAAACCAGAGTAGCATCAAACCATCTCTAATTGTCCACCTGGTTGCCTTGTGAACTTTAATATATCTTAACTGTTTGTAAGTTAATAATTTACCTGAAATTTCACAACAAGCCATTTTCACTGATCCTCTGCTTCCAAGCCCAACCTCTTCCTGAGATTTGTAATAGGCCAACACTCCAACTTCTAGGACAAACCACCTGGGCTGCCAACCTGAAAGAGCATAAAAACATAATTAATAAAACCACAAAACCAATTTTTCTAAATAATTTAATAAGTATTCATAATCACCAAGAAATATGTGTGGGAGATGCATAGGCCTATAAATATCTCGCTGGACACTAGTGGAAAGATCAGAGTTTAAGACCTGGCCAGGTCAGTGTGTTGTGTTCCTGCGTAAGAAATTAAATTTACTCTTACAAAACGAAATTCTCACAAACAGCAATATAAGAATCATGTGATTACCAGTGGGGAGAATTAGTGATATATCTATCTAGTTGCTTTTCTTGCTTAAAAGAAATGTTCTCATAATAAAACAGGGTAATTAAGTGTTATCAACTAAGTTGAAAATGTAAATTGGCCACTGTAAATAGTTTAAAGGCTGATGTTTCAAGCATTAGCCTTTCGTCAGAGCCATTGACCAATTGCCAATCGCTCTGACAAAGGGCTAATACTTGAAACATCAGCCTTCAAATCTTTTAAGGGGGCCAATTTACATTTTCAACTCAGTTGATAACTCTAAATTACACTATTATCCTCTCCCACTGACGCAGCACCACAGTTTCTTTAGAAACTTGTCCCCCATAAAAAACAGTTGGATAACAAATAACTCATTGGATGTTTTCATGTGCGGTATCTCTGAGTATTTTTACTCACTGATTGTATTGACATCCTATGGGCTTGTCAAAATACAGTACAGCTCATGAAAATATTCAGCGATATTTCACACCAAACATAGACAGGACCATCCGTTTAAAGAAACTAGTGTCACATTTTAGACAAACTTAGAGTCCGATTTTGGAAACAAGTGGTCAATTTTAGACACTAATGTATAACTTTAGATATTAGTGTCCAACTTTAGACAATAGATTTATATCTTGTAAGAAGAAATTCTTCCTTGGTCACTTATGGGAGTTCACTTATAAAACTGCCAAAAGACCTACTCTTTACATTCCTTAGTTGAGTGAGTGAAGAAAAAAGAACTAAGCATTTTATGAAAATCAGCATCACACCATAACTGGAAGGCAAGAATGTCAACAGGAAAGAGGTTTTGTTAACCCTTTCACTCCCATAAGTGACCAAGACAGAATTTCTCCTAACAATATCAATACAATATCAAGCAGGCAGGTGATGAGAATAGAGAAGAATATGAATTATGGGATTATTAGTTGATCCAATACCAAATTCTCTGAACTAACATCATAAGAATAGTATGGCAGATAGTAAGGAGAATTACTAATTAGATCTTGGGAGTGAAAGGGTTAATAGAGTAAGAAAGATGGTAAGTAATTAAGCTCAGTAAAGAAATAGAGAAAGATGATTTTCACCTTGTCACAAGTGTGGGACAAAGAAGAAATTCTGAGTCCCCTTTGAGGAAAGAGGTTCTTTTGATCTATAAATTTGATCTTCCATGGTGAAAGCAAAATAGCAGTAGCTACAAGTACAGTTGCACAGAAAAAAGCTTATGGCTGGGAAAATAATACTCAATAAAGGACAACATACATTTGTAGCTGTAAAACAGATAAAACACTGTCATTAATACGTTATTTCTGGCATCCAGGAAAATGATAACATGGTTGGCCTTTGACAAAGGATTTCAAATAGATCCTTTCAACAAAACTGAAATTTAATAACCGTTTCCGATTGCCATGTTGTGTTTCCGTGCTTTCGTGTAAGTTCCCAACAGCACGGACATTTTCATTTTACACAATAACCACCTAGAGAGTGTGGTAAATACAGTACACACTACATTAAATCAACAAATAAATTCACTAAACCGCTTAATCTATGACTCGGCAAGTGAAGTAGTTCCGGGCGTAAATTAATGAATAATGAATTTCTTTGTTTGACTCTTCCGTAATGTTAAATAAGTTATCATGTCCGGGTAAATTATTTCGCTGATCAAAACCGCGGGAACTTCTCCCATGTGTATTAAGGAAGTCTCAGTCTTAACAGAAATAAACAATTTCTGATGACATTTTCTTCTGAAAAGCCACCGAAATATTAAGAAGACGTCTATCTACAAACGCCATATTTTAAAAGGAAAGCCGTTCTACTATGAAATAGGAAAATCACAAATCAACGCATCGTTTCATAGTAACTTATCACTTCGAAAAAAATTCTTTACAAATACGTCTAAATGTTGACAAAAAAGGCAAAGTTTACATAAGTCGGAAAGAGAAGCGACCAAGATCACGCTTATAAAATTCAGTTACAACACGGAACAAAATCTAAACAACAACAAAAGAGCAGAGATGTGAAATAAAATATTACAAACCACTTAGATAGTTCGTCCATTTCCACAAAGTCCCTTCCATTATCGACATCTTCTGCGCTTCTCTCTTTAAAATGTTCACGCAGCCCTGCGCAAAAATCCTACGTTCGGACACAAGTCCAAGTGTTCGTCGATCTAACACGGATTAAGCTATTTATCCTCAGGTTTCTCTCTGTAACCATCAACGGGTTAGGACGTCCGCCATTACAAAATTTTCTATTGCAGTTGGTGACACGCGTGCGCGGAATCCTCCTGAACTTCCGGTAATGCTGCATGCTGGGAAAGTCTGAAAAAAACCACTTCCGGTAATTTTCCTTCGGATTCCAATTCGTGTTTTCCAACTATCGAGGAGGGGTGGGAAGATTTTTAGATCAATGAATTTGGCAGTAAAAAAAAACAAAAACGCTTAAAGCGCAGACATATAAAAACACTTAGAGGGTATGTGGTTCGGGTTCTAGCCAGGATCCTGTCTGTGATTGGGTTGAAAACGCTCTGAGCTGGTTGATATGCAGCATAGCATGTAGAGCTGCTGCGAAAATCCACGCTGAAGCTGAGGCCATTAACACAAGTGTTTTGGTTAGGGTTTGGCTGTGACTGTAGGTATATTTGATGGATACGTACCGTTCAGCAGTAATCAACACAAGATGGGTCAGCGAAGGAAAGCAGAAAAAAATAAATAAAATACTTGGCCACGTCCTGTAAAGGACAGCTGTCGATTTTAATTAATTATAATTCTAATAATCTTAATAATAAAGCTAATACTTCAATATATAAGCACGGAGCTGAAAAAGGATTCCAACCATTGCATCAATGGCTGATAAGCAGGCCAGGGCTACGTTATATAGGTTTATAGTTGCGCTATCTTTTCCACAAGGAACATCACCAGTGCGTTCAGGCCCTGCGTTCACTACAACAGTATAAGGAAAAGTTACCACTATCATTACTATATTGATGATTAAAATGGCGTTAGGAAGGGGAAAAATTGCTTTGGTACATCACCAATGAAAAGAAAGCCTTTGCAATCTGCAGGCATGGTTCCTTGAAGTTTCAGGCTGGAATTCATCCTCTCGGTCGCTTCCCTTTTGTCTTCGGCACTTTAGCAGTTTCTTAGTGACGAGAACGGGAATTTTCCATCTGTTTGTTATGAGAGAGCTAACTGCATTTTCTTCCGTGCCATGTGAATATGATGTTTTTCTCCCATGTGTTTCTGAGCTTTCTGAGCTTGTCTAGAAGTGTTTTTATGAATGAGCGTTTCACTTGCGTCATTTCCATTGATTGTATTAATTTTCATCTAAAAACACCTCATAGTATACTATAGCTCTTCTCGTTAATTGGCTACCATTTCTAATAAATAGGGTTTGGACTGATTCATGTGACGTTTAACGAGTAACTAATTAGGAAAAAAAAATTTGAGGATTGGTGTGAAAAGACTTAAATCGTTTTAAAAACGAAGGGTTGGATAAACCGTCGACAAATGGATGCTTAAAATAAAGGCAAAATAACGAGTGGACAATTGACAATTCGCTTGCATTTTCCATTGGAATAAATCAAACACTTTATAAATAACTTTTCGTGTGAAAAAGTTTAAAATTCCTGCTGTACAATTCCTATTCCGATATGGTATCACAGAAAAAAAAATTACTGGCTTTTTTTTTGTTTATTGGCGGATAAACATTGCTACTTTATGCCATAATTTATCACTTCATGTACAGAACCTCGCTCGAAAATACCACTTACTTTGATTTTAAGTGAGAAACATGGATTAAAAACTACACTTAAGAGATTATTCTTAGCTTTATTTATGTGGACTCGCTTTCAGTGACCGTTTGATACAGATCTAGGACAATAAGAAATGGCCGTTGAGATTTAGTAAAGGGTGATCGCGACCGCTGTAGAGAGGTGATCGCTTAATAGAGAATAAAAAGAAAACTAATTTCAGGACTTTGACAAGGGACCGCTTAATACTTTGGCGCTTGATACAGGTTCGACTGTAGCATGTAAATTACGCTGGCTATTCCTATAGAGGTAGACTTTTATTAAAGGCTCAACAATTTTGACCATTTAACAGGATGGAAGCTTATTCTTTCACGCCGGGAAGTTTTACAAGACAAGTTTATTTGTCGACTCTTTTAATTAACACCTTTTGTTTTTCATAGGAACGCAACATGCACCTAATTGAACTGAAAAACGTGACTTGCAGTTTTTCTAATTTTCTTACTTCTTAAGATAAAGTATCTACAATGTAAACATTACCCAAAACGTTACTTTGAAGTTTAAGAAAGTAAATAAAATAAAGCGTTAAAATACAAAATCCAGACAATCTTTGTTTATTTATTGAGCTTTAAGAAATTGTATACTTTAATAGAGATGACGCGAATAATTAGCATGCTCTTTCAGTATGAATGAAAACACTTCTCTTCCTTCGGTGAAACATTTAAGCTAATTTTCATATACATGAAGGTAATAGACCACACTTTCCATCTTTCTGACTCTGATAATGCTGACCAATCCAAGTATTCTCTCTTAAAACTCTTGGGGTCTGTCATCAAAAAATTATTACCCGTTGTTGACAAAACTGCGTTCTAAGCTATCTTAAATTTGGCGGAATCTTTTATCTAAACATATACTTTTGTGAATGACGCCGAGGGCCCAAATCTAGCAGTGGAAGGGCATTTAATAAAACAACCCGTAGTGGATACCCAAAGACCACTGCCTGCGTAAAACCGCGGTTTGGGTTGAACCTAATGTTGACAACCCGGATCTTCGGCTCCAGTGTAGTTTTTTTTCAGGATTATTTCAATAATTGCAACGCGAAATTGTCGTAATCTGACTGAGTAAATAAGCGGATTAAGAAAGGAATTCATAAGCGCTAACGAAACAGAAGAGACAAAAATTAAATGTATTGAGATAGAAGATATTTTGTCGACGCCAAAAGCGAAATTGATCACTCTTAAAGTCATTATCGGTAAATAACAAATAATTAAAATGAACACAATTGTAGTGGATACTTTTAGGGCTTTTTTCTCTTTTAAAAACTTTTCCCTGGCCTCCAATGAAACTTGCTGTTCTGCGATTTGCTTCGCGTGTCGACGACTCTCAAGATATACCATAACAGTGGAGAAGATTATGAATACTAAAATTGCTCCCACGAAAGCTGACGTGATGAGATTGAATACACTCTGGTCGATATATAACAAGATATGTGCAGTTGCTGTGATAATCCATGCTGCCGTGGAGGCCATCAACACACGGGTTATGGTGAAGACTTTGCTGTGATTATAGGTATGTTTGATGGCCATGTAGCGCTCTGCTGTCATCAACGCTATGTGGACGAGCGAGGAAGCGCAGAAAAAGTTGATCGAATATTTGGCTACGATTTGCGTTGAACAGCTGCCGATTTTACCAGGTAGTTCTCGTTTTAATAATGATGATATTTCGATATATACGCACATAGGCTGAACAAAGATTCCAACCATTGCATCAGTAGCTGATAAACACGCCAGGGCAACGTTGGATACGGTTCGAAGTTGCGCTTTCTTTCTCACAGCGAACATCACCAGCGTGTTCAGTACAGCAGTAAAAGGAAAAGTTAATACCAAGATCAGTACATTAACAACCAAAATAGCGTAAGGTATAGCAGATATCTGCTTGGGTACATTGCCAATGAAAAGAAACCCTATGCACTTTGCATTCATACTTTCGTGAGGTTTCAGGGTGGAATTCATCTTTTCAGTCACTCTTCGACCTTTCTTTATGTCTTCTGCAAGAAGTTAACAGTGCGAAAGAAATCTTCCATCTGTTTGTTATGAGAGAGTGCTAACTGCATTTTTGTCTGTGTCCTGTGAATATGACGTTTTTCTCCCATGTGATTCCAAGTAGAGAAGTTTGTCTTAATTGGTTCTTTTGATTTTAGTTTTTTTCTCTGTCACTTCCTTTCATTACGCATAAATTACATTTGAAACAATCTGATATCTTAAAACAGCGGCCTTAGGCCTGCTGGCCGGCTCACGGCGCTTTGTACAAAAGTCAAGTAGGAGACATTTATATAACGTATTAAACACCCACACATGATCTAAATGGTTCCAAAACATAACCACATGCTTAAAACCGATTAAACATAATCTAAATTACTTTTTGAAGCTCTCTTTCTCCTTCATTCATTTCTGAGAATTTTAAATTTGCACTCGTTAGCTTGTTTTCATCTTGATGACCCATCTTTCAACAATTCGTTTAACTCTTCCCCGGCTTGGAATGATTTAAGTCATTTGAAACCAATTTCCTTTCTTTTTATCTATTTGGGTATCATCCCATGGTTCACTCTTAACATTATGTAATACCAGAAGTTAACGATAAAAATCCAAACACTCTTTGAAATTTGGATAAATCTGATTTCCCCTTAAACAGCGCTAATACATCATTATTAAAAATAAACAAAAATTGAACAAAACACGGCAACTGCCTATGTCAAACGCTTTACAGTTACTCACCGAGCGAAAAAGTTAAGGAATTATTAGTTGTTAAATTCATAGTTGAAAGAATACAAGTAGGAATACAGCAGTAATAGAAAAGTGATTGACTTAAAGATTCGCTTACTCTTTAGACCTTTTTGATATCAGTGAGCAGTTTTAAGCAGCGTTTGTACTGCATGAAATTTCCCGCCAAAACGCGACGCATGCGAAAATGATTCTCGTTGTTTCGCGCCACACTATGCCGCGTGCATTAAACTAGCCATAATTTCCCGCCAAAATCTCGTGAAAGGTTACCAAGCCTAATAAGTTCTGTAAAGTTATGCTATCACAATGGCGTTCCTCGCTTTCGCCCTAAATGTGTCTCGTTAAATACCATTGCACTCTAAGACTACGTACAAAAAGACTATTATAGCAGAATGTATTTGAATCATTCAACAGGTCGTATCGCGATTAAAGATAAGAAAAACGTAGAAATCTAACTCTGGAATTATATTAGGCATTTCGGTTTCCAATAAACACCTGTACATATTTACAATAATAGACTTCTTTTGAGTATCAAGTTACGTAATTTTCCATCGAGCACCATAAGGAAGTTGGGATTGGTCTTGGATTGCATTGGTTTCGCTCGCTACGTCTTGTGATTGGTCTGGCCAATCAGATGGAGGCCTGATACCAATCATGACTTCGTTCTCACTTTCCCGCGTTTAAAGCCGACTTCATATGTCACATTAAATTCTTGAGTTCTCATTGGCTCCTTGTGATATTTTCCAGTGTTCTGATAAGCTGTTGTAATAACTTTGGTTTTGATTTTACGACACTCAATCGAAAAGGGCTTTATTGAAAATAAAAAAGAATATTGAAAACCAACGGAATGATCTCTTAGTGATAACCTTGAAGAGTCGCGCTAATCATCCTAGTCTTTCCTATCCTATTAGGAACATCTCTCCCATAAAATTATCTGTGAGGGCTGGGGACTTACTCTGTTTTCACCAACTCTTTCCAACCCAACCAACCACTGTTAAAAGATATCCAATCAGACAAACATTACTTGCAGGTTTAGTAATAAATCAATACATAACTATTTGCTGCATTTCAAAACCGTATGGACTGTGAATATTAACAACTTATTAAAAAAAACTCTTCGCTCTTGGTTTCAACTCCATATGTACAATAAAAAATAGAGAACATAGGAAAAACCAGCTCAAACACGAAGCGACAGGCTTGAGCCCAAGACTAACAGTCAGTGAAGACTGACTGTGTAAGTGATAGAACTAGAAAAAATTGTTGTTGGTGCGTTGACTGATGTTTTGACAACCTGAACAGAACTCATGAGTATATCCTGACTCTGATGATGCCTTCCACTCAGGTTGTCCAATAGTCCGTCGCTACTCCCAACAACAGACCTTTTTAAGACTACCCTGACCCGGGGGATCAAACAACACGGTCAACTAAAAACCTATCTGGCATTGTGTTAATGGCTGTTAGCCCTTTTCATACAGCAGATAAATACGTAATTTCTCGCAACGATTTCACTACATTATCAAGCAAGTTGGTGATGAGAATAATCAAATTTATCAGCCAGAGAGTGTTAATTTGTTGTCGTAATTCAGATCTTTCGTTGGTCTCCAACTGGTTTTGGACTCATTGCGCAGTTATGACTTCTTGGAGATGAACGCTTGAAGGCTAACTTGGTATCAGACATTAGGTCTTAAGGCATACCTGTAACGTAAAATATACTGTGTTAGTGCAAGAAAAAGGAAACATAATTTAAGACTGAGTATGCTCCAGAAACCAGATAAATTTCATATCCATCACTCCGACATGTAGCACTGCTCGTGTTTTGAAATGTCTTCAAATATGCAGAAAATTCAAGTACAGGCACTACTACCGTGAATACTTCACACCAACCAGACAGATTGTGATATTACAATTCTGAGAGCACAGTTATAGATAACCTCAGAATTGAATAGACAACTTACATTTTTACAACATAGAGTTCTGTGGGAAAGTTCGTCTGTACTTCGTCTTTGATCACAGTCAGTGAAGACTTTGAGAACAATTCTCTGAGCTTTTCATCAGACCTGAAATAGAGGAAAAGATAAAAATCACGAATTATTTGAAAATGTGGCTCTTGCACCGAGATCCTAAACTCAATTTTGCATGCAAAAGCAAAGACTTTTGCCACATATTGTAGCTGAGTGCCATCTGCTTGCGAAATTTACTCAATGAAAAAGTGGCAATTGCCGGCTGGATTTTTGATCGCTTTGTAAAACACAATGGGCACTTCTGAGGATACACATTTCCAATCCTTCAATATCGAGCGCTATCGTCTAGTTGAAACGATTGAAATATATGCTTGATTAACCTGAGCATTAGTGACAGTAACAAATGGGAAAAATTGAAAAAAAATATCGCTTTGAGCACTCGTGAATCGTGCATGACCTCTTTCCGTTTCTGGCGTCCACTGCTTTGTGAACAAGAAGCTTAGCAACAGCCTCTTTTAGAATTTAAGCCGGAAGCCTAATTTCTTAGCTACAACTCTTTTATGGTACCTGGTTACACTGCTGTCTTGAGCATCCAAGTCAACCCCACCCTTTGTGACATTTTCCTTGACGCATATTAAACCACCTGGCATGAGTCCTGACTTACATTGCTTGAAAAAATCCACAAAATCATCTGGTAAACAAGAAAGGAAGCAGTATCCCTTGATTACAATAACTCCTTAAAAATCATTTTATAACATTTATAAATTGAATTTTGTTTTGGCCTCTTCAGCAAAGAAGATGGAGATGGAGTGGTCATAAGCTAACCAAATGGCACCATCAGCCCTGACCAAAGTTGCCCTCTAATGGTCTCTAGACGGCAGATGAAAGAGAGTGTAAAACAATCACTTTACGAAAAAAGAGGCTAGAGTCCAAATATTGTAGAAAATATGTATTAAACTTATAAAATGAAGCCCTACATTTGGCTAAAATTAAAAACTCCGAAATTTCTTAACATTCCAAACAAAGGGGTAACAAATTTACAAAACGAAAGCTCAAAAACAACTAAAACTCTACGAAAACAAACTGAAAATACGCGAAAAATGTCCACGTCAGTTAACCAATGTCGAGGTTAAAGCTCTTTGACGTGATTGGTTAATTTGTGAAATCACACTCGAAGCCTTGCTTCAAAGGAGGGTGAGAGTTTTGTTGCAATACGGTTCCCTTGTAACTCTCAAAAACCTAACCCTACGTGAACTATTACATAATTTCATATTTATTTGTTTTACTTAAGAACATTGCCATGCATTTTCACCCAGAACGACCTAGAATCCAGAATGAAAAGAAAGGAAATAAAATGTAACATATACTGACAAACTCTCAAGCACAGGTAGATGGCAAATGGTTACGGTTCTTTCTCAGTGGTGACACTCAACCATGTTCATATGACAATAGCCACATGACAATGGCCATGCACCAATGACCACAACAATGATGGGATGAAAATCTATAAATATAACTTGCATATTATTGAATAATACTCGCCATCTGTCAAATGCCCAAGCACCCACTGACACCAAATGATACTGTAGCGTTCTGGTTCAGGTTTAAAATCCTGCAAAAGATGGTGCATTTTTCTTATCATAATTCAAAATATTCCTACTGCATGACCACAAGACATTTTCGAAGCCACACCAATCAAGTAGGTTGTTAATCCTTCACACCTTAACATCAGTATGTATATTTTCCATACTGTTCTCTATACTTTCCCCAAGGCACTGACAAGGAGAATTTGTTTAAACAATCAAGAGCTTCTTAGGTTGGCAATCTTTCCCTTCATTCTCCTGACCTCAATGTTTTAGTTAGGGGTGATATTGTAAAGAAAAATTAGATGCTAGTCAATCCTATGGATCAAAGGGGTTAAGGCATAAAATTCGCACCTGCAGACCTTGAGGATAAAATTGTCCAATACGATCCTTTTTATCTCCCTAGAATGAAACAAATCAGATTCTGCACAATTAGTTAACAGGGTAACAATGGAAATGGCAATAATATAAAAATCACTCATTTCCACCTAAAACATTATGTTGTATGTCTTGGTACATTTTGCTTACCAGATAATTTTTTGCTTCTTCTAGAAAATCAGCATTTTGCTCCACCATGTCCACTGTGTTAAACAATGGTAAGAGCAAGTTCTTTGTGACACGACCAATTCCAGCACCACAGTCTAAACAAAATGTTCATAAAAATATAACATTGTTTGTATCATATATCTGGAAAGATCTGACTATTACATTTCAAAATTATTGAAAATCTGTCTTTCAGCCATTTAACCCACGATCCAATCCCTAATTCTCTCTTCTAGCTGCTACACATTTCTTTGTAAATTAGTTTCAAGAATCTGGGTTCAATTAAGATAACTTCTAACTGATAAGTTTGAGTATTCTTATTAACTGTTTACTGGATAAAATAAAGGGGTAAGTTTCTAAAGAAACTGTGGTGCTGTGTTGGTGGTAGAGTATAGCAGGTAATTTAGTGTTAACAACTGAGTTGAAAATGTAAATTAGCCACTGTAAAGGGTAAAAAAGCTGACGTTTCCAGCGTTAGCTCTTCATCAGAGCAATAGATCTGGATAAAATACATGTGTATGTGCATTATGGGGAGAAGTTAAACGAGTTTAAGGGTAAGCAGAAATGTTATCCTAATAGTGTAGGAAGTGGTAATCTAAGAATTGACAGGCATTATTGAAAGGAATACTGAGCCCACTCACCAAGGGCTGTAAATGGCTTTATTTTTTGGGTTGTAGAGGTGTCCTCTGTTGTTAAGGGTTCAATACGCCTGATCTTGGAAGGTTTATTCTCATCCTGTTTATCTGAAAGCTTCAAAAAGGAAAGAAGGCAACTGTCAGGATATAATTTGCTAAGTATATAACCATGATACCAAAAGTTGTTTTTCTTGATGTGATGAATTTTATAATATGATATTATTCATTCAAAATAACTTGTTCCAGAATTTATTGTTTACAAGTTCTGCTTTTTCAAAAGGAATTAAATTAAGTTGACCCTTTAACTCCCAAGATCTGACTGTTAATTCTCCCCTCTAGCTGCTACACATTTGCTTGTAAATTAGTTCTCAGAACTTGGTGCTAAAAAGTGTTGGGTTTTAAAAGAGTGTTAAGTTTTAAAAATGGAAAGGCTTTCATATAGGTAACCCCTGAATTCAAAAGCAAGGCCTTAATCCTAAGGGTAATCTATTGATTTTACCACCATTTTCCCTGATCTTTGAAATAATAATAATAATAATAATAATAATAATAATCAATGTTTCTAGGACACAAATTGACATGTAGATATATCTAATTAAATACCCACTTAGAAACACATACACAATGAAGTATGGGGTTACTATATTTCCTTGATTAAGCACTACACTCTAATAAACACCAACCTGGTGGTTTTCAAAGCTTCAGCTTAAAGGGGAGGCATTTCTTGGAAGGGTATGGCCATAGAGACAGGTCCTTGAATCCCCACTATTTAAGAAAGCGAGAAAGGAAGGGGGGGGGGGCAGTTATTTGAGGGAAGAGCTTGTTTGAATTATGGCCTAGGGAATAGAAACTAATTTAGAAGGGTGACCGAGGGCGCACTTCTTCAAGGAAATATGGTATACAGAAAACTTGATTCAAAAATTAATCAAAGTAATGAAGGATTAAATACAACTTACGTCCAGAAAATTCTTCAGAAACCTCTTTGAATCTTTGATGTCTGTTGGTGAGATGTGACCGTAACCTCCTAACATTCCGTTCACTGTTGCAGGAACACTCTTAACACAAAAATAAAAAAATTTATTTTTTTCACCAAACATTTAATTACCAAGCTACAAGTATAAAGAAAAAAAATTGACTAGAGATGACAAGGAACACCCATGAGTAACAAGAAGGCTTTCACATGATGGGCTTCATCTCGCAAATGTTATTAATAATAACAGTTTAAAGGTAACAGTGACAAATCAATTGTGCAGTAGAAACTTATTGGAGCCAAAACCTTATTTTATCTAAGAGTAGCTAAGGGGGGTTTAGATTGCACTCTGAATTTAGAAAATTCATGTGTCATGTATATAAAAGAGAATACTCCAAATGTTTCTTCTTGTGTACCAAGAGTAGCAAAGGGGGGGGTCTTGGTCACAATTCATGCACAGAATTTAGTAAACTCGCATGTCATGTGTACAGAAGAGAAGACTTCAAATAATTGTTCTGTGAACAAAGTTTCTTGGAAATGTTAAGGTTTTCACAAAGTGAAAGAAAAATTGATAAGTCTTGTATATAATTTCAGGAGGCAAATCATGCCTCATGCGGGTACATAAATTCATGAATCATGCTGGCCTTTCTGTTAATCACACCTCATTTATAAACCATTTGGCACCTTCTTTATTTACTTGGAAGTATGGTGCAATAAAGTGAAAATAAAAAAAAACAAGAAAGAGAGCGAGAGAGAATATATATGGTAAGTATTATTGCTCCACTGATTCCAGAGATGCCTGCACTTTGATTGGTCAAAAACAAGAAAGAGAGCGAGAGAGAATATAAATTGTACGTATTATTGCTCCACTGATTCTAGAGATGCCTGCACTTTGATTGGTCAAGGATTGCATCATATCTCACCATAATCACCTCACTGCAAGGTGATTATAGCAGGGGTGCTACCCTTCATGAATGGCTGCCAAGTGTTTTAACACTGTTACACAAGAAATGATAGATGGGAAGAGGAAAATACAATTCTGAAGAGCAAAAAAAGGGGATGCAAAGTTGATTTAAAAGTCGCATTTACTCGTGCTTATTTCTTCCAAGTTGCTCTCGAAATCATGTGATTACCTTTACTAATTGTATTGATATATAATTGTGTAGCAACAAGTTACAATAGGTTCTTGATCTAAATAGGTTGTGTTAGGTTTATGAGCTAAATGGCTGTACTTACTTTCCAGTAATCCACAGCATCTCCATACCACTTTCCCCTGTCTTGCATTTCAGCAGGAACGTCACCTTCTGCGGAAGCCATTCTTGAAATAAAGAAAGAAGCTCTGCAAATGTATTAACATGAGCCACTGTAACATCTTAGAAAACACGAAATGTAAATTGTAAAACCTTTGAGCTCACCTGTATTACTTTATTGCAAAGTCCTTGATCGAGAAGGTAGATCTCCCCTAAGATGTAGGTGAATGTGCTATCTGTTCGGCGTAAAGTATGAGATTATGCCTGTCTCAGCCATGTTTGATAATTCGCGCGAGAAGGAAGTGGTAGCAAGGGGTCTGGAACGACAAGATAGCCTGTCATGTATGCAGATTACAAATGTCTTGACAAAATGGATTTTATGTAAAGTGTACAAAATTACCAGATTTACCGCGCCACAGCCCCCGTTCACGTTCATGTCCCCCAATTATTTCCGTCAAAAAGTAACAAAGTCAAAGTTTCACTTTTAGTTTTTATTGCTTCACTTGAAGAGTCAAGCGGTGGTGACAATAAATAGCTGATCAAATATTAATTTTTTCGGACAATATCCCAGCCGTAGACATGACGTCAGCCGACACACCAGCGGCCGGAAGGCATTTCTCTACTTATCACAATCATGGCCCGTGTTCGCAAATCTTATGCCACATTATTGCTAGAAACGAGGTTGACTCTGATATTTGAAGTACCTTCGACACATTTAATGCCTATACTCCGTCCAAAATGCAAGAGCTGTCAGCCTTCCCTCGCGTCTGTACATTACTCCTGTGAGAGACATTTTGAATATTCAATAGAATTCAACGTGATCCGCTATTATCGTAACATTTTCACTTCTCTTACCATAATCTTGGATATCATGAAAAGTTGGACGTCATGAAAACTTCCTGAAAACGGGAAGAGGTAAGTACCCCCTCTTCCCTCACTTTCTTAAATAGTAGGGATGCAAGGAAACCCTGGTTTTTATTGCCGCTTTGTTAAAATCTTGTCAACCCACAATTACACAGGAATCAGTACATGCAGGAGATAAATATTCATCCCCCTCGATTCAGCGCCCTCCTTCCAATAAACGTCTTCCATATCCTCTAACGATCTGATTCGCCCTCTCTGTCCCCTTTTTTTCTCTGGGTTCAAAATATTACCGTTTTGATGAAAAGAACACACGAAGGACATAACTGGGTATACGAGAAACTGTAGATCTTTATTAAAATTCACTTAATTGTAATAACATCAAGTCAGTGCTCGAACAAAGAAAAAACTTGTATGAGCCACACAACAACCTTATTCTATGTAAGATGTTATATTTAGGGATGTTTACGACTGAAACATGTTTTGAAAAAAAAGTATCTAAAGTTCATGATGTTTAATTCCCTGGAATTCTTCGTGTGAAATAAAACCATCCTTATTTTTGTCCTCCTCGTGAAAGATCTCTTGCAACAGCATGTTATGGCTTTCATCTCCCTCGCCATGTGACATTCCCTCTCGCTTCAGATATCCAGCAACCTGAAAACAGAAATAGCGAGAATTTCTTAAAGGAAGACTTAAAAATATATGTGTTTTGGGAAGTTTTGAGATTTTTACCCGCAATGCATAGGGGTCAAAATTGGTATTTGCTCATAGCCACCATGGGAGGGGGAGATCATGAAAATTATAACTACCAATGGGGGGGGGGTAATTTTTACTGTGACATAATCAAAATCTCTCCCTCCCTCCCTCCCTCCCCCCCGCCACTTCAACCCCAGGTGATGAATAATGACTGGTACCCAAGAGGGTCTACATGAAACGAGCGTCGACGTCCTTTATGCTGCTAAGATTAAAAGTGTCAAAGGCGTCCTATGCTGAATAAAAGTCAAGGTCCTTTTAGCAAGTACATGGGATCGAGGACCTCCTCAGCTACGTGGTATATACAAAATACACAGTTTTGGCAATTTTTTTAAAGTCTTTGCAGTTGAAGGAGCGCCAGAAAAAAATCCATTTGATTCGTGGCTTTAGCTAACAGCCTGAACGGAATGGAAACAAAGAGGATATTGGAAACTTAACGAAGGTAGGCTACCATGGATGGAAACTAACTAATTTTTGGAATAGTATCGGAAAAAAAAGTCTTCAGATACAGTAAGACATGCAACTAGAAAATCCTGAGTATCACACACCCTAATAAGCCTCAAAGAATTCACGATGTCGTCTCCGGAACTCATTGGCGCTCTAAGCCGTTGAGATCTGGTTCGACACATCAACTCATGTCAAGGCCTCACTAGCTAAGAAAGCAGATGGAACCAAGGGACGAGGGCTTGGAAGCTCTGTAGACAGACATTGAATGTTTAATTTCTTACCTCTGAATGTGAGATCAGTCCATCTCCATTGACATCAATCTCTTTGAACATGTTGGGCTTGCCGCTATCCTCCGAGGGGTCAGCGATTTTCAAGAGCTCTACATAAAATACTAGGAGTGCTCTCGGGGGGATTTTATCCCCGACGGGGTATTCCCCATATCCATATTGTGACGGGACAACAAGCTCACGGAGTTCTCCCACGCACATATCCTTCAATCCCATGTCCCAGCCGGGAATAACTTGTCCTTCTCCGAGAGTAAACTCAAATTCGCTACAAAAGAGAAAATAGAAAACAGAAGTTTAAATGAGCGCTTTTAAGTTTTCGTACGGAATGTACCCTCAAATCTCGTCCCCAGATCCTAAACTCTAGTCTATCTGACGAAAATGACCGTGGAAAAAAAAAAAAAAACTGGGAAACTAGCCCTGCTTTTTCCTGTAGACGAGCGAGGAGTAAGAAATTTTATAAAACTGTTTTAGTGAGAATCTTAAAGTATTTGATTGACGTAACAGAAGTTTAATTCTATGCTTAAACGTTTGGAACACGCTCGGTTAACAGAAATCTTTGACCATGGCTTGTAACGGATCGACGTAACTGTGAATAAAACGGATGAGGCAATTATCCCGTGTTTATTATGTAATTAATAGACTTTCAGCTGCCCCTCAAATTGTTGCCTTTTTCATGGCGAAGTTTCTTTGACAGTTCAAGTAAGAACGAAATCGAACAGGCTTTCGAAAAGGTTCTCTGTACGCAAATGGCGACTCTCCTCCGAGCGGTCCGCGAGGGTTCTGGCAGGAAAATGTGTACCAGACCCCTCGAAGATCTTTCGCTCGCTCACTTCGCTTATCAGCTCAAATTCGCAGGCTTCGCCTCACAGCCTGCTTGTGCCACAGACGCCAAACAGAGCCTGCTTACGGGCTACGAATCTATCAATGTTGACAAAATGCGCCGTCCTGCAAGGCTCTAAGCCAATCGGGAATTATTAATTAAATTGGTAAGCAAACATGCAGAATTCCACCTTTTTGAGTGTGATTCAGTCATGCATGAATCAAACTGTATACAAGTATAAACGGTGAGAAACATTTGGCAAAGAATCTAGAAATAATATTGTCCACCCTAAGCTATTCAACTTGACCCGCAAAATAATCTTGAGTTCTTTTGTTATTTCCGGTTTAAAACCAGTCCCCGAGTTGCTCACCCGTAAGGCGGTCGCGCGTGAGACAGAAGTTTCTAGCAACGTTCGTAAATTCGCAACCGGGCCTTCCCTTGGAACAGTTTAGGAAGAAATTAGTTCAGACTATAATCGAATCTGTTTATTGATAAGTTTTTTATTTAGTCCCGGTACCGCTAGTTTTCCGTATCAATGCGTTCATGATCCACTCACTCAATTACATTTCTTATTCTGGGTTAATTTTATGCAACGGATGTAGATATTTAAATTTTGATTTTGCGGAGGAAAGCGTTTTTGCCTATTTAACACTTTTTCAATTTAAAACGCATCCAGTTGATCTTAAAACGGGAGAGAGGACAACGAACCCGAACTTTTAAAAGAAAGCTCATATCTCTTAACATCCGGGGAATTTGTTTAATTCTGGTATAATCGAAAAAGTTGACAAACTCGATGAAATTATAAACTAAACTGAGTCACAAAAAACGTTGACAGATAAAATAAAAATATTTTAGTGGATAACCTGAATAATTGAGTCTTCATCACTTGGACTTTTCCCTAAAAGCTATGCAAGGATCTTTAAACTACATTAGCAGAACAAAAAGAAATTGCTATTTGTTTTTTTTTTCGGATTATATCTCCTCTTGGAGATGCAACCAGTGAGTGAACAAGTAAATTATGGAAATCATTTGGCTGAAGAAGTCTACAAGAAAAAATAAATTTATCCTACAGAAAGATTGTACTTGCGAAAACAGGAAGTTCTAGCTCACCTTGTGGTTAAAATTGGAGTTTGGTCAATCAATGTGTTGTTGTATCTGACCGTCAAATGGTCCCCATCTTTCGATTCTCTTGGACAGTCGTCTGGTTTTCGCATTATTCCAACTGACAAATGATCTCGTTCTTGTTCAGGTCTTTCATGTGCAAAGGCATAGACGAACAAACAGGCAATAAATGCTAAAGAAGTAAAACACGAGGAGCTCATTTTCGGCCGGCTCACGAAAATATATTGAAGAATTCTTAAGATAAGTTTGAAACGAACGTGAAAATAGAATATGCTGCACGAGCGAGTCAGCTGTTGAGCGCTTCTCTGCAGCAAATGTGAATTACAACAGATCTCTCGTCGACAAATGATCTTACGGCAGATGACAATATGTCCACGTAGTGTAGAAGCCAACCAAAAGATTTAAACGTGGACACAGGTTTAATCAATATTCATATATAGCTGGAAAACTGGAGCATTCATGCTAAGATCGCCATGTTACCTAGGAACGAACGTCAGCTCGGTATTGAAAATAACATAGCCTTTCTCTTCATAAATCTAAAACAAAACCGTAAAATTCTCGGTCAAATGGACTTCATAGCGGTAGCAAAAAACAAAATTGTCGTTACGATTGTTATTTTCTTCAGTAAAACACAGAAAATTGATCACCGGCCGCGGAGAAGCTCAATTATTCGGCGTAGAAAATTACCCTATTTCTAAATCAAACTTTAGTCTGCCCTGAATCAGTAAAAAGCGTCTGGACGGTAAGAACAACAGCTATCTTAAAGAACAAGGTTTTTGAACTTCAAAACTGAATTTATTATACTCGTGGCAAAGGTCGCAAAATCTCTTTCGGAAAAAAAACATTGGAAGAGGTCTTAATTTGGCGTGAACTTCTAAAAATTAATTCATGTTTCGGGCTTCTTTTTGACAGAGGTTCTTTGCAAGAACTGCGGGGATAATAGTCATATTTCGCACAAAGAATACATGCAGGAGAGGCAGTAAGGATTCAAAAGAAAAATCTTACTGGCCTTTTTACATCAGTGCCACAAGATAAAGAATTTCAACTTTTGAAAAAGAATGACATAACAACATTACATCTCTAAGGCAAAAGCCACCCAGCCGAAACTTCAAAAAATTCAAAAATTTTCCTTAAAGATTTAAGAAATAACGGGGAATGAGGAATACACCAGATAAAATTTCAGTTAACTTGTGTTAAACCCATCTAAAGTAAAATATTTGAAAGTTTAAAGTCTTCATCACAAGAAAGTACTCTTGAAAATTCCGTGAAACAATGATTCTATTCAAACGCAGTCTTGTATGTTTTGAATCGGCGTTTTTCGTTGCGTAAAGTTTGCGCACCTTAAAACCAAAACAAAATCCGTAAACGTATTTTCGATGAATTTCAACTCTTTACAGTCTCTAACCCCCAGAACAGCTCTTGATGAAACATATCATTCAATTCATCCGAAGTAAATCCAGACATTTCACGTTAAACTTCTTTGATTTTGCAATAACAATAAGGAATGTTCGATAACGAGAGTACGATAAATGTTTAAATTCTCTCAACTTACAATTACACCTATGCATTAAACGAGTTAAAAAATAAAAGTTAATTAACACAATTTACTATAGTGACGAGCAAAAGTTTCCTTACTACAAATGTTAACATGAATTTGTAAGCCAACGACACGCTCGACTTGAATAGTTTCCAAGAGGAATGATCTGTGTTTTAAAAATTGATTGTTGCAAGGCAGGGCTAAATTGGTGGCGAGGTTTTCCCAGACGGTTTTATGATCATCTCGTTGATATGTTTTTTGCCAACGATAAACGCTGTAAGGTCCTATAAAATGCACAAAGTAGATTGATTCATACGAAGAAGAACACCTTTTTTCGGACAACTTTGAAAATCAGTTCACGAAGTTAGAAAGTAAAACCATACTGACATTTGGTCAAGAGTACTTTATGACACTCCACCCAACTTTTAAAATTGAAAGATGAGGTCTGTGCCTCTGTAACCTTAAGGTCAACTCAGTGAAAAGATTGTTCTTTCGCCTCTTATCAAAGGAACATCGGTAGATCATTGCATGGGAGATTGGTCCACAAAGTTGAGATAACTCCTAGAGGTTGTTTTAAGACTTAAAAGGGGCTCTGTTAGTTCGCCTTAAACTGGCCTGAAAGTTTTTCCGAGGCAATGATTATTTTCAGATTTTGTCCAAACGCACGATTCTGACAAATTTGTATCCGAAGCGTGAAAACTAATCCAATGACAAGTCGATGTTCGTGAGTTGATGCATTGAAATCGCGAAAAAACAATTTTACTAGGTTTGCTAGGGGCACCAACTTCACTGATTATGGGCAAAAAACACCGATGATTCAATAAACTTATGAGTTTTTATAATGAACGATTGTAACAACTTTCTATCTCAATTTGAACTGATTTTGTAGGAAAATGAAGAGCCTCGTTTTGGTGATGATAACCCTCGCTCTGGCAAAGGCACTACCTCTTAAAAATGAAAACGTCATAGAGCTTGAAACAGAGATAGGAGACGCATTTTCGCTTTAATTCTTATTTGCTGTCATTAAAAATTTTATGATTTCACCTTAAAAGCATACAATCATTTCTTTTTCTTTATTCTCCTTCTTTCTTTCTCTTTTAGCAGTGGTTGTGATCCTGTGAAGCTAGACGAGGAAAAGATTGGTAAGTCTTTCACAACATCTACTATTTTACGGAAGAAACACCGATACCTCCTTAACACATTGTTACTACTATGAGCGATTGTAAAAGCTTCCTATTTTTTTCTTCTCATTTTGAACTGATTTTGCAGGAAAATAAAGAGTCGAAAAGAGGCTGGTTTTGGTGGTGATAGCTCTTATTTTGGTGAAGCACTCCCTCTTAAGGATGCTTGAAACAGAGACATGAGACCTACTATCACTTAAATTCTTACTTATTTTCATTTAAGATTTTGTGATTTAGCTTCAAAAGTAACAGAAAATTATGTACTTATTTCTCTTATCTTTTTCTTTTTCTTTGTTAGCAATGGTCGTGATCCTGTGATGCTGGATGAGGAGAAGATTGGTAAGTCTTTCTGAGCCTTTTTCAATACGAGAACCTATTATAATAAACTATTTCCCAATTGTCTTCCAATATTCATCTCTCAATGTCATACAGGAAGACTCCACGAGGACTGGTGACCAAAAGAGATTAAATATATGGTTTATACCTGTTGAAATTTCTCGTTTGTTTATGGTGGACTTATTCAGGACTGAGTAAATGAATTGGATAATGTGATTCTTGCGGAAAAGCTTACATGATGTTATTGATTTTAATCAAACGGACTTAACTTTTAGACGCACCCATGAACGATCCGGGTCTAGACCCACTTTTTTACAAATTAACCTCAACATTGGGGACATTACGATTATTAATGGACTCGGCAATGGATGGAATTGGAGAGCTGGAGGCTCTGCCACAGGAGGAAATAGTGGAGGTATTAGAGGTTATAGGATATGAAAAAAGGACTATTGGTAAGTAAATTGGTCAACCCCTTTTTTTTTTTTAGCATGTCCGTAGAAAGTTTATCATTTAATAAATAACTTTTTGTGAGCAATCCTGATGTTATCTAGGAGACGATTCAGCATCCTAACAGTCGACTACTGTCATAGGCAACTTCATGATTGGTTTTTGCCTGTGGAATGCATAGAAAATTGTACGAGGCATTTGATGAAATCTGACTATTGCTGTTTTCCAGGCTTGAGCAGTATAGTTGATATACCTAGTTCAAGTGTTCAATTATTGAAGGAACTTTGAAATGATCGCCAGTTTTTCCGTCAAGATTTTGTTGTTGTTGACTTACGCGGAATTTTCAAATATGCACTTAGTAATTGCAAGCTCTGTCATTGTTAATCATTTTTTTATTGATATACTAGTGTTTTCTTAATTTAATGTCAAAAATTATTATCAAGTCTATCGTTTTTATCTTGTTCAGGGCGTGAAATTAACTTTTTTTTCTGATAGCCACTTGGCTCCTAAATTCTTCAAAGTGGTAGCCAATTCAAAAAAAGTTGGTCGCCATTTTCAAAGACAAACAAAATCTTTCTTTACGCTGTCAGTGTTCTAGATAGACCCTTTTTTCTTTAATTGCTACAAAGTGGAAACTAGGATGGATGATATACAACGTTCAGGCTCATCTAAATCCAAGATGGCGTCTAGTTATCGATCGAGATGCATGTGCTACGTTTTGAAACGAAGTTAACGAGGAAGTTTTGCCGCGGATTTATCTTTGTTTTTATCTTGATGAAACGTTCTAGTCGCCAATTTGGCGACTAACTTTCAGGATTTGGTCGCCAAAGTGAAAAATTTAGGCGCATTGGCGCCTGTATTAGGCGCAATTTCACGCCCTGATGTTAAAAGTTTTTTTAATCTTTTATTTTTTTAATGTGCCCATCAGTAGTGTGATTTTTGCTTTACAGTGTTTGACACAAAAATAAAGTTACTTAAGTTACAAATGGATAAATAACTGTAAAAGCATTGATGTAATAAAAAAGTTAAAAACACAGTTTTTGTGATTTCCTTGTTTTCAAGTCCCTACATACTTTAGTGCCTCTGGTTTTGTAACCTGGCCTTCTGTTTCCCACAAGACATGGAGGATCTAGATACGAGATAAAACTATGGAGTCTTGTAACAAGGAGTGTCACCAAGAAAAACAGTTCAAAAATTATTTTTTTAATCATAGTACAGTACTTGAGTTAACCCTTTACAACCTAACATCAGTATAGATATTCTTCGCACTCTTCTCCATACATTCTCCAAGGTGCTGACAAGGAGAATTTGTGTAACAATCAACAGCTCCTCTAGCTGCTGATAATTTTCTTTATTCTCATGACCTTACTGCATGATTCAGGGGTGATATTGTAAGGAGAACTTAGATACTAGTCACTCTTAGGGGTTAAGGGGTTGAGGCAACACCACCACTAGAAAAACACTACTGTGTTGAAACAATTTAATACAGTAAAAATGATGAGAACATACACCTATAGACTGAATGACCGCGTGAAAATAACCTCTGAAATACAATTTTTAACACTTCTCTAGGTTAGAAGTGTGTTGATGAATTCTAAAAATCTTCCATCTGTTTGGTCTGTTGGGAATTTCTTTATCAGGGAAGACTGAAAATGAAAATATGAATAATGGCATTTAAGAATACACAAAGGTAAAAATGTTTATTTTTTAAGTCTTACCCTGATTGCTGCTAGGAGCAGCAGCGAGTAATAATATGTTGCTTCCCCTTCTGCATAAGGGACTAGTAAACCAGCCTCCCCCTCCCATTCCCCTCCCCCCCCATTCCCCTCCCCCATTCCCCCCCCCATTCCCCTCCCCTTGATGGATAAAGGAGAAAGTGACTCTCTTCTTTTTTTAAATTTGCTCCCTTTCCTTTTGCACTCACTGCATCTTAGGCAGAGAGAGGTCTGGGTGTGAGGCAGCTGATCATCTGTTGTACCTTTCTCTCACAAATTTTGATTTTCTGCATCTATGTTCAAATTAGAGGGTTTTGTTTTCTAGGGTAATGGCTACAATAGTAAATTTACATGGGGAGAGGGGGGGGAGGAGAGGCAGTTAAAAAGGGTTGAGGGGTGTGACGATAAGAAAAGGCCAATAAGTGTGGTTGCAGTTCCACGTCAGGAGCACAACATCATAACAACAGTCAACACTACAACTAAGATTTCTCTCACATGCCAATATACACCACTCTAAAAAGAAGGCAGGATCTGTTGTTAAGTCTACTGGTTTAAGACACTGATATTTGAGGCTTCACCTTCACTTTGTCAAGGTAGGTTTGGGATCCATGCCAAAAGTTGTTGAAGTTTATTGCATCAGGGCCTCCCTTGTAAAAACTCCACATCCATCTCTGAAAAATTATATAAAAAAGTAACTAATCAGAAATACAAATTTGAGTGTAAGTGCTTTGAATAGTAGCTTTGAGCCATCATTTCATAACAATAACATGCCACCACAGGACGGATTAGAGGTGCAAGCATTGACATTTGCATTGGGGTAGCTCACACGTGTAAATCCTTGCATTTGCGTCCGCATCTGCATTGCCTGTTAAAGGAGTTAAAGGGTTAAAACAATAGTACATATATCATACCAGTTCATTGAGAAGATCTTGTGTGAGAAACTGATCTTGATGCAGGGTGGTATTAATTAGCATTGGTACACCAAGTTTTTGAGTTTGACCTTCCATTGATGTTTGAACCCAAAAAGCCCGTATAACTGATTCCTTTGTAGTTCTGTAGGTGTCATAGGGGGCTAAAAGGAAAAAGGAAATAAAAACCCCATCAACACATCATAATGTACTTCTCTTGTGACTTTACACTTCATTTAACCCTTTCACTCCCCGATCTCATCAGTAATTCTCCTTACTGTCTGGCATACAATTCTTCTGATGTTAAGGTAGAGAATTTGGTATTCAATCAAGTAATAATCCTCTAGAGTGTTCCAGAGTTTTCTTTATCTCATTACTTGTCAGCTTGATACTGTAGGGAGAAATTCTGTTTGGTTACTCATGGGAGAGGGTTAACCTGACACTTTACTTACTTTCAGAGTGTTTATTTGATTGACTGTGGAATGCAATTTTTTTTGCAGTTCTGTGCATAAGTTTCAGGGCTTGTCAAGTTACATGTCGTTTGCTGCTGACTACTTGCCATGGGACCAGGTTGGTTCACTAGCACCAATAAACTGTAATGATGGCCATTTTGAAAGGTGCAGTAACATAGAGAAAGAGGTTTTTTGTCTCGTCATGAACGTGGGACAAAGAAAAATCTGAATCCCCACCATGAATTAAACCTCAGAACTTTGGATTCTGCACTGCAACTCTCTACCACGGAGCCACAGGGACTCTACTGTGAGCAAGGTCTATTACAAAGTTCATGTTCCAACCATAACCCTAACATGTTTTAACATGCAGTAACATGTTAGAAGACCATTGGTTCTGTTTGTGTTTGTTTACAGTTCTATGGTTAGAGTACCTGGGACCTACTCTTCTGTTGGAAGGGTTTTTTTGCTCCAACTTACACTTGGTCATGTGGGTAAAAGACTCTTTTTTTCTGCAATACAGTAGCTAAATGTGAAGAAAAATAAAAATGGGTATTTAGCAGTGGACATTCCACAAGGTGGCTCTTCTTATCCACTTTTTCCTGGTCAAATTGGAATTTGAAATGTTTGTTATTAAGGTGGATTGAAAACTGGAAGACCCAGAGAAAAACCCTTCATGCAAGGACAAGAACTGACAACAAACTCAACCTTCATGTGACCTAGTCCAGGAATTGAACCTAAGCCACAGTGGTGGGAAGCAAGTGTTCCCATCACCACTGTGCCATCCCTGTTCCCCAAATTAGCTCCTTTTACTCTCTTAACCTTGGATACACTTACACACTATGATACCCAAGCAAGCTCCATATGGTGCGTTCTCCTGCTGTAGGATGCTCTGATAATTCAACTGATTCTGAATATCCTGGAGTGATGGATCAGGCTGATAGGATGGATGACTATGGTACCAACCCACCAGAAAAAGTCCTCGCTGTGCAATTGCATTCCTAACCTGCAATGGCAAGCATTTACATATACCCATGAAATCAATTTTAATTGACCTAGGAATGAAATACATGAGCATGTACTATTGAAGAAATAATTCCCACAAGTGATCTTAAATTAACCCTAAATGCACCCTATCATCAGTGTAAATATACTCTATACTCCTCTCTATACATTTCCTTAGGTGCTGACAAGGAGAATTTGATTAACAATCTATGGTGATCATTTCCTCTATTCTCATGACCATACTGTTTGATTCAGAGCTGATATTGTAAGGAGAAAATAGATACTAATCACTCTTAGGGGTCAAAGGATTAAAGAATTTCTTCAGGCTTCTTCTCTGCAATTTCTTTAATTGCAGCTCTCTTGGGAGGATCACAGTCACATCATTTATGTTTCCATGAACAACATCAATTTCCCTACCTCTTCCTCAACTTTGAGTGCATTTTCCTTGTCAGCAAATCGACAGCGACAGGGGAAAGCCTGCACAACCTTCATGTCTAAGAAAAAATATCCAATTAGAACCTTGAGTAATACACAAACCTAAATGATACTGTGCGTGTAATTGAAATCTTGGGTAGGCATACTGAATAGGTTTCACTTAAGGAATTTTTATGTCAACTCTGTTTTCCTTTCCTTGGGAACGAAGCCCAAAAGTAGTATATGCATACTGTAGTAATTGCATGAATGTAGCTGTGTCCAAAACAGGAGAACAGTTATCCTTTACACCCTAACATCAGTATCCATATTCTCCACACTCTTCTCTATGTTTCTATTAGTACTGAAGAGGAGAATTTGTTGAACAATCAAAGCTTCTTTGGGTGGTGATCATTTCCTTTATTCTTGTGATCTTAATGAATGACTCAGCCATATTACTGTGAGGAGAAATTAGATGCTGGTTACTCTCAGGGTTTAAAGGGTTAAATGACTCCTATAGAATTCACTTACGGTGTGTTTGTGGGTCAAACTGCCCTGCTAAATATCCAACAACTTCACTGGTCGTGAGATGACAATGATAATCCTGGAAAATATACACAAAGCTTACAGAAAACATCTAACAAATGTGCTGAATAACATCACTAATACGGCTATTGGCTGTTTTTTTCTAGACATTATCATCGAAAAATCATTAAATGTTCTAACAATTCTCAAATTTTCTAAAAATCCCATTTAACAAGTTAAAAATCCTTAGAAAATCCAGATTTTTGTATTCAGACCTATCTTATCCAAGTGGCCTAAACCAGGCAGAGCTTATCCCAGATCCTGTAGCATGAAGCCACATATGCCCCTTCCCCCACCTCCCCCTCCTCCCTCCCAACCTGAATAGAAAGAATCTCATAAATTAAAGTGTCTTTTACAAGAATACCAAAAGAAGTCTCCTGCTCTGCATGTCTTTGAGCTGCTAGCTCATACACTTTATGTGACCCTGCTCACACATGGGTAAAGTGCTCTTGAAAACACTTTGATGATCCATTTATAAGGATTGTTTAATGATTGTTTCCATTAGAGAGTAAAGTATCAGTGTATGATAGCAAGGTACTGCTGCTACAAATAGTGTGTACAGTTATATGATGTACATATGCCCAAAGACTTGCCATAAGTAAAAGGCAGTTTGTCGAAATATCCACAGAGAATGGCTGCATTTTTCCAGTGGCACTGAAGTTCACAAGTTCAACCAAAGTGTGTGGATCACTAAGACAAACAAAAAATCCTTTATGAAACTGTTAAAAGGGGAAAGTTTCTAAAGAAACTGTGGTACTGCATTAGTTGGGGGGGGGAAGAGGGGTATTACATTAATTTGGTTCATCAACTGATTTTTTAATGTCATTTGGCATTGGTAAGAGTGTCAAAGCTGATATTTCAAGAATTTAGCCCATATTTAACCCTTGAATGTCAGCTTCAGAATCTGTATACATTGGCCAATAGGCCATTTTACAGTTGTGTATTGACTGTACTTGCCAAGCCTTTTGATTTGGACTGAGGATAAAGGTGACCTTGTTGTAATGGTGACCAGTATTTAGTAAGCATGATAAAAAAAAGTCATTTACATTTGAAAAGCAGCAATGTTTGTATCATAACAAGGTCTTACTCCTGTTCAAAGCATGCAACTGTAAGATGGACTATCAACTCAGTTGACAGAACCAACTGATCGAAAAATAATTTTTTGTATCATTAACATTGTTGTTGGTAACACTTTCTTCACCTTTCAGGAGTCACCATCGTGTGCTTGCTTGACTGCCGAGTTCTGACAGCTGATCGTTTCCTACCTGCAGAGCCTGGTGGAGATGACAATGGGCTGGGAATGTCTGTAAACCAAACAGAATGACTTAGATATTTTGACAAATGTTGGAAGATTATGAGATTTGCAATGTTAAAGCAAAAAAAGACAATGACAAAAATGACTCACCCACAGGGCTTCGAAGAGAACTTGATGTTGCTGACTTTGATGAAGACGTTGGTGTGACTGCAGTTGGTGTGAAGACTGATGGTGATTTGGCAGGAGGTGGATGGATATACCCAATGTTTGGCTTCCTTCTGTAATGATGTAAAATAACAGAAGATATTAATTTTCAGAACAATTTTCCATAAAGAATTGATAACAAAGTAATTTACATTTGAAAAGTAGCAAGGTTTGTATCATAACAGGGTTACCCTTAGCCTCATTCCTGTTCAAAGGCTTGGCAACCAAGCATGCAATGGTAAAATGGACCATATGATAGTGGGTCAACCCTAATTGATATTGATTGTTATTGTTATGATTATTCTAGTTTCAGTTTCAGAATTAAAGAAAGTCATGATGGATGCTTCAAACCAAAAACAACAGTCACAGGCAATAATCTAGCAACCTGGGGCCACTTAAAAATAAAAAAAAAAATGCCAAAAGGGGTTAGATTTTAATACAATTGTTTTTAACTTACCCTCTCCCTGAGGGTGTGGTCTGTGTATATGGCGGTTTATAGAGGGATTTTGTACCAGCTGACCCAGACTTGATTGAGGACGATCCAGGTTCTCTTTGTGTGGAGGGTTTTGGAACAGAAGCTGATGTGATTGTTGATGATGATGATGATGTAGACAAGGATGAGGGTGATGTGAAACTGTGCACATCACTATGACTACCAGATGGTTTGCCAGATGGTGTCTTTTGTGATGAGGAAGTTGTTGATTGGGTGGTATGAGCTGATGACATTTTTTGAGAAGTGGTTGGTGTATCACCATGGCTTGATGATACCTGTTGTGCAACAAAACCACAAAGTTACTAACAATTATAATTTACCACAAAACTACCAAAACCTTAAGACAGAATGCAGGTGTCTTGCAAAGAAAAAAGCGATGATGGCAAATACCAAATAAACCTACATAATCTGAACTCATTCTTAACCCTTTAACTCCCAGAAGTGATTAACAAGTAACTTCTCACTACAATATCCATGCACTATCCAGCAAACAGGTAATGAGAATACTCAAATGTCTCAGGTACAAGTTGTCATCTTGATCTAGTACCAAATTCTCATAACTTATTAACAAGGAAATGTTTAGCAGCAAGAGGGGAGAATTAACAATCAGATCTTGGGAGTTAAAGGGTTAAAAAGAAAAACCCTGAATTAAAAAAAGCAAGGGTTTTGCCCTTGTTGGGTCCTTGCATGTCTAGAACCTGGATCAAAAACTTCAACCCAGCCTTTCATCCCTCCACAAAAACTTTGACCCTTTCACTATTAAGACCCTCGATTAAGTATCAATCCTTAACACTTCTTACAATAAATTTGTTATTTTAGCTTTGAAAATTTGGCTTTAACTCAAATATTAGCAGAGCTCGCAGAGCATAGCCCCATAATTATACAAAATAGCAGTAACCCATCAAGCCAAAAAAATTTGGATGTACAACCGTACGACCATACAAACAACCGTACAAGGTGCTACTTTTAGCATGCATGGCCAACTGTACCATGGGCACTATCTTATAATCAGTCCTCTTCATGGACACGGAGAAGTTGCAAATGAAAATCCATTAATATTACCACCCACTTTATCCATAGTAGGGGCTTTAGTTTTGTTGAAGAGATGTGTGGGAAAAAAAATGCGAGCTCTGCTTTTAGGCTTGACTAAATCTATATATTATCATCCTGGTTGATACTTTTGTAACTTCATGTCATCTTTCTGCTTAAAAAGCTGGGTTTTAAGTGATACTTACACCTGGGTTTTGCTTCCTAAACCATGTTGTCTTGAACTGATCCAGCTTTTTACCTTTGTATTTTACCTTTGAAAGAAAAAAAATACAAGCAAAATCAACATTTGTATTTTTCTTTATTCTAATTACTTATCTGCTTGCTATTGTATTGATATTGTAAGGAGAAATTCAGTCTTGGTCACTCATGGGAGCTAAAAGGTTAACCACTGAAAGCTGGTATTAGGAGAATGATGGCTACAAGGGATGGGCATTTTCTCCTAGCCCTCTGTTGGTGTTTCTTCCTAACTTTGTACCTCTACTTTTAGCAATTTACTCCTTTCTATCCTGCATTGGCAGAATTAGGCATTACTAATAACTGCTTTATATAGCTGCTTTCTAACGAGGTAATTGTTCCACTGGAATTATGGTATCAACAGATTAAATTTGGACAGACTTTTCAGATTACATTTGATGATTGATTATGAAATATACTGAACAGCTAGTTTAAATAATCACTAATCATGTTCATAGGGAGTGTCTAGAAAGGGATTAAACCTTCCCATCTTTGCCTTGAACATAAAGACACCCATAGATAATGTCACCACATTCCACAAGCAAGAGACTTTCGCTGATATGGTTCAGAAAAAAAAATATGGCAGTATGCAGACAGATGGCAGAATGAAAAGATGTATTTAAAAAAAATTCATAGCTAGCTACTTGTAAAAATACTTTTCAAGAAAGTTGCACGAAATTTGTACTTTCACCAAGGCATTCCACGCCACAGCGCATACGCAGAATTGCAAATTGTACACTTGATCATTGTTGTTAACCGTTTTTGCATCATATCGTTTCGGACAAAGTTCGACAGAAATTCTACTTTGATCGAGTGGAAATTTCTTTGACTATAACTAGGACCTTTCTAAAATCTAAAAATGACTCCAATAATTAAAACAATTGTTTTTTTTAAATTTTTAAAACACACCAGAGGGAAGAACAAGAACTCTTCTAGTACAGTTGTCATTTAAATCGTGCATGTTTACCAGTTAACGTTTCCTTTTTTTAGTAATTAATTTCACAGTGTTGAGAATTTGCAATAAATTTTGCTTAATGTTGGATGAAGAAATTCTTTCTTAGTTGTGAAAATCATCCAGTTACTGCATCCTAATTCATTAATCAAAGCTTCTTAATTAATCAGTAATATACAACATCCTCCAATTGATGAGTTTTCTCATCATCATGTTGCAAATGAAAAGTCTCTTCAAATTCTGAAGAGAAGTTACATGTTTGGGAGTTACAGCTAATTTGTAAAACAACTTACTGATGCCCATCCACAGCCAGATTTCTTGGAAGGATTCACCAGCCTCTTACAGTAGATTGCCCAAGCAGAGGGCGAGTTGAACACTTGATCAGCCTCTGGCCATCTGATTCTACCATCAGGTTGGAGATCAGCCACAAACTTCTGACCCTGAAATTCATATCAACTACTTAATACTGATAATGATGACAAAATAGACCATTGTTCTTACTAATGTCTAGTAATAATGAAATTCTCAATCTCATGACTGTCAAAGTACCAATGATCATGAATAAGGAAACACTAAAAATAATAATTATAATAAAAAAAGTAATAATAACAATACTAAAAATTAATTACAGAATTTCTCCTTACATTATCAGTACAATATCAAGCAGACAAGTTATGAGAATACAGAAAAATATTTAGGGGATTATTGGTTGATCCAATTCCAAATTCTTCAAACTAACATCATATAAATTGTATGGCAGACAGCAAGGAGAATTACCAATGAGATCTTGGGAGTTTACAGGGTTAAAAGTGATAAATGTAACTGATTTTTGGAATGACTGCTTTTTGTTTGATATACATGTAGTGTTGTAATTGGAAGTTGTTATAAATTTTGTGGTAGTCTTGACCTAAACGTTAGTCACTGAGCTTCAACGAATCCCAAGAAACGAGGTTCCATCCTTTTAAAGGACTTAGATTCATGCTCAGTTCAAATTTGTTCTTTCAGCATTTCAAGCCATGATTCTGTGACTATTTTGGTTGTTATGGCCAATGAAAAAATTTTGGCAACTAAATGTTGCTGCTGAAAGTTGCTATTTTGCTGCTACACATTTCCTTGTAAATTAGTTAAAAGAATTTGTTATTCAATCTAGATAAAAATTTCTACCTGATAAGTTTGAGTATTTTCACTACCTGTTTACTGGATAATTTATGAATACTGTGGGGGAGAAGGTACAATACATGTTAATCACTTCTGGGAGTTGAAGGGTTAAAGTGCGATAAATGCCCCATTATTTTCATTGATAAAAAGACTTATACCCTTTGTCCTCAGTTGTCTAAGAATTTAGCCTTGAGATATTGCCTGGACCTCTAAAACAAATCACCATTCATTCATTGCACAAAATTCCCACGTTCCATTGTCTTATTTTCAATTTTTCATGATTTTCCCCTGTATTTGGGTGTCTGGAATTGAATTTGGTGGCAACTACATTTATGAACTTGATTCTTTGAATGGCAATTTTGAGAACTAATGAGCTTGATGCCATGCTCTGTCTTCCCAGTCCTGTTCTTCAAATGTATGAACTTACACATTTTGCAATAACACTATAAACATTCCACTTTCAAAAGTAATGAAATATCATCTACATGTAGCTGTTACACTAACCAAGTAATCAATAGAAAGGCATTTTTCCCCAGGTTCCATCACTCCATCATCAAGCAACATGCCAAGAGTGACACCCCGCCCTGTGAGAACAGATCGTGGTTTTCTTCTACCCTTAGGTTTTATAGTCTGTTCCAACATCTCTGCGTCATCACCTTCATCTTCTTCATCAACATCATCACCATCTTCTTCTTCATCCAAGTTATCTTCCTCCATGTCCTCGATTTCATCTTCAATTATCTGAGCTGTAGCATATGCACAGTACAGTTAATTAGACCTTTACAGTGTTTATAATAGTTAGCAGCTTGTTTTGTCAACAACTAGTTTACCAGTTACTCTAAGCTTTTTTCATCAATATCCTACACCATACCTGCTAACTCTCTAGCATCTTACATTTGCTCTAACTCCCAAAAATGATTAAAATGTAACTACTTCCTTTCATAGACATACATAATCCAGCAAACAGGTAAGGAGAATACTCAAACCTATCAGGTAAGAGTTGTTATCTTGATCTAAAACAAAATTCCTATAACTAATTTACAACAAAATGTGTAGTAGCTAGAGGAGAAAATTGACAATCAGATCTTGGGAGTGAAAGGGTTAAGGTCTATTTGCCTACAGTTCGTATATGCATAAAATAATCTTTCTGTTAATCCTTCAAAGTGACAAATGCAAATTGAGTCTGTCTACTGTTACGTGTAGCAATTTTCATCTCTCTAGAGATCCTAACTCGTCTAATTTACCTGTTTTAGTAAAGCAACAGTGTTAAAATAATGATAAAGGAGAAGAAGGAGTTTCATCACAGCCGGAGACATACGGCTGGTATATCAATAACAATAATAAGTGACACAAGTAGAAATTTACTGCATCGACACCGGCACAATACGAAACACACACATACAAAAATAATACAATTTTCTTGCTTATCGTCGATGAAGAACTTTGATATAGTGCCTGCTATTGTTCTGAGATGACCTTTGGAGTAATCAGAGGCCTATTCGCATTTGTTTGAGTCCTTCGAGTGGAAAACAGTGAAGAAGATCAACAAAGCCCTCATGCATGCAATGTAGCAACTTTGTGAAACATTCGAGGGATATTACATGTAGATCGCTGAAGTTGGTTAAGAATTTAAGAGAAGGATAAGACTTACCCATGACACCACAGATCACGGCTGAATTATGCACTTTTTCAATAAAACCCCTCGCACGTCTAACGTAGTCTATTGATACAGCGTGTTCGCCAAGTTTTATGCGAGGGAACTAGAGAGGAGCGAAGAGTTTGTAGCGTGGGGGTAGAGGTGGGGAGGAGTTGTCGTAGGGTACTGCGCGGGAATATTTGACGCGGGTGACAAGAATTCCAAAGTATCGGCTTCTTCCTTCTTAGCAAAAGTGCGGCTTCAAAATTTACCACTTTTCTCTTATTTTCACAGTTCTCAAGCTCTCTTTTTATTTTTAATCTAGAACTGACTTGGTTCAGGTTCGCTGAGTTTCAAGACACACCAAAAAGAAGATAGATGCCCTGAATTTGGTCCACGTGAGAAGCTGATGAGGTGAGAACAGGCAAAGTTAAGTTTTATTGTGTGAAATGTTTGGAAATAGATAGTAGCAGAGTTACTCTTTAAATTGCATTGTTTATTCCCTGAACCAGTTAAGCGGAGTTTAAATCAACTGACTAGATCTGAATAAATCTCACGAAACTTCAAAACTAGAATCGGGCTCGGGAGAGTTCTGTGGCCTGGGAAGATAAAATATTTGTAGACTGTAAATTGACGGACACTGACTGTAGACAGATGAAACAGAAAACAAACGCGTTACTGTGCATATATTTTTTAATGTACTGACACCACAAGCTTCAAAAATTTACTCTATATACCTTATAAATAAATATTTTGACTGTCACTGTAGGTAATATGAGTTAGACTGTTCATCAACAGTCCATTTACATTTAAGGTAGCTTTAGTGGTAAATTCAAATTTGCAGCTGTGAATTTTGACAGCAACAACTGATCATGGCAAATTGCAGTTGTTAACTTTGTGAAGTTGAACAGACAGTATACTGTCTAATATCATTAAGCATGAAGATGGGTATTTATTATTTTTTGTACCGTTTGCTTTTAAATATGCTTTAATTATCTGGAGTTGATGCAGACTTTGACATGACTCCATATTCATATAATGAAAATAAATTCACTAAATCCAAAGGTAAGTGAGGTAAAGATGGTAAAAGAGGCATTGGAAAATACAGTCTCCCCTTTGTCGTCCTCAAAGTTCATCATGTTGGCGAAGGTGTTGATACATTTTGCGTTCAAATGTAGGATCATGTTCTTTAGCACTGTAAAACTTGTGCAGGGCTTTTGAAATGCGTCCTTCGATATCTGCCATAGCAATGTCTTTGTCGTGTGCTCCAAGACTTTCCACAATCTAAACTCAAAAGAGAGGATCATTTTTATTTGGACAGTTAAAAATTACAATTGTGGGGTCTTCGATCACTGTTTGAAATTTGCAATGAAGAAGTGGCCTGCATATACGTGAAGAAGTGCATAAATTTGTGAGGTCCACAGCTTGGGTGACTAAATTGTTATTCTTCAAGGAGCTTTTGAGAGACTTAATTCTGATAATGATGGCCTCTCTCTCCCAACTAGAATAAACTGGTGACATGATGTTGAGTAAAAACCTGCCACACTGGTCTAAATAATAATAGTATTATTTCATACAAATGCAGAAAAAAATATTTATTTGACAGTTTCACAGGATGGATTAAAGGATGTTTTAAGGGTGCATAAAACCTTCTCTCTTATAGTTCATCTTCATATGCTTCCAAAATACCAACATGAAGCAGATGTTGGAATCTCTTATTGGGAAGTCCATTTTATACCCCTGGTGCCTATTTTATTGTGAATACTACATAAACATAAGCCATTATTGAACCTCCTTAATGTACCAAGTAACTACACCACACATACAACCATAAGTGCTTTACCTCTGTAGCTTTAGAGTGAGTTCCTCCAAGACCCTTTAAAAACACAAGGAAATAAGAATAAAGACATTTTCTAAGGGATAAAACTGTGACACACTTTAGTAAGGGTTTCAATTCTGTTTCAAAAGAAGGCAGCATGGCTGAGCAGTCAACAACTTGCTCTTGCAATGCAGAGGTTGCAAATTAGAGTATTGCTCTGACTGCCAACTCAGGACCTGTTTCTTGGTAGCCCCAAGTTGAACATGCTCTGTGCCTTGCATGTAAACAATAAACTTGTCATCTTTCTTCTAGATGGGCTTTTTAATCTTGTAAAGCTACTATTTAGTGCAAGTTTATCTTTTGGTTTTGTGGTAGGGTTAGATATATTATGCTCAGAAATTCAATCATTAACTTTTTTAGTGTCACCCAGAAAACATACTTAGTATCATGCTCATGATTTTGCATTATGTGTTCTTTAAGAACTTAATTAAAAAGCTACACAGATATGGCGTTTGAAACATAATTATATACTGAAAATAACCCCAAAAACTTCATTATAAATTAAAGTACTAGAAATGTATTTATGGTCAAATATTTCAGTTATTATGCCAGTGTTATGTTCAATGCTCTGATCATAGCATTGTGCCCAAAATTATGCCAGCATGGTTTATCTGAGCCTATTTTGAGGAGAAAGTGAAGTGTTCAAGTGTGCTTCCAATATTAAAAAAAATAACGTGTATTTGTACCTATTAAGCCACATTCTTGCAACATTTCATTTCAATTTTAAATGGTAAAGCTGTCAAACATATCAACTGACCTATATTCCGAGCAAATTTTTAAAATGCAACTTTGAATTCTTACCTGTACATAGCTTGAAATAAACTTTTCTTTGTCAAAGATTCCTCTCTTATCATGGCACTCTGTCAGCAAAGCCCTGTGAAAAAAGAATGCACTAGACTGGGTCATGCAAAATTTGTGAATTTTCCCTCTGTTTCTTGAGCTGAGTAACTGTAAGGAACCTATTTAACCTATTTAACATGATGTAGAATAACATTATTTGATAACAACTAAATAAAAATACAGGGATTGACAAATACAAACCCATCAATTACTCACTCAATGTAGGGAGCATCAATGTGGCTATACTCAAACTCTTCAGTGTTGGAAACATCATTTGGATCAATAAATAACAAGAGCTCTTTTAACTGATCAACAGTCAGATTCTCTATATATCCACAAGTTACAAAACCTTTGTGATCAGGGTCAAGGTATTCAACCAACTGAAAAGGAAGAGATGGAAAAATTAAGTACAGGGCAGGCTTCACTTTTAACTAGTGGTCCATTTATCATGATTTACTTGACCTATAAAGGTTGAAGAAGTCAGCAACTCCAACAACCCTACCCTAGTGCTTTTGGCACTCAACATTTCCATTGCTGTGGACACATCACCAGATTGCAAATGTTTGTGAATTAATTTACAAAGAAAAGAATTTAAAGATAAGGTATGAAAAAACTTTTGCCTAAAATTCATTAAAGCCTCAGAAATCCAAGAAGTATTTTATCACAAATATGAACTTGAAAGGAATGAAAAGTATGATACAATCTCACTTACTGTAAAGAAAGGGTAGGATAAATTTTAAAAAAAATTGCATATCTTGGTGTGTAAAATAATAAGTTTACATGCCCATCTAGCTCAAAATACTGAGACATTAATTTCTTGGCTAAAATTTAAGTGGCATTGCACTAGTAATGGGAATCTGTTTCCTGACCGTTATTACTCTCTCCTGTTCATCTTTCCTCATTACATCTCTCCTTCTACTTTCACTTTGAAAGTATTTTTGTACAAAATCTTTAAGCCAAATCCTTCCCTCGTTATCAGCTAAGGTTAGCAGAAAGCGTTTCAAAATGTAGATGTCCATATGGCCTTGACTAAGATCCCCATACCCAGAGTACTGCCATAACACCCTCACTTCATTCATAGGTGTAAAGGAAATGTTCACTTTATCACAGTCTTTCTCTGTGAACTGTTTTAACTGCGAGAACCAAATAGATACTGCAGAGTTCATGTAGCCCCAGGAACGCACTTGGTGCCAGTAGCCTGAGCAGCAAAGGTAACAAATGATAAATGTATACCATTGCCAAAGCATTTACATTTTGTCCACCGTAGACTAACTATAAATTTCTGAAATTAAAAAACATTGCCAAAACTATGGACAGTACCACTCAAAAGTAAGTTGACAGTCCCTGAAACCTTGATGCGCGATACTCAATACTTGAGCCTCCATTCTCAATTCCCAATAGTATCAAGGATTGAGTATCAAGTTGAGACTGTCAACTTACCTTTGAGGGGTACCATAACATCTTTGTTTAATCTGATAATCATTTAGATTTTACTCAATCTACACTGTCTTAGTGCAAAATGTCTCATTATCACATTCAGATCATTATCAAATGATAATCATAAACCACGTGAAATCCTACCTAATATTTACATGTGCTGTTCAGCACTTCATTAAAGAGTTGTCTTAAATTTTCTTTTAAAATTTATCTTAAATTAAAGGATATCAACTCTTGTAGATGAAATTTGGTGAACACCAACGCTTACCTCCAGGCATGAAGATACAGTCACCCTTGTTCATTCTGACTTTGGAGTAATGTACATCTTTGATCTTTGGAAACTCATCTAGGTCAACAGAGTCAATGTCTATCTCTGAATATCCTCCCCATTCATATTTAGAATCATCAGACATGTAAACAAGATCTGTTTGATCTGGATGAACAAGAAGCCAGTCTTTGGTGCCATTAAAAATACAATGTATATTGCTAAAGGGATCCTGATGTAATTTTGTTTTGCCGCCACGAGCACTGAGAAATAAGTGGACCTCTTGAATAGCCTCAGAAAAGGAACCACATCTGAAAAGTGTAAATTTTTTAAAGAGCAATTTGGAACTTGAGTTTTTTTAATTACAGTCAAAGTTTGGGAGTTTATTGTTTTCCAACACAAAAAGTATTCTGCACATGCACACTGGAAAGGTTACATCTGTTATAAGTATAAGAAGGAAAGTTTAGGAAACAGAATTTTGGTCAGAGTCTGACATAGGGTAACTGTAGCTTTAATTTTTTGGGTTTTTTCAAGTGTTTTTTAAAAGGTTTCCATGAGTTTAGAGTCCTACATGTATCATACCATTTTCATAACGACCTATGTTTCAAACAGCCCTGAAATCCCTTAAAAATTACTTTTATTATTAATGACACCATAGAGGTGCTGAAAATGATTTCCACAATGACTTGAAATGCAGATATCTTTGAACCTTGCAAGAGTGGTAGCGAGTTATATGCTCCTGAACTGAGTGATTTATATCACCAGGGCTTAACTTCTCTGCTAAAGGGTACTTCTGTTTTCCTAGATGGGATACAACTTTATTTTAGGGTTCATTAACAGTTCCTTTTGTATCCATCATGATGCTTCAGGGTACTCTTGGAGTATGTACACTGTCTTGCATAAGAAGACAATACTGGCCTGAGAACTCCTGATTTCAAGTGCAGCATGCTATAAAGCTATTGGGGTAGAATTATAAGAAAAGGACCTTTGAGGTTGATTGTTTAGTATGAATTAACAGACTTTTTAATTAATTTATTGGAGCCCTCAAGGTATACAATCATATATGTATATTTATATAATTTATAGGTTTAACCTTAAGCATGGAGGTATTCCTATGTCTCTTTCCATCGGTTGTGGAATCTGTGAGATCACATATGCATCCATGGTCTGATAATTCTGTATGAAATGCTTTATCGTGTCTCTGCCAAGAATATCTGCTTCCCCAACTGGTAAACGATCATTTGCTTCAGCACGTGCTTCAAGACGTACAGTGAGATCTCCATACTCTGAGATCAAAAATTCTTCTGTCCATAATTCATATGCCCTTATGATGAAAAGAAAACAAAGCAAACTATATACTTGAACTAAATATTTCTGGTCACTTCCAAGATTTTTTAAAGACCTCAAACTGGTTAGAGATTTGTGCTTTGAAGCCTCCTTACTCTCCTTATGGAAAGGGATAGTCTGTTTTCAAATGCAAACTCAGTAATCAAGAAATTGTAATGTAATCATTATACTTGGATAAATAAAACAGCTGCCGAACTGATTAACACCCCTATCTATTAGTACGGATAAATACTACTGTTTTCATCTGAAAATAGTTTCAGAATACACCTGTTTCCCAGGTTTTGTATAACTTTAGTTCCCTTTGCAACATATCATCCATGCACACAATGGAAGAAAGTCCTCTTCCATCCATTATATTTTCTAAGTATAAAGGACAGTCTGAAATTTCAGACATGTATGTATCTTGAAACAAGTTGAGTCAGTCCTAATACTTAAAATGAAAAGTATTGAAACTCATCTTATTTTCTTTTTTTTGTCGGCTTAGGCAGTCAAAAAATCTGAATTTTCTCCCAGTTATTCTTCCCTTACCAATTGCTCTCTTATACTAGGCATGTTTTCCGTTCTTATTTTCTGTGTTACAGCAACTTCAATTCTTCGAAAAGTTTTGTTTCCACTGATGTTGAAATTGAAAACAAATAACTATGGAGTCTCGCAAACAAAAACTCGCCGATCACTCGCGATTAAAGTAAAAGATAATAATTCTACAAATTCATGCGTGTTTAACTTAGTTATCACAGAGAAACTGATTAATCTTTTTACCTGGAATGTATTGCGGCTCCCCTAAAAACCACCGGTTTATTTTTGGACACATAAGTTTCCCAAAACTCTGCTGGGTGCGGAACTGCACTGATTTCTTGTGTAACAACATCGGGCTTTCTATGCTGACCGAAAGGCTTTAAATGTCCTACGAGTACTTCATCCAAGCAAACGAAGGGTTTAATGGATATTAAAGAAAGGACATAAATCAGCGCATTCGCTTTGTGCATTTTTACCTGTGTGTTCGGAAAAGTCAATGACTCTTTTGATACGATCATAAGAACAATAAACTTAGAGCCCAGTCGATCGTTGTCTCATTCAGATCGAGGATCGAGTGAGATTGAGTTTTACTCATAAAGGTCGCTACAGTTGGCAATTTTCAGCAGATTACCGCGAGATTATGGCAACTGTAAATTTGGGCACACGCTCTCGGAATTCTCTGTATAAGATTGCGTAAAATTTTCAAATTAAAGTCAAGCCCGAGGAATCTGTGCGACGTTGCGTGACAACTTTGAAAACCAACTTCGTTCTCAGGTTCCTCTCGTTTCCTCCCACGTGACTGAGTCACAACAGTGCTTTAGCGGTCGCTGGGTGACTGCAACATTCAGGTTGACTGCTAACTACAGGTTCCGCTGAATATATTTGAGACGCGATAAAAAACGCCCTTTCATGTCACAACAGATCACAAAATGTACATTTAATTTAAAAACTCGTTCAAAAATGCATCGAACCTTCGTTAGCAAACAACATCAACAAAGTGGTAGCGCACCAGGGCAAAAGCAGGATTACTGTAGGCGGTATATTATTACTATAAACAGTTGGACCTCTAGGTCATTAACGACTATCAGCCAGCAAAAGACTTGCGAGGTTTCCAGGAGTGATATTCGTCCTAACTGCTACAAGAAGAAATATACTCTCTCGGTTGCAATGCGTTTAGGACAATTGACCCAATTTAACTCAAAGTACTAACATTGTTTTCGGAGATAAACACGGAATTGCTTTTACTTGAGAGATTATCCTCAGTTTTATTAGAACGATTCCGCTTTCACGGACTGTTTAATACATGTGAAAGACAATTCAAACAGGCCGTTACGACTCAGTCAAGGGTAACCACGACCGCTTTTAACCCTTTAACTCTCATGAGTGACCAAGACAGAATTTCTCCCTACAATATCAATACAATATCAACCAGATAAGTGATGAGAATATCAATTTGGGAGATAATTAGTTGATCCAATACTAAATTCTCTGCACTGACATAAGAATATAGAGCACACTGAAGGTCCTAAAAAAGTTTCCAGCCTGAGTCTCTTCAGTCTTCAGCCTCGATCAGTAATATTGTTAGAGCTGCAAAACATCAATGGAACAAACAAACATTAAAATGCTTTTATTGGGTAATTTTAACTCCGCATGTTTCCTTTTTTAATGACTAAATGGATCCTTTAATCGCGTTTCTACAAAATACTGACGTTTAAGATACGATTACTGAACTAAAAACATAATTTCATCGGTGGTGATTCATGTTGGAGTTGAACCGGAAAATGAACCGATCGCTGTTCACCTTTTAGATCTCCAGCCACACCGACGACGGCGGCTGAACACGTTTCACATGCTCTACAGGAAAATGAAAAGCAAGAGTTAGTTTCTATATGAGCCCAGAGGCTAACAAACGGAAAATTAATACTCCTAGAAACTACTTCCTCCACGGTCGGAAGAACAGGGAGATTTACTCGAAAAGAAAGCAGCGTTACTGCGTAGTTTTGTTTGCGCGTTCAAGTGTCAATAGAAGCTGTCAATCTTTTCCGCAACAATGTTTGGCTTACCCTGATCATGCATACCCATCATGCAACTGGGAGGTTGGTGAGTAACTATTTAGCTATCGCTTCGAATTCTTCTCCCTTCCGAAAAGCTCAAAGGATAAACCGTAAAAAGCTTACCGTTTCCTCCCTTGTCTAGTATCGCAGGATTAGGTTCATCGTTCATGGTGGCGACAGGTTCCTTGAAAAAGTAATTTAATTGAGAGCAAGTCTATTTACTCCCTATGTTAGACATACGTCAGTATAGAAGCCCCCTTAAAGAGATATCAATAGATTTCGGGAAAAGTGCACCTCTATTTCCTGCTCGGGGTCCTCTTCGCTCTTGATAATGAATGCCTTCGCCAGACACAAAGCCATCAGCAACAAAGCGAGGTACTTCATTTTCTTGGAGCGATCCAGACATAAAAATAATATAGACATCAATGTAATGTCACTCGTCGATAGAAATGAACTGTCTTCGATTTTGTCGATTGCGATTAAACTGAACCCAAGGGCGCTACGACGATTCAGAATTTAAGGTACGCAATTAGTGACTAATTATCAAATCCTTCTCCCCTTAACCAGTATCGAAATACATCGATGTCAAGCTTCTTGTCTCAAAACAACTCAGATATTGTTCAAATTCTGGTCCAAAGGCCACTAAAAGAGCTGCATACTGTTGTTGAAATTATTTTAAATCGTTTGTTGAAAAGTTTTAAAGTCCGTTTAACGCCACACCTAAACATACTCGTAATTCTTGGGTTATTTTTTCTTCTTTGCTTTAATTTTTCTTACTTAGAAAAGCATTGTTATAAAGTTTTTTTTTTTATCTAGGGAATTTTCTTCTCTTCATAAGCGTCTATTAAAATAAAATGAACAAATTCGCCGGGGCCCTGCTCCATGTACTAAATTCCATTTTCAGTGATGTCTTCTATTTTGGATAAGGACAGTTTTCATCGCTAATGATGCGAAATGCACCAGTCCCACCAAATCATCCTGTAAACTCTTAAACTTTTTCAGACAACGGAGTGTGTCTGGCTATCTCCCTGCTGTTCTCAGTTCAGTTTGAAATGGAAGAGGAAATAAACAATTTGCCATTAAGAAGTAATTGTTGTTTAAATATGAGTTGGTGGTCAAATCAGCTTTAAAGATGGGAAATTCAGCAAGGGTTGATGAAATTAAAACCAGTTACGTCGGTTCTAACTGTTAATTCGTCAAGTATCGGTTAAACGCTTCAAAAAAGTTTTAAAATCATTTGTCATCTTACTTGAAAAAGGATACAGAGCCCCTCTAAGAATTTGGAGACATGCAGAAGGTAAGCGGGTAAGCCATTATCAACGTAGAGACAAGCACAGGAATTTAACAAACGAGAAAGCTCTGACTTACTTCAGGTCGATGATTCAATCTTGCAATTTTTACTTGGAGGAACACTGTGCGATTTATGGTAAAGTATGGTGTGTGCACCGCTTTTTATGCCACCCGATGTTGATTAAATTGACCTCTAAAAAGCCACGAAACTAGCGGTGACCGATTAAAGTTTATAAATTGTTGATAAGTTATTCTAGAGACCTCGTTGAGCCTTGAAGCGGTGATAACATGAAAGTAACATTGGGTAGGTGCAATACTCGTCTATGTTTCGCGAAATTCACTTAAACTAGCCTTTTATCACACAACTGAAAGAAACAGTCGTCCTGGTTTTTACTGGATGTATTGGAAATAGTCGGTGTGGCTGAGGTGTTTCTATTTTGGGTCTTGTTTACGTAAGGATGCGATAAAACGTTTCAGGTTCAGTCAAGGGGGACCAAAAACTTATGCTCCGTGCATAAATTTCCCCTCTCTGGTCTTTTCCGGCGACCGAGGTTTCTAATTGCTTGATTGATTTCATTACTTTCCTATCCCTAACTTGCCAAATTGTCCCTGCTGTAAAATCATTTCCAGAGTTCTCTCCAGAGACATGTTTTCATTTTATACAGGGTATACTATATCTGGGAAGAGAGCAACATATAACAATTAAGGTAGCTTTCCTTGCCGCAATCTTTAGAGGAAACTAAAAAATTTCTCTCTCAATCAGCCTAAACTAGTAATTTATCCTGAAAAACAATCAACTACGATCTTTGATTGTGATTATTCTTGTTATTCTTTTTGTTTCGCGTCTGTGCCTCTGAATGGTTTGCAGTTAAGCGAGGGCAATTATCTCAAAATCATTCATGAATGGACCAGAACTTCTGGTCATTTGGAAAGCTAATCCTTCTCTTCTCTTTATATCCGTATATTGCTCGCCCTAATGTCTAATTTGTTATTACTGATAGTTTTTAATAGCTTTGCTAACAGATGGGGGCGTTAGTGCTCCATAGTTTGTTATGAACCTAATCTGTACATCGTATAGAGTTAGACGTTAATCATAAGCTCTCAATCTGAGAAATAGTCGCTCCTACAAATTGCCACGCCTCCATGCAAACGGGACAAAGAACTCTTTTAGGATTTCAATGATCTGTCTAGTAAATGATGCCTAATGTATTTCAGAAGAATGTAGAATGTTTTTAAATTATTTTTGATCTTGAATTTTATGCAAAAACTGTATATGGAAATAATTTTTACTCCAAGTCTTTTTAAATGTTATCATTACAGGATTGATGTAATTTAATACTACTTTCACATTATTTTATATCATATTATTGCAAATAATCACGTAATTCAGCCAACGGGCTGCGATGTAATTTTTGATAAACTTTCTCTCTATCCTAGATACAATAATCGCTTATTTTTTTCCTCAAGAATTTGCTAAAATTGACTTCTACCAGTCGAAGCTATACTCGAAGAAACATCCGTCATCGTTTGTAATGGGTTTAGAAATTATTTATATCATTCTATTATTTTATCAAATTTACTCGTTTCTGTTTATTCTATGGTTGTCTGTTATTTAATGCTTGAATATTAGCTTTTGAGTGCTCCTCACTAATAGCTGTAGCAATAAACCAGTGTACATGTAAATATGTATTGTATTGGTTTATATTTGGAAATAATCGGCGTATGTTGTTTCTATTTTTGGTCTTATTTACCCAGAGTAAGATCGAGATGTTCCAGATTCATTCATGGATGGACCGAAACTTCTACTCCGTGCATAAAATTTCCCTGGTACCAACAGTTCCTCATTGATTGATGAATTTAGTTTTATAATTAGTAACCAATCTGACTGAAGGATGTTTAAGTTCAAAGCTAGTTCAAAAAGGCATACATTTAAAAGATGGTTCCTATGTTGATCAGTGACTACTCTGGAAGGGCCCTGACCCTAAAGGAACTGTTCGAAGTGGCCACTATTTTAAGCCCTATTCACAGAAACATTCATCCCAATTTTAATTTGAAAATAATCGGCATATCTATGTTATGTTTATTGCTAGTCTTTTCAACTAAGATTAAAGGCAAACTAATCTAAGATATCCCAAATTAAGTCATGGATGGACAAGAACTCCTGTTAAGTGCAT